GTTGGAAACCTGGAAGCACTGGATGGGCGTTTCGTCCTATTGTGGGACTCCTCAGCAGTGCACATCCACGATCCCGCAAGCGGGATTCGAACTTCAGTAATGCATGAAATGAGTTGTTGTCGTTTTCTGTTGTTGTATTACTTAAGAATTCAAGGTTGTTTTTGTTTTTTACAAATCATAATCTATGACATAATCATTTAACCATTTGATCACTATCTGGAATATTTATTTATTTAAATACATAAATATTAGTATAAAAGGGCACTGAATACATATGCGTGGAGCGACGTCAGAAGATGCAGTACCATGATAGCCGATGATCAACCATTGGTTCATGCGCCATTTGTTCATTCCGGACACTGGAGCTCATGTGTACCAATGCTTTCGAATCATGGTTTGTCAAGTCTCCTAGCTGGATCCTCCATATCCACCAATCTGGTTAGAGCGCCAGATATTCACTTTTCGTCCTCTCAATTTCGTAAACAACATCCCGGTCACAAGAAGGCAGTGAGTAGGTTTTCCTTGGCAGTGGCTGTATGCTCATGACGATATGAGAGAATTTTTCGGGAGAGAGAGAGAGTTCACTCTTCCCACTCTCTGCCGTACCGTGGTATTTGGAGGCACTATCTGGAATCATCAGTTTAATTAATAATATGCTTATGTTTAAGTATAGAATTCTTAGCACAAAGTATTTCAACAAGTTTCCTATTTCTTATTTCTTTATCGATCCTGACGATCACTATTGACTGGTACCCAGTTAAATTTTAGCAGTTCACGAATCGAGATTTGAATAATAAGGTATATTCTTTTCAATGTATATTGCCATCAACCTTAATGACTCTGATTTTACTCTTTCCTAACTAATTACATTGTGCAATTATTTGACATAATAATCTGTTAAAACAAATAAAAGGCAGATAACTTATTGAAATATCTAGATGACAGGAACTGGTAGCCAAGATATTCAAGCAGGTCACCCATAAAGCCTAATCAAATACAGTTTAATGTAATAGAGATTCATAAACTGGATGGCAAGACTATAATTATGTACGAATCAGTCAGGTATAAGATAACAGGTCTCGGAATTTGGCATGAAATTCATTCATTCATTTGGCTAAATAAAAACTTGGCATTATAGCTGATGTCAGTTCACGATTATAACCCTAAATCTAATTCTAAACATTAACTCTATCAACTGTATATCATAATTCGAATTTCTCACCCAGGTTTATAACTCTCATTTAGTCCTAGCGTTGTTTAAATGTTATCCATCAATTATAGTCTCATCAATTGGATGATTTGTAATGATTGAATGAATTTTAAGGTGGTGGAGAACACTTCACTTCTATCTGAAGTTTGTACTGATGATGATGTCGTTCAGAGCAATGATGAAAGCCCCACGACCAAACCGTCCAACTCAGAGAACAAAACTCAATCAAAAATGAATTTTAAGTGATACAATTCACTATGAATTGATAATAGTTAAACAATTATCATAACATAAACAAGATTAAGAAATCATATCATTGACTAACCTTAAAAGTTACCATAGTTCACATTTATTGTATTGAACGAAGATTTGGTTAGTGTAAATCAATCAGTTGTGTTAAGCTTAATTATATTATTTTATTATTTATTTATTTGAACACATGAATATTGGTACAAGAGGGCACCAAATATATATGCGCCACACCATATTTGTGTGTGTGGGCTGTGATACTGCCCGGGCACCCAGACCAAAGCAGGTGGTTTTCTTAGGGGGACACACCCCAAGCCTTTGACCTGAAGGTCTGATCCACAAGGCAGTAGAGCATCGTGAGGAGATGCAATCCCATGGTAGCCGGTGATTAACGATTGGTTCATACGCCATTCTTTTACACAGGACACTGGAGTCCATGTGCACCATTGGTTTGGAATCCCGTTAAAGCGCCGGATATTCGCTTTTCGTCCTCTCATTTTCGTAAACAACACCGGTGCCACGAGAAGGCAATGAGTAGGACTTCCCTGACAGAGGCTGTAGAGGCGTGGCTATGTGAGAGCATTTCGAGAGGGAGGGAGGGCCCACCCCACTCTCGGCTGTACCAGGACATTTGGGGGCAATTTGTAAAATATAAAAAACCAATAAACAATACATTGAATACATCATTTATATATCTTCCTTGATTTATGTCCTATGAGTTGTATTGTTCTTTCATTTCTGTTCCTATTCAAACTGTTTCTCTTCTTCTTCTTCTTCTCGAGTTCTTCGTTGGTCAGTAAGAATCCTATTTTTCAAATCTTGGTACATAATACTTATATCTGTCCGTATAAGTAGTACACATCACTAAGAATTATTCTAAACAACATTCATTTCTATCCAATTCATATCAGAATTAAGTTAATCTATCGATTCTCAGCTCTCTAAGCTAAGATCATGTATAGTATCTGATTTCATGTATATTGATTATATTGATTGTTATACTTAAGGAATTTGATAAGTGTTTTCAGTGTTATCGGTTGGTAAAAACATTAGGTAGAAGACTTTATCTCATAATTACGATTAATATAGACGGCGGGAACATGGATGCGCACTGCTGAGGAGTCTCATACAAGGACGAAACAGCCATCTAGTGCTTTCAGGTTTTCCATGGTGATCTAACTCCCATTAACTCATGACCTCAATTATTATACATATTGTTGAATACCCTAATCATATGTTCATTGGTGAAATATTCAAACTGATCATTTATACTGTTTAACTAATCTCAGTTTGTGATGTTTAAACTCCACATTATAGCTAACTAAATGGTACATTATTATATATTGTGCACAAGACTTTGATCATTTATCACTCTGCATATTTGGCAGATACATGAACTAAGAATGATGATTGATAACATTTATAAAATGATGTATTCTCTTATTAGATAATTGAAACAATATGCTCTGATAATCATCACCTATTGTACTGAGAGAGAGTATACACAAACACTTATTTATGTCAGATGATATACAGAGAGGTTATTTAGTGGCTACTATGTTCCATATTCGAACCCCGTCTTATCTATTTTGACTTTTGCAACCACTTAGTATATCTTTATTCTTTATTACGATGCACTGATGAGGAGTCTCATACTAGGACGAAACAGCCATCTTGTGCTTTCAGGTTTTCCATGATGATCTAGCTTCAATAAACTCATGACCTCAACCATTAAACGTGTTTAGCCTAAGGTACATTTCGACTGGAGAAGAGGTTGAACATATATCTTTCTTAAACAAAACTACTGACGTTCGATGAATTTTTAACTAAGATAGGTTTTTCATGCATAAAAGACTATTGAAGATGTTTAAATTGTATTAGTAATAAGATCAGTTTTGACTAGATGGATAAGTATAAACTTGTTGATCCTGTTAACTACACTTTTGTTTAACCAAACTGAAAGGTGTTCACACGCTCAAATATATATATGTTCCTGGATATATACGAATGTAATTAGTTCCACATGAGCAATTCAAATAATAAATACAAAAGGTGACTGCTAGTCTGGTGAGACTGTAGTGTGGCGTTGAGTCGCGGTTGACTATGATCACCACTACAGGAAGACTACGTGCCAGTTAATCAATAAGATCCCCTGTAGGTCAAATATCAGAAGGCAGTCGATGGCTGTAGTCGAGATGTATTTGTGGGCGATCTCGTGGTGTCGAAAGAATACTGAGATCGTGACAGGTTACAGGTGTGGTTACTGAGCGTAACCGAATTCGTGCAAGGTCACAATCAACAGAAGAACGTATGTATCTTGGTACGGTTAAGCAAACAAGCACGGAAAAACAATTCCTGGTACAACTGGTTATAATAATAATAATTGTTTCCATTAAACCAATCGCGTTCTCTTGATAAAAGTAGGTCACTACAAGACTATAGTTTATGGACGACCTTTGAGTGACACTAAAGTGACCTTGAGAATGTCCACCTGTGAAGAGAATAATGAATATTTTCTGATTGAGCTCATGAATCGATTGGTGTTATACCACTAATGAAAACCCGGAAGCATTGAACGGCCATTTTCCCCATTATGGGAATCCTTGGCGGTGTGATAGAGGAATTTGAACCCGAGATCTTTGTCCTTGCACATGAACGCCTAACCTCTAGACCACTAAGATTACGTCCAAGGGTTTTAATGTCTAACCTCAACCAATCCACGAGATCACGCAACCATCTTGAGATAGATACCTTTCTTTACCTGACATGGATTAGCTCCACTGATCATGGTTTCCTTGAAAAAAGATTATCATTTACAGTTGATGATTAGTGTTAAAAACTACATTTAGAGTTTTCACCATCAACTGACATCAGCTATTATACCAAAATGTTAATAAATGAATTTCATGGATTAAATCCAAAACTTGTTATTTTAAACTTGATTAATTCGTTCATAAATGACAGTCATAACATTAGTCTTTGTCGTTTATCTTTCAATATCAATCTTATTAACCTTCCATACTCAATTATCATACCAATGAACTTAAATTATATGACATTAAATATGAAACTAAAATACAAGAAACAAGACTAATATTAATAAAATGGCAGTTGGAGAATGCTGATCATTGGCTTATACTCTATTCACAGTAACAAGGTTAAGTACTCGCGCGCGAAGACAGTAGGTCCTGGGTTCGAGCCCCGCGTGGTGCGGGATCGTGGATGCGCACTGCTAAGGAGTCCCATACCAGGACGAAACGGCCGTCCAGTGCTTCCAGGTTTTTAATGGTGGTCTAGCTTCAACTGACTCATCATTTCAACCTGTGAAATTTCTAAAACTCTCCACAAAACCCATTCTGATATACCAATATTGTTCTGAAACTAAGTCGATTCATGATCATACCAAAATAAATTATACGAAAACAACAAAACTGGCAGAAAACAAAAATAAATAACGAATTAAGCAAATAAATAAAAAACATTAATACGATGATATTCTTTCTCGAAACACGTAGATACAGTAAAAACAACAACGAATGAAATGAAATCAACGACAACTGAAAGAATAATGACGTCAAATACAACAGTGACTAACCAAATAAACATCGATATAGTAAACATATCAAATGCAATTGAATATGCATTATCGTATAACATATCGGATAAATATATATATATAACGCCGTCGGCACCATTAATAGATAATTTAACGACAACAACAAAGAACATAACAAATACAACTGGTCCAACTGCATCTACTCAAACCACTCCATCCACCGCATCAACCACAACAACAACCATAAACACCAATCCAAACATAACCACCATCACTCTACCCACAATACCCTACACATCTATCAACACGTCCACAACAACATCAACCAGCATCACAACTACACCTTCCACACTCAACGCAAACACTCTTACAACAACCTTCAACACCGCAACCGCAAACGCTACCGCAATCGCAACCACAACCACAACCACAACCACAAACACCACTCCTCTCACAATCACACTCAACGCCACAACAACTTCAATCACACCAACATCACAATCTGCACCAATCAATGCAAGCACAACAACAACTCAAACTCAAACTACAACAAACATCACAACTACAACTGGTCCAACTGCATCTACTCAAACCACTCCATCCACCGCATCAACCACAACCACAACCATAACAACCAATCCAAGCATAACCACCATCACTCTACCCACAACACCCTACACATCTATCAACACGTCCACAACAACATCAACCAGCATCACAACTACACCTTCCACACTCAACGCTACCACTCTCCCAACAACCCTCAACACCGCAAATGCAAACGCTACCGCAACCGCAACCACAACCACAACCACAAACACCACTCCTCTCACAATCACACTCAACGCCACAACAACTTCCATCACACCAGCATCACAATCTGCACCAATCAATACAAGCACAACAACAACTCAAACTCAAACTAGCACAAACATCACCACTACAACTGGTCCAACTGCATCTGCTGAAACTACTCCATCCACCACATCAACCGCAATCACAACCACAACCACAACCACCAATCCAAACATAACCACCATCACTCAACCCACAACACCCTACACATCTATCAACACGTCCACAACAACATCCACCAGCACCACAACTACACCTTCCACACTCAACGCTACCACTCTCCCAACAACCCTCAACACCGCAACCGCAAACGCTACCGCAACCGCAACCACAACCACAACCACAACCACAAACACCACTCCTCTCACAATCACACTCAACGCCACAACAACTTCCATCACACCAGCATCACAATCTGCACCAATCAATACAAGAACAACAACAACTCAAACTCAAACTACAACAAACATCACAACTACAACTGGTCCAACTGCATCTACTCAAACCACTCCATCCACCGCATCAACCACAATCACAACCACAAACACAACCACCAATCCAAACATAACCACCATCACTCTACCCACAACACCCTACACATCTATCAACACGTCCACAACAACATCAACCAGCACCACAACTACACCTTCCACACTCAACGCTACCACTCTCCCAACAACCCTCAACACCGCAACCGCAAACGCTACCGCAACCGCAACCACAACCACAACCACAACCACAAACACCACTCCTCTCACAATCACACTCAACGCCACAACAACTTCCATCACACCAGCATCACAATCTGCACCAATCAATGCAAGCACAACAACAACTCAAACTCAAACTAGCACAAACATCACCACTACAACTGGTCCAACTGCATCTACTCAAACCACTCCATCCACCGCATCAACCACAACCACAACCACAAACACAACCACCAATCCAAACATAACCACCATCACTCTACCCACAACACCCTACACATCTATCAACACGTCCACAACAACATCAACCAGCATCACAACTACACCTTCCACACTCAACGCAAACACTCTTACAACAACCCTCAACACCGCAACCGCAAACGCTACCGCTACCGCAACCACAACCACAACCACAACCACAAACACCACTCCTCTCACAATCACACTCAACGCCACAACAACTTCCATCACACCAGCATCACAATCTGCACCAATCAATACAAGCACAACAACAACTCAAACTCAAACTAGCACAAACATCACCACTACAACTGGTCCAACTGCATCTACTGAAACTACACCATCCACCACATCAACCGCAATCACAACCACAACCACAACCACCAATCCAAACATAACCACCATCACTCTACCCACAACACCCTACACATCTATCAACACGTCCACAACAACATCAACCAGCATCACAACTACACCTTCCACACTCAACGCTACCACTCTCCCAACAACCCTCAACACCGCAACCGCAAACGCTACCGCAACCGCAACCACAACCACAAACACCACTCCTCTCACAATCACACTCAACGCCACAACAACTTCCATCACACCAGCATCACAATCTGCACCAATCAATACAAGCACAACAACAACTCAAACTCAAACTACAACAAACATCACAACTACAACTGGTCCAACTGCATCTACTGAAACTACTCCATCCACCACATCAACCGCAATCACAACCACAAACACAACCACCAATCCAAACATAACCACCATCACTCTACCCACAACACCCTACACATCTATCAACACGTCCACAACAACATCAACCAGCATCACAACTACACCTTCCACACTCAACGCTACCACTCTCCCAACAACCCTCAACACCGCAACCGCAAACGCTACCGCTACCGCAACCACAACCACAAACACCACTCCTCTCACAATCACACTCAACGCCACAACAACTTCCATCACACCAGCATCACAATCTGCACCAATCAATACAAGCACAACAACAACTCAAACTCAAACTACAACAAACATCACAACTACAACTGGTCCAACTGCATCTACTCAAACCACTCCATCCACCGCATCAACCACAATCACAACCACAAACACAACCACCAATCCAAACATAACCACCATCACTCTACCCACAACACCCTACACATCTATCAACACGTCCACAACAACATCAACCAGCATCACAACTACACCTTCCACACTCAACGCTACATTAACATCCATCACACCAGCATCACAATCTGCACCAATCAATTCCAACGCATCTCAAACTTCAATTCACCTTAGTACTGCAACTTTTTCTACTCTCTCTACATCAGTTCTCGTTAGTACATCATTTTCTCTTCCCAATAATTTTTCGGGTAAGTCCATAAGCTCTTGCTATTTTTCAATGCATTATAGATTTACTTTGTTTAGTTTTCGATCTTGCGTATTATTTTTCTCCCCTTTAGTTTTCCAGGTATATGTTTTTTTTCGTCTAAACTGTTTCTTATTTCGTATTTGCACTCTTTAAATCTCATGTGTCTATGATGACTTCAAGTAAAATTATTATTATACATATTGTTGAATACCCTAATCATATGTTGTTTAGTGAAATAATATTTCTCAGTAGCAATACTGTTTAACTAATCTCAGTTTGTGATGTTTATAATCCACATTATAACTAACTAAATGGTACATTATTATATATTGTGCACAAGACTTTGATCATTTATCACTCTGCATATTTGGCTGATACATGAACTAAGAATGATGATTGATAACATTTATAAAATGATGTATTCTCTTATTAGATAATTGAAACAATATGCTCTGATAATTATCACCTATTGTACTGAAAAAGAGTATAAACGAACACTTATTTATGTCAGATCATATAAAGAGAGGTTAATTAGTGGCTACTATGTTCCATATTCGAACCCTGTCTTATCTATTTTGACTTTTGCAACCACTTAGTATATCTTTATTCTTTATTACAATGCACATTTACCTGATTAGTGATTTTATTAGAAATTACATTTTTATTCAGTCCCAGCAGTGTTTAGATGACTTCATTACTTCCGATGTAACTCAGCTTTCACGAAGAGGTGTCATAACTCTTCTAAATGAAGACTTCCTAACTCCCAGGGCAGAGTCTAAATGGTTTGACTTAGATTTTCTTATTAGCGTTTTTCAGCGAGTTATTTTTCGTTGAAACTATGTCACTAACCCCATGCCAAACTGTCCTGCTTTATACTGGCTCGGAACTGGCAGAAGCCTCAAAGGGTCTGTAGGCGGAGTTAAATACATATAACCTTATTATTAAGCATTAAAGTGATAATATTTCACTATGGTTGATCCGATCGATACAGTGAAACTTTCAATCAAAAAATTCAACTAATCAATTTCAATCATTAACATAAAAAATAACAAGAAAATATCAAGGATAATTACATCAATCAATGAAGACAATGTTGGAATGATGATAATACTGAAGACCCAGTAATTAATCTCTATTTTCTTCCCTTCTTTTATTTGAAAAGAAAGAAATGATTCATTAAAACAATATTCTGATGAACAAGTTTTAATCATGCAAGTGAAATTACTGTTAACAATCTCTAATCCTACTTCTTTGATGCTTTATGCATCTTAATCTCGGTCAAGATGATACATTTTTACTATACATAGATATATTACTTATATTACTTATGAGTAGTCGAAAAGTATACGCCAAATCTATTCATAATATCAAGCATGTGGTTTTTATTCGTTTGACAGAAAAATATGAGTGATATGCCTATTAGACTTGATGATGTATTAAAATTCTAAACAGACTTGTTGTAAGTTGAATAATATCATTCTTGTTAAACTGATTTTAAATCTAAATTCATTTGGTATTGCTTTCTTGTATATCTACCCATTGATGTTTAGGATCGCGATTGATCAATCTCTCGTTGGTATATGTGTATTCTGTTCGGATTGCCTCGATATTGCCTTAATTCGCAAGCTTTATAATCAAAGATGGATGGTGGATAGTAGTGTAATTCAGAATGTACGCTACTTCATCCTAGTTGGGACTCGTCAGCTGGATAGACCGGCATCAATTGCAGTCCTAAACAACGATGGGAAAATAAAAGTAAACAATACCAAATGAATTTAAACTTCATCTCATTGAACAAGCATGTGACTATTAGGACTCATTAGCTAAGTGGACAACGTGATGATGTCTGAGGCGAACAGCATTGTATTTGAGTCTCTGAGTGAACATCAACTCTTGAATGAAGATATATGAAGTGGCACGCGTCCCGGATTACACTGCTAACCACCATCTATCACTCATTATGATGCTTATGACTTCATGCAATATCAAGGTAATTTGTATAGGATGTATATATGCCAATTAGAAATTGATCAATTGTAGTCCTGAACATCAATGGGAGGATTCGAACAACCAATGAAAATTTTATTATTATTATAATTATTATTATTATCCAGCCAAGTGATTGAGGAGTGTTCGTTCCGTTTCGATGCCGATGGCAACAAACAATCATTGTATATGCACCAGAAATTGATTTTCTAAAATATTCTGAACTATGTCAACAGATTTATCGATGTGGTCAGTGGTCTAATTTAAGCATATTGAATTGGAGAGTATTTGAGATAAAGTATTGAATGACATAATTTATGTGCTTGGCCTAACAGATACATAATTAGACTACTGAATTCGATTATTATTTCTTGTTAAAACATTAGTAATGAAAACAATCTAGAGAAAAGTATGATTTATATTGAAGCTATATCATTTGTATTATCTGTGAATTGTTCATTATCTAATTGTAACAATATGTTTTACCTTAAACCAGGGGAAATTATACCTACTACTCCTGCTCCTCCTACTAATACTACGACTACTACTCAGTCAACGACAAAACCAACAACAGTAACAGCACAACCGCAGGTAGACGTGTTATCGACGACGACGACGACTACAACGACAACAAAATCGTCTGACACAACAACACCAACCTATGATGGAGTACCTACATACAGTTTTGTTGAATTTTCTCTGACAACGAGACCGTCAACAGCAATCGCACCGGTTATGCTACCACTCGGTTAGTTAACTTGTACAATTTTATCGACTCTGAACTATTTAGAATAATATTTATGTCAACTGACTGAAAAAGATGAATAAGATAGCATGACTGTAATAATAATAATCGATGAATTACTCTGTTTGTTGACGATAGTTTCTTCATTGAACGTTTGGAAGAACTATATTTTCTATTGACCGTTGAAGCAAAAGAACGGGCAGTAAATAATAAAAACTGCAAACTCTGAAAAATACAATTCCTCTTTCCGATGCCTAACTTTATTATTATCACTTTTTCTTATGATTGTACCTGTTAATGCTCGAACTTTTACTGTGAACTATTAAAACTATATGATTCTAGTCAGCTAGTCACTAACTTGATAAACTGACTATCAGTTTACTCAATTACACCTTGTTATAATTTGTAGCCTGTGTGCCTTATTAATGTATAATGTAAAGATACCGCCAATTTGATAGCAGTGAATTATCATCGGACCAATGACACCTAAAACCCGTACGAGCAGTCTAGAATACTTATTGGTCCTGCTTCCTGCCTAGCTCAGCCAGTTAAGTCCAGAAAACCAATCACAGCCTCTGCAATACGAACCATTTATTTCAAGCATACTGGGTTTATATAGCAACCAGACAGACCACATCGTAGCATAAAATATAAAAAAAAACATTTGTACAAGATTTAGCCAAATGCGGCTAGCCAGAAGTGGCTGTGAATGTGGAAGATAGTGATTGATAGATTGGGTATAACTCATGAATGGCAAATCGTACAATAATAGCTCATAGGTCAAAATTAAGCTCACAATAAGATGGACATGAATATGAATAGTTTATTTACATAACAATCATATGACAAAAATATACGCATAGTATTGGTCCATAAATAGATCCCAACAGTTACCATTCATTATGCTTTTGGGGATATAACACATCTGTTACCTCTCGTGAAACTTAGGCTCCTGACCAGGAATCTAATAAATAATCTGTTCTGGCCACTCCTATCCAACTGTTTCCAAGTACTATAAACTACTAATATTTAAATTCAATATTGTAATGGTTATTCAAATCTTACCATTGATATTTAAGACTGTCATTGATTTGTCTCTAATTGGTATATGTGCATTCTGTACAGATTACCTTGATATTGCCTTAAGTCATAAGCATTATAAAGGTAAATACATGATAACTAGTAGTGAAATCCAAGATGCATGCACCATTTCATTTATCATCTAAGATATACCTTCATCCCACAGTTGATATTCACTACAGGACTCGAACCCAGAAACAGTTTATGATAACAAATTTTAAAATGTTCCATCATTATTTCCTATTTCATTTCAATTCTATTTCAGTTTCTACTAAATTCAATGTTAAATCAAATTTATATAATCAAGTTAATGATACACCAGTTGAATGGATTGAAGAATATGCCAATACAAGTTCACCTGGTTATGCTAATTTAAAATCAAAATATTGTGATTTAGTATGTTTAAGTCTTTAATAACAGTCTCTCTCTTTTCTTTGTATTTCATCATGTTCTTTTTTTATATTTTATTGTACTATACATAGTTACGTAACTGATTACTTTCAGATGATTTACCTATAACGTGAAGATCAGTAGGGACAATCAAATGTTGGTCTCCAAGAAGTATATTCTGAAGTTCTAGTGAGAAGCCGTGACCAATGGAGTTCAACCGGATCTGTTGTAAGATAGTAAATCACTGACGATAATGGTGGACGGTGGAGCGACTTCACGGATTGGTTGAAGTTAAACATTAACACTGTTGGATACCAGCCTGTTCAATGGTCTAGTGGTTAAGCGCTTACACGCGAGACTGATAGGTCCTGGGTTTGAATCTCACGAGGTGGGATCGTGGATGCGCACTGCTGATAAGTCCGACAAGTAGGACGAAACGGCCGTAAGATTCGAATAATCAATACAGAAATGAATTAAAGTTATATAAGAGGTTAAGCTTTGATGAGTTCTTTAGTCCTGATCTGATTCTATTAATATAAGTAATTTAACACTGCATGACCAATTATGAAAGATAGTCGGTCGACAAACTTTGCACTGAGTGTCATGTGATTTCTAAACGTTTCAGTCCTATAGAACTTCATTGACGACATGGATATCTCAGTAGTTATATCATAGACTGTGAAGCTGTTTAGTTGAGAGCTAGATCCACTAGGAAACATCGGTTCCTTCAAGGCTTCTACATTCAACAGGCCAATATCAAATTGAATAAGTCTGGATAACTCATCAGTTTACTTAATAAAGTCCGGATTTTGTAATTGAGCCATTTCCAAACTGACAAAGATTCGAATTAATTCTATTGATCAGTCTTAAATAATAAGATATCACAAATGACCACCACTCATAATCCTTTGAAATATGTTCTTAGAAGGATTATGAAAAAGAGAATTTACAAACTTAATGATGAATTCCAAGATTTCACAAATGAGAAATAACGGGACGTTACTATTCGCGTCCTAATTCTGATAGTAATTTATTATTGTACTTACAACATTATTGACAATATACATCACAAATCTCCAATCATCTTTCTATTTGACGCTAATAAACCCCTTGGTTTTCATTATTACTATATTTGATCCCAATCTCTGGGGTGTACAAACTTTAAAAGTTATTATGCTTAATGTTTTAATCGTATTGTTTCATTTTTTTCTCCCTACTTTTGAAATATATATTACTAACAACGATAGTTAACATACTACTTAAAACAAGGTGATAGTAATGCAGCAGATGGTGCAAGTTGTGAACAAGTGACTTTTACACCAGTAACTAGTACTAGACCAGATGGTACAGTGGTACGAACTGTAAAAGGTGATTCAACGATTAATGTACCGACAACAACAGGAACACAATTAACGGGTAATCAACTTTATGGATTATTTATAAATGGATATAATAAAACTAGTACAGCACCATCATCTATTAAACTAAATGCATTAGATGTTCAACGTAAGTAAAATCATTTAATTCTATCTGTTATATTTCTGTTAAAATTTGTCTTTATTTGTCATTGAGATTCATATCCTACTCAGTCAGTTCGTTAGTTGCTATGCAGAACTTGGTACATATGTATATCCGCTCAGATTATTATACCCCATTAATACAATGAGATGAAATTGTCAAAACTAATCGCAGAGCAGTAAAGACAGTAGTAGTAGTATTATTGGTAATCAAAAAGATTAAACACTCAAGATTCAATATAAGAGGAAAATATAGATTAATGAATTAATGATAGAAGTTTATGAGGAATTAAGAAACTTAGGATCCAAAAGAAGATGAATAAAAGATTACAGTACATGTATCTGAGACATTCTGAACGATTTTGAGCTATGTCACTCAAAGTCTCGAATCATTGGTCACGAGAAACACGTAGATCCTAAGGAGGTAATATGTGTCTACTTACTGTTGGAGGTACTTATATCATCATTATATATTGAATAGATAACTTTATTGTTGTGTTTCTATGGTGTTGTTCTTACTGTAATTGGATTGCATTATATATTTTCCTGGTAGCTAATAACTTCTAGCTAATCATGTACCTTTTGCTCTAACCTCTATCGTTTATGGTATGGTTGTATTAAAGATGTGGTTCTTATTGAGTAATAAATGAATGGAATGCAATGGACAACTAATCAGCTTACTATTATCGTTTACGGATAGATTATAAGAGACTGGAGTACCAAAAAGCATTTAAGCCTTGATTATGGTTCATTGGTTGATGTGTTTATTCTTGAAATAGTAGATTACTGGTTTGACTGGGAATATAGTATATGATATTGATTAGAATGTTCAACCATAACAAATTAGCGTTCCTAATAACGTCCAATCAAACAGTCACGTTCAAATCAATCAACTGAATTGAATTGCATACTTTACTTCATAAACTATACTTCGTTAGACAATCACTGGAACACATGAAGTATCCTAGACTAGGAAATCGTCATCAGTATAGATAAATAACCTCACTCTAGATCAAACCCAGGAATCACAGGCCTGGTAGCAAGTGTTTAACATCTAGACTACTGAGACAAAATCAAACTTTACATTTCTCACTTCAATCAATTTGCGATATTATACAACTAATTTCTAATATCATCAGTGACTGATTGTATAATATTCGATATGACTGAAATCTACTTCTTACAGTTTCACATTAGAACACCAGGAATTGATTGTACTGATGAACATATGATTATCATTAGTAGAACTGGTTTTCAGGAAGTGTTGAATTCGTTATGGAAACTATAAAACTCAAAATTCTTCACAGACCCTTTCTACTAATAAGTTTAAATGTGGAAATTAACTATTAATTACTGAAATTGATCTGTGGGTAAGGTAAATAACAATTGATCATTTGCTTAGTCAGATCAGCAGAGATGGTCTGATAGGTGTTCGATGAATTATATAATCTCCTATCCTTATTATTAGTGTGATTGTTGTTGGGTTTTGGTGTGGAGGAATACTTACGTCCTATTCAGCCTAGTCATGTATTTTTGATCTGAATTGCGTTGAAGTACTGTAGAATAGAAAATGGAAGGGTATGTAGTATAGATATTCGTCTATAGGAAATTAACGTCCTATTCATGTAGACGAGGAAACTTACGTATGTTACTCCTCATGGAGGAGCATAGGCCGCTCACCACCATTCTCCATCCAACCCTGTCCTGGGCAATCCTTTCCAGCTCCTTCCAGTTGTTATTCATCCTTTCCATATCTGCTTTTATTTCCAGACGTAATGTGTTCTTTAGCCTTCTTATTTTCTGCTTCCCTTCAGGATTCCAAGATAAGGCTTGCCTCGTGATACAGTTTGATGATTTCTATAAAGTATGTCCTATCCACTTCCAACATCTTTTCCTAATTTCCTCTTCAGCTGGAAGTCGGTTATAGACAAAGAAAATAGAGTATTATAACAGAAATAATTTGTTTTTAATCAATCTAAAACTTTGTCAAGTAAAACTATCAAACTGGTATACTTTGTTTTCATTTGAGTTATAACATTTCCCAATATTGATTTTGTCTTTTATTAAAAACACTTACTATAACAGGCACTTCAGGTACAGTTACATGTTCACAATTTACTAATCCATGTGGAGAACATGCTACATGCCGTGATTCTCCTCCAGGAATTACTTGCTTTTGTAATTCTATGTGGAAAGATATGAATCCAAATGATCCTGGAAAACAATGTGCTTGTAAGTAATGCAGATTTGATTATTCATATTATATATCTAAGCATTTTTGAATCCAAGTTAATTTTGTTAAGTTGATTGTTTCCCATTTAAAAACACCGATTGAAAGTATAACATAAAAATATATATAATATTTGATTAACATTGATTAGTGACCAATGAAAATCTGGAAGCACTGAACGGCCGTTTTGTCCTAGTGTGAGACTCCTCGGCAGTGTGCATCCACGATCCCGCTCGCGGGATCTGAACACAGGACCTCCGGTCTCGTATCTGAACGCTTAACCTCTAGACCACCGACTCGGTATCCAACAGTGTTAATGTCTAACCTCAACCAATTCACAAAATCGCGTGACCATCTATCATTGTACTGAAGTAGATATCTGTCTCTACCTAACACGGATTAGCTCCGATAATCAATTTTTAATGAAAGCAAGATATTTAACATTTTTCGACCATTTTCCGTTCATTTAATGTGTCACTGTTATGTAACAGAGTAATTTTCAATGGAGACTTAATTTTCATCATCTAAAGTTCACTACATATTTTCTTCTGTGAACAGTCTACTGTAGCGCATCCCAGTCTGCCGGATATAAAAAATCAAATGAAGCGAAAGTTGGGGCATGAAATGAAGTCCTCAATGAAAAGTATTCTCCTATCGGGTAACATTTACTCATTAAGTTAATGGAAAAATACTAGATCTTCCATATTTATTAAACATTTTAAGGCAGAGACGCCATCAATTGACAGGTATGTATCCTGATACACATTGCCAAGTCAAATAACACTCAATCGTTTCAGATATACATTGTCTTAATGACCTTGGATGGTCATTGAATGAACGCACAAATAATAAATACAATGATAAATTCCTTGATCTGTATAGATCTAATATTTTGACAACCTCAATCTTTCACCTACTATATACCTTATTATCTCATCAGTTATAAATTAAAAGTATGTGATCATTACCATTAGAATTAACAACCAAAATTGGACAGAGTAACCTGATTCCTGGAGTTGTATTTGATTTCGGTTGTGTGTACTTAAATCATTGATATTAAGAATTTGGACAAAAGATTTTCTAACATTTTCTTACCAGTTACCCATTCACAAGTATCTTTTTCAACCTGGAAACGTATAAGGAATATGTTTGACGCTCGTTTCTTAACTATGCTTCTCTGTCTGACACAATACCAAGACCACTAGTACTTCATAAGTTCACCATCGTTAACACTGACAGCTGAATATACCGACACACTGCGTTCTTACGTGTCTGGAAAAGAACAGCACATTGTACTTTGCGTAACCTTCACCCATTACCTGAGGTGAATAACTATCTGACACACAAAATGGATTGAACTCTTTTGGTTATGGCTTCTCAGTAGAAATACAGGAGTTACCTATTGTTCAACTAACTCATCCTACAAATAATTCACTAATGACTTTGTATTTTGATAGAAAGTAGTTTAACATAATGATGTCAAATTGAGATTTCCAGTCATTTGTAGCGTGGCGTCGAGTTAAAATTGACTATGAACACCGCTACAAAGGATCGCGTGCCAAACAAATCAGAAGCCGAAGGTTGAATGTAACCAAATAAATCCATAAAATTTCCGAGAAGCCAAATATCAGAAGGCAGTTAATGGACCAAATCGAGATATATTTGCTGGCGATCTCGTGGTATCGAAAGGATACCGAGATCGTGCCATGATACAAGCTTGGTTACAGAACGTAACCGAATTCGCGCGGAGTCACAATCAAAGTGTAAGAATAAGAATGGAAGCACAATATAGCTGTCATTAGCACAGTCAGACAAAAGCACATTAAAACAAACACTGGTACAGTTGGTTATAATAATAATTGTTTTTATTAAACCAGTCGTGTTCTCGTGATAAATGTGAGTCATTACACATTAATCAGACTGATCTTAGTTGGGTCAGCATTAAAAACCAAAGAACACTTGGGATCTATTGTGACTTGTGGTGTTCAGATATGTTAGAAGTGAAATTATTGTATTACCGATGGTGTTGAATGACTGTAGCACACATCACAAATTGACTAAGGATGGAAGTGCACATGTGGTTGAAGGTTCACTACGAAACATAAGGGTCCTGAGTTTAGTTCTTGAAAGAATCATAGATGCATATTGTTCAGGAATCTAATACTAATACGAAATAACTAACTATCCAGTACTTAGTCATTTGAACATGAAGGCAGATATCAAAAGAGTTATTAGCACATAGAAATAACCGAAAAGTAGAACTTAGGAGAGAGTAGGTTAAAGATTCCTGATAAGTGGGTTATGTTACACGAAGAGTTACAGATGTAAGTAGGTAGTCAAGTAAAACTTGGCAATTTACAAGACTCTCTCCAATTCCGATTAGCCTATGATGAATACAATCTATATTATTAAAACTTAACTATTATGTAATATGATCTAATCTATGTAACTAAAATAGAATTATTTATTTACTTTTTATCTTCTATTTTCATTGTAGTACATCCAGCTGCAATTGCATTAATTGTTTTAGCATCATTACTATTACTGGCTGCATTGATCTTATTACTTATTTGTTTATTACGTAGACGTCGACGAAGGAATAGTTCCATTCTAGCATCAACAGATTTAGCAACATTGAATAAGCTAAAAGAAACTAAATCATGGAGATCAAAGTTAGATAAAAATAAAATTCAACTTGATGGAGATCAGTAAGTGTTCTGTATGAATATGAAATAGATAAGTATATAGATGGGTGTGATTATTTTTTTCTAGAGTGATAGAGTCACTCCTATTACTCCTTGTGGAGGAGCATAAGCATAATTATTTTTCTGGTTAGTGTTTTTTTTAACGAGTTAGTTTTCTGTGGGATGTGGTCGCTAACTCTATGTCCAATCCTCCTCTTTTACCCGAACTTGGAACCGGCAGTAACTGTAGAAGAGATGCAGGCGGCGTTGATTATTTCTTCTAGCTTACAGATAATAAATGATGTGACATATGATATCCAACACTTGGATTACTCTAATTCAAACACAATTGAATTCGTGAGTCAGTTAAAACCAAACCATCATGGAAAACTTGAAAACACTGGCCAACCGTTTTGTCCTAGTAAGGCACTTTTTAGTGGTAGTGCGCATCCACGATCTCGCTCGCACGATTCGGACCCAGGGCGTATCGGCCTCGCACGCGAACATTTATCCTCTAGACCACTGATTCGGCCAGCATCCAACATTGTTAATGTTATCTTCAACCAATCCAGGATATTTTTCGACCATCCACCATTGTCTTCATTGAATTATTATCTCATGACAGACCTGGTTGAACTCCATTGGTCACGGCTTCTCACTAGAACTCTAGGAAATACTTCTTTCTCATTAAGTTCTATAATTATATATCCAACCTAATAATCTATAAAACTGGCTAGGTCCTACGCAAAGTACATATAAAATTGTAACATGTGAATCAAGGATTGTTTGCCATCGTTAATGTTGGGATGACTAATATGAAGTGTTAGCTTGAATCAGTTTATAAGTGAAATGAATGATCAGAATAAGTACGATCAACATGGGGTGAGAGAGAGAGAGAATAGTGTAATTACAAATCGAAAATTACGTAATACGTAGAATAAGATAGATTAGGCAAGAATTGATGTATGACAACTTGAACCTACTGTGGGAGAGAACGGACCAGATCCCAGTGGAGGAAGAAGTCAGAAAGAAGCGCATTGAGGGAAGCACCGAACTGCGTCACAAAGCAAGCCCTCACATGAAACCCTCAAGGTCAAAGAAGAAGAGGAAGACCAAAGAACACATTAAGTCGAGAAATGGAGACAGACATGAGAAGAATGAACAACAATTGTATAGAAGTGGAAAGGAAGGTCCAGGACAGAGTGAGTTGGATAATGGTGGTCGATGACCTATGCTCCATTGTGGGTAACAGGCGTAAGTAAATAAGTACGTAAGTAATTAATATTACCTCGATTAACGAGACGAAATTCCCCTACTATGTATTTTATCCACATGATTTATTGTATTATTATAATATTGAGAACAACTTGACACTTTGTTACGAATCATTCTGATCTTTATTAAATGACCTTTCTAAATTATAAATAACACAACATTGAAGTACTTATGCTGTATTATATGATTAAGTTCATAATTTTTCACGCATAATTACTTAATGTATCCCTTATTTTGGCTGTCGAAAGTTAATACATTGACCTAACATTGATCAGTTCATGAAACTATGCTTTACTAGATGTTTGTAGAGTAGTTTTAAAACAGATACTAACCGCTTTGCCACAGTATGATAAGAGGAATCGTGCATGTCCAAAATTAGTCTCAAAGGGATATCCGGTTTGTGTACCTTCAGTAGTTCGTCTAACCTAGTTAAATAGGTAACTATCGGCTTAACACATCGTGTTAACAGCAGTTTATCTAATTCCGTCAGAGTGAGAATCCTGCAGATGGCTGAAGCAATTGCTATTCGGATAAAAAACAATCAGAGTTTTTTCATCTGAAAGAAATATGTTCAACCGCTCCTTTTACTCTGGCCAACTTCGGGCTTAACTAGTTAAAAATCAATTTTATGATATGATGACATAATTTGAATGATGTCCATTTTTATATCTTAAACTTATCTTATTCACACATCTTACCATTGTCATCATTATCATTACACTTACTAACCTTTCTGAGACACTTATTCAGCATTCGCTCTTATCTGCTAATGCGTGCCCTACTTACTTACTTTACGTACTCACTTGTTTACTTACGCCTGTTACCCACAATAGAGAATAGGCCACCGACCACCATTCTACAACTCACTCTGTCTCACAGTAAGTTGTTGCTGATAATGTCTGGTCAACGGATCCGAAGTTTCTTGAGTAGACAACTGTTAATAAACAATTGTATCTTCTGGATGATGGCTTTCATAGTTCTCCAAGTTTCCGCTCCATACAGCAGAACCATGGATATAATATGTCAAAGTAATTATTATAGATAACTCATGTGAATTGGGAAATCTGAATGGGTGGATTAAAAAAGTTATAAGCACTTAAGCTATTGAAAGGTGTGATACGACGTTTATAACATCCAGTTTATGTATCTAGTGATCTAGTTGTAGATCAAGGTAAACATAGGGGCCAGATATACCTCTTTTGGATACATAAGTTAGATTTTCAGGAGTTGATCCAGGGGGCTTCAGGTGTGTAGAAGAATCGTAACCTCGCTCCGTTATGTAGATTGTTAAGAGCTTGATAAAAAATAGGGAAAGCTTCGTCTATTTTTATATTCTGTTCACTATCTGTCAAACGAGAAAAAATGACGCTGTTAACAGACTTCGTGATTCCTTTTGCCAAACATGCTGGTACATGTTCACCAGCAAGCAAGGATAAAGCCCTCTGAGTATGCCCTGTGTAACTATCTCCACAGGAGCAGTTAAATTGATGTACACAAATGGAGGACCTCATTATCAGTAACCTATCCTTAATTTGTTGTGTAAGTACTAGTTTGTTTGAGAAGATTATATGTAACTCGGTGCTATAAAATACCATTTCATTAGATTGTTTGAGTCGACTTGTTAAAATATTACTCGCTATGTCCCCATTAAAATCAAGTTTTTTGGCCGGAGTTTGTTCTGTTTTTACCTTCTGACAGAAATTTCATACATAATTATCTGGATATCCATTATTTCGTAACGCGTTCTTTAATTTATCTATTTCGCTATCTACATTGTCCTCAGGATATAATAGTTTGATTTTGTGACCTTTTGGTTTACCAGTATGGGGTTGTGGAAATCGTTGAATTTAATTGAGATTGATAGCCAGTCTAAGTTAAACACAAACACTGGATAGCTGTTTCGGTCAGGGATGAAGCTGTTCATCGACGTGTATCCACGGACCCACACCTGAAGACCAAATGAAAGAACTACGATTTCGCGAACGGACGCTTATCCTTGAAACTACAGGGCCAGAATTCAATAGTGTACAGATTTAACTTCAATCGACTGATGATATTGAGTTACTTTGTCCAATTTTCTTCCATAAGTACCTTAGTCATAACCCACACAGCTGAAATTCATTAGAACTGTCGAGATTTCCTCTCAGAGCTAGTCACTAGTGAGCACACGATAATTATCACTACAGCACTGTGGAGATCGTTCAATGTGATAAGATTACGAATCGATCTAGTGAGATACATCTACCAAGACACATTTGCATGAGATTCTTACTTTATTATGTTTTTGTAGGTCCATTTCAATGGCTCGTGCTTCAGTGACAGATAGCCCAATAGCATTAACATCTATTCCAGCGTCGTGAGTTATAAGTTGATTTGATTTTATGATTAACTGGAGTATTCATGCCGTTAACTAATGTAATTGGATAAATTTTGTTATACCAGCATAGGAAAATGGTAAACCAACTTATCCACTATTATGAAAATATGGTTTTCTTATATGTTGGATAAGAATCCGGGCTGTGATTCTGTATACATGTAATAAACGTTTTCATTAACAGACAAACAGCCTGAGCTTTGACATATGATATGCTTCGATAGACAACGGCCAACATTAAATTGCCACTAGTGGATCATCATGCACGTCTTTCTTCTATCCTAAAATCTAGTCCAAAATGAAAACATAGTGAACAGGGAAAATTATTATTATATTTCAAACCATCATGGATTTATCAAGATGATCATTTAAACCACGACGGATCCTAAGCAAAGGAACATACTTTTCGCAATGAGATGATCACTGGATAGTAATCAATGTTATGTATGTCAGATCCTTCTTAGTGCGTATCGAATTTTATCGATCAAGTTGTGATGTGACTACCAGTATAGGTGACTCAATATCGTGTGCACTATGCTGAGATACAAGGTAGTGGTTGGAGGTAGTTGACAAAAACCCTGGACCTAGGCTTCATGTTACTTGTCGCTCGTTACGATGGTGTACCTGTATCTATCATAGCCCATTAATCGGTCAATTATAGATACATCTCAGTCTTGCAGAAAGTGAGTCGGTGTCCGGATAGTTTTGTGAAAAAGTCTATGACTGCGGAGTAGGGTGGCATGACTTCCAATCCATCGAATTTCATCAATTTTCTTGATGCTACGTGTACGTCTTGTTGATGAGTACCAAATAGCACAAAACCTATGTTCATAGTTTCTTGTTGACTTGCTGTAACCACTTCCTTAAAAATCGTACTTTTCATACAATCGAACTACAGTATTTTAAAGACATGAACCAATAAGTGAATAATCAGTGAACACCAATTAGAATACTCGTAAACGCCTGACAATAGTTACGCTATCTGACAGTCACTTAGAGTTTATAGAATATGAGCATATAATAGTCTATTTCATTAGAAAACTGTCTAACAGTAATAATAATAATAATAATCAGTAAAATGGTTAGGAGAATTTAATACTCAATCTGTTTCAACGTTTGGAATTTTTTCCATTGAGATCATGAATCGATTGGCGTTAGATCACTATTGATAACCTGGAAGCACTGGACGACCGTTTCAACTCATTATGGGACTCCTCAGCAGTGCGTATCCATGAACCCGCTCGCGGGATTCAGACCCAGGACCTACGCTCGACTTCCAGAACACTGAGCCGGCATTCCATAGTATAAATGTTTAACTTCAACTAATCCACAAAATTGAGCACCCATCTTCCTTTGTATTAAGGTAGATACCTGTCTGTTGAATAAACTACTTAGACAATTGTTGATTTTAATCATGATACACTGTCGAATAATTGAATGATTTGTCTTATTTGGTTTACTGGCATTTGTCACTTCTCAAAAATTAAAATATAAATTAAACTAGACCACTATTTGAATTATTTCCTAAAATTAAAGATTCACTTTGACTGTCCGGTATAGGCTAACACATTGAACTATAGATTACATAATATCCACTAAACTATTTCATATGAATTAGAGAATACACTCTCATCGAAGTTATATTCATTCCGTTGTCAATATCTGATGAATGTGTTTTGGTAATTGGTTGAAGATCACAAACGAAAAACTTCATTTCATTATCGGATTATATGATTAATTTAAATTCATGGACCAATCCACGTGGGATCACCATTGAAAACCTGTATGCACTGAGTAGCTTTTTCATTGGCATTGGGCACCCACGACTCGGCACGTAGGAATCGAATCCACAATCTTAGATCTCGTGCATGAACACTAAACTTCTAGATCACCAAGCCGGCATCAAATGGTGTTAATGACTTATTTCAATCAATCTATGGTGTTGCACGAGCATCTTCTCTTTTCTTCGACAGATAACTGTCTCACACCTGACACAGTCGGACTCCACTTGTCATGGCTTCTCACTAGAACTCATCTTGAAACTAGTCATCAATGAGTACATGATTGTTGGATTCATATTTTTAGGAATTTACGATTTATGTTTTTCAACAGGCCAGTTCCACTAACAGGTTTACCAATGCCACTTACTCCAACAGCGAGTAACATGATTGACGGTCTTCCACAAAGAGTTGGAAGGTAAGTCACACAGTTTTTGTCAAAACCTTCCGTTACTATGGAAACACAAAATAATTCTATGTTTCACCTTCTTTTTCTAATGAAGAATGATCCATGTTTGTAGTATACATTCATCTATGGATTAACATAATGCATATTTTTTTGGATTAACACAGATGCAGTAAGGAAATTTTGTTGTAATATTGTATACCGTCCTAACACTTATAATCGCATTAACCCAGTTAACACTTGATTACCTAAGACAATTCTTCTTATTCTTAGACTACCAATCAGAACACTTAAAATCGTCCTCAAGTAACTTGTATTATTTAGACTATTGTGATTATATAAACTGGAATGGAACAGAATATATGATGAATTAGAACGAAGTGACAAGTTTAGAATTTTGAAGAGAGTCAGAATTCAGATTTGGTCAAAACAACATGAATTCATTATTATTTGACTAGCTTCTCCTCAGATCCCAACAACTTGTAATATATGTATACACATATATTCACTAAAAGTGTACCTCAGTAGTACATAAATCTTGTGAGGGCTTTTCACTCGAACACTACTAGTCGAGTCAGAGCTTATGGCGAATCGTCATCTGCTTTTACAACCTCATGTGGTGTCCGTCAAGGTTGTCCACTTTCTCCATTTTTGTTAAACGTCGTCACAGACCTACTGATGCAAATAACACTCTCACCAACTGAATCTTCGGGTATCGATCTCCAACAAGCAGGTTGACTTATCAGGTGGTATAGTCCATTATGGTGAAGACGCTGATAGAATTCAGAATCTTTTGATAGCACTATGCAATAATTCCAGAATATTTGCAATGCGTTTCTCTCTTTCTCTCTCTCTCTCTAAATGCAAGTTGTTGCTTCACGACTGGTCTGCGTCAACACGTGAACTAAGGATACGGAGTGAAGTAGTCGAACGCGTTGACAACTTCATTTATCTCGGAACTCTGATCAACCCTAATGGGTTGGTGTCTAACGAAATCTCAGCACGGATTCGAAAAGCTCGTCTGGCTTTCAACAACTTACGTGACCTATGGCGAAGACGAGATATCCGTCTATCAGCTAAGGGATGAGTGTACTTTGCGGCAGTTCGTTCTGTTCTACTTTACGACTGCGAAACGTGACCATTAGGAGAAAAAAATATTCGTAAGCTACTAGTATTTGACCACAGATGTCTTAGAAATAATGCTCGGATTGGCTGGGATCACCGGGTAAGTAAAAGTGAGGTTAGACGTAGGGTATTAGGGAATGATGTAAATCAGTTGATGAGGTTGTAAATCTTCATCGACTGAGATCGTTAAGCCGCGTGTTGCTTATGCTTGAACACCGATTACCACGACGCGCAACACTGACTAGTGTGGTAGACATGTGCCAGAAAGATAGGCGCGGACACACTAAAACGCGAAATCAGTACTTCAAGTCACTAACTTCTAGTCTGACCCATGTCAGTAGATAAAGACTAGTTGGTTGGGGTCCACGTGACAATCGTGACCAATGGTTGGAGATTCTGTGTGACATGGCTCAGAATCGATCACAATGGTATAGATGTGTACACTAGTTGTCTACCCTTAAACTTTGAGATTAAAATTAATTTATATCTTTCTTTCTACGAACTAATTCTTTTTTACTGTACCATGTCCTCATATGCAATCTTTCTTTTAAGCATTACTACCATTGAAGTGACTAATTCTATGAATCGGTGTTCATCTTGTTGTGCTAATGAAGTGTGCCAACTTGGACCGTTTCATAAATGTGCCTGTTCCTAGGTTGTATCTGATTGACCAACTGACTAAAGGAAAATTTTCTAAGTTCCACTTTATATTTATTTACTCACTCTTAACAAATACAAACGATTCTACTTTAACCACTAATTCCATAGATTGATTCGATTATCAGTTTTTTGTTTGATGAGAAGATAATTGTCCATACTAAATATCTGTTTCATATATTTACCACTTTTCTTCAGTCCCTATTGTCTTGATATCCTGTGTTTTTCTTTGCAGTGCATTGCCTCTTACAGGAACTGCCCTCCCCTTGTCTGCGCTCAGAGGTAGTATGCCGATTAACGGCATTCAACAAATTCCAGCATCGTAAGTCATAATTCATTGATTTTTTTCTTTGAAGTGTTAGACGTTTAGGTAAGTCTATAGTTTATGGACGAGCCAATCGAATTTAGGGTAACGGGTCTCAGATTTTGGCACAAACTCCATTCGCTTCATTTATTTAAATAGAATTTCGGCATTATAACTGATGTCAGTTTGTGATGAAAACCATAAATCTAATTCCTAACCTCAATCATCAACTTTGAATTAGACTCTTTATTGTTATCACTTCATCATAGACCTACCGATAGAATTAACGTTATCATCAACCGTAAATATTAATCTTAATTTCTCAAACCGGTTTATAACCCTGATTTGGACGTAGTATGTACGTGGACATTCTCAAGGTCTTTTTACCATTGCTCAAAGGTCGTCCATAAATTATAGTCTCACCGCAGAATAAACACTTGTATCTTCTGAATGATGGCTTTTGTAGTTCGCCAAGTTTCTGCACCATACAGTAGAACTGTCTAGATATTCGTATTGAAAATCCTGACCTTGGTGTTGTTTGACAGTTGTTTTGAGTTCCAGATGTTCTTCAGTATTAGATATGCTGTTCTCTCTATGCCTATCTGCGCCTTCACATCTGCATCAGATCCACTGTGTTCATCAATGATGCTTTCCAGATATGTAAATGCTTTTACATCTTCCAACTCTCCTATGTCAAGCGTGATTCGATTGGTGAATGCTGTTTTGTTTCAGAGAATATTGCTTTTCCCTTTGTGTATATTGAGACCTACTGCTGCTGAGGCCGCTGCTACACTGGTCTTTTTCACCTGCACTTGTTGTTGCGTGTGCGATAGAAGAACCAGGTCATCTGTGAAGTCTAGATCGTCGAACTGCATCCTAGATGGCCACTGTATCCCATGCTTCCCTCCAGATGTTGACGTCTTCATGATCCAGTCGATCACCGTGAGAAAGAGGAAGGGTGGTAGTAAGCAACCTTGCCTGACATCGGTCTTTACTTCGAACGAGTCTGTCAACCGTCGTCCATGCATTATTCTGCAGTTTAATCCATCATAGGAATTCCGTATGATATTGGTTATCTTCTCAGGCACGCCGTAGTGTCGAAGAAGCCTCCATAATGTTTTCCTGTTCACGCTGTCAAATGGCAACATCGATTGGGAGGTCCGTGGGAGCTACTTCGATGTTGGGTGGGTTCAGTGGAGCTGGTCGATTCAAGAGTTCTTTGAAGTGTTCTACCCATCTGTTTCGCTGCTCTTCAATGTTGGTGATTACCTCGCCTTCCTTGCTTTTTACTGGTAGTTCAGGTTTGCAGTGATTTCCAGAGAGTTTCTTTGTTATGTCATACAGTTCTCTCATGTTTCCTTCTCTTGCAGCCTTTTCCACCGTCATTGCTAAATCTTCCACATATTTACGTTTGTCGGTTCTAATGCTCCTCTTCACTTGTTTGTTTACTTCTGTGTATTCAGCTTGTGCCTTGGCTTTTTCTGCTCTTGTTCGACTGGTGTTGATTGCTGCCTTCTTGTTCCTCCTTTCTTGAATCTTATCCAGTGTATCAACAGTGATCCATTCCTTGTGATGGTGCTTCTTGTGGCCCAGAACCTCATGACATGTTGAAGTGATTGCTTCTTTGATCCCTTTCCAGTTGCTCTCCATAGTAGTTCCTTCTCCATTGAGTAGATCATGAAAAGCATGGAACTTGTTGCTGAGGACTATCTTGAATTTGTTGAGTTTGTCAGTGTCCTGAATAAAGGCCGTATTGAACATTTGTGATGTTGTCCCCCCATTGTCCAGTGCTTCTTGAGTTTCAATTTCATCTTGGCGACCAGCAAGTGATGATCTGATGCTATATCAGCTCCTATCTTGGTTCGCACATCCAACATCGTCCTCGTGAAATTTTTGTTGATGCAGATATGGTCGATTTGGTTTTGCGTGGTGTGATCCGGTGAAGTCCATGTGGTTTTGCGAATGCGTTTATGTGGGAATATGGTGCCGCCTATGATCAGTTTATTGAAGGCACATAGGTTTGCAAATCTCTCACCATTTTCGTTTCTTTCTATCAGTCCATGTCGTCTCATGATGTCTTCATAACCAGTGTTGTCCATTCCAACCTTGGCATTTAGGTCTCCCATCAGAAAGGTCAAGTCCATCGTTGGGGACTTCTCGACGATTGACTGCAGCCTATCGTAGAATTTATCTTTAGCGTCTTCGTTGTAGTCGTTGGTAGGCGCATAGCATTGGATGACGTTCATTAAAATGCCCCCTTTCTTTGTTTTGAAAGAGAATTTGATGATCCTTGTTCCATGAGATTCCCTTTATATAAGTGCATTTTGTGCTTAATTGGACAGCACTAATGCAACTCCTTGTATATGAGGGGCATTTTCTTCTTCATAGCCGAAAAATAACAAAAGCTCCCATGACACTAGTCATTGTTGTCCAGCTTGTGTCCAACGTGTTTCGCTGATCCCAAGCACCTCTAGGTTGTAACTCCTCATTTCTGCAGCAATTTGAAAGACTCGTCGGGTCTCCCACATTGTACGAGTATTCCAAGTACCTAAATAAATGGTTGCTCTGGTTGTAAGAAGAGCCATCGGCAACATGACTTTCGAAGAAACTCGACTTTTATCATGAGGCGTCATAACTCTTCAAAATACAGACTTTCAGATTCCCAGGGCAAAGTATAAATGGTTTGAATAAATTTTTCAGGTTAGCGTTTTTTCAAGCGAGTTAGTATTCTACGGGATGCGGTCGCTCACCCAATCCCAAACTTCATTCGAACTTGGGACCAGCAGTAGCTCCAGAGGGGCTCCAGATGGAGTTGACTGACTGACTTACCAAAGAACAATTGTCTAAGTTCCACTTTATATTTATTTACTCACTCTTAACAAATACAAACGATTCTACTTTAACCACTAATTCCATAGATTGATTCGATTATCAGTTTTTTGTTTGATGAGAAGATAATTGTCCATACTAAATATCTGTTTCATATATTTACCACTTTTCTTCAGTCCCTATTGTCTTGATATCCTGTGTTTTTCTTTGCAGTGCATTGCCTCTTACAGGAACTGCCCTCCCCTTGTCTGCGCTCAGAGGTAGTATGCCGATTAACGGCATTCAACAAATTCCAGCATCGTAAGTCATAATTCATTGATTTTTTTCTTTGAAGTGTTAGACGTTTAGGTAAGTCTATAGTTTATGGACGAGCCAATCGAATTTAGGGTAACGGGTCTCAGATTTTGGCACAAACTCCATTCGCTTCATTTATTTAAATAGAATTTCGGCATTATAACTGATGTCAGTTTGTGATGAAAACCATAAATCTAATTCCCAACCCAAATCACCTGACAAGGTTGAACTCCACTTTTCATGGCTTCTCACTAGAACTCATCTCGAAACTAGTCATCAATGAGTACATGATTGTTGGATTCATATTTTTAGGAATTTACGATTTATGTTTTTCAACAGGCCAGTTCCACTAACAGGTTTACCAATGCCACTTACTCCAACAGCGAGTAACATGATTGACGGTCTTCCACAAAGAGTTGGAAGGTAAGTCACACAGTTTTTGTCAAAACCTTCCGTTACTATGGAAACACAAAATAATTCTATGTTTCACCTTCTTTTTCTAATGAAGAATGATCCATGTTTGTAGTATACATTCATCTATGGATTAACATAATGCATATTTTTTTGGATTAACACAGATGCAGTAAGGAAATTTTGTTGTAATATTGTATACCGTCCTAACACTTATAATCGCATTAACCCAGTTAACACTTGATTGCCTAAGACAATTCTTCTTATTCTTAGACTACCAATCAGAACACTTAAAATCGTCCTCAAGTAACTTGTATTATTTAGACTATTGTGATTATATAAACTGGAATGGAACAGAATATATGATGAATTAGAACGAAGTGACAAGTTTAGAATTTTGAAGAGAGTCAGAATTCAGATTTGGTCAAAACAACATGAATTCATTATTATTTGACTAGCTTCTCCTCAGATCCCAACAACTTGTAATATATGTATACACATATATTCACTAAAAGTGTACCTCAGTAGTACATAAATCTTGTGAGGGCTTTTCACTCGAACACTACTAGTCGAGTCAGAGCTTATGGCGAATCGTCATCTGCTTTTACAACCTCATAAGGTGTCCGTCAAGGTTGTCCACTTTCTCCATTTTTGTTAAACGTCGTCACAGACCTACTGATGCAAATAACACTCTCACCAACTGAATCTTCGGGTATCGATCTCCAACCAGCAGGTTGACTTATCAGGTGGTATAGTCCATTATGGTGAAGACGCTGATAGAATTCAGAATCTTTTGATAGCACTATGCAATAATTCCAGAATATTTGCAATGCGTTTCTCTCTTTCTCTCTCTCTCTCTAAATGCAAGTTGTTGCTTCACGACTGGTCTGCGTCAACACGTGAACTAAGGATACGGAGTGAAGTAGTCGAACGCGTTGACAACTTCATTTATCTCGGAACTGTGATCAACCCTAATGGGTTGGTGTCTAACGAAATCTCAGCACGGATTCGAAAAGCTCGTCTGGCTTTCAACAACTTACGTGACCTATGGCGAAGACGAGATATCCGTCTATCAGCTAAGGGATGAGTGTACTTTGCGGCAGTTCGTTCTGTTCTACTTTACGACTGCGAAACGTGACCATTAGGAGAAAAAAATATTCGTAAGCTACTAGTATTTGACCACAGATGTCTTAGAAATAATGCTCGGATTGGCTGGGATCACCGGGTAAGTAAAAGTGAGGTTAGACGTAGGGTATTAGGGAATGATGTAAATCAGTTGATGAGGTTGTAAATCTTCATCGACTGAGATCGTTAAGCCGCGTGTTGCTTATGCTTGAACACCGATTACCACGACGCGCAACACTGACTAGTGTGGTAGACATGTGCCAGAAAGATAGGCGCGGACACACTAAAACGCGAAATCAGTACTTCAAGTGACTAACTTCTAGTCTGACTCATGTCAGTAGATAAAGACTAGTTGGTTGGGGTCCACGTGACAATCGTGACCAATGGTTGGAGATTCTGTGTGACATGGCTCAGAATCGATCACAATGGTATAGATGTGTACACTAGTTGTCTACCCTTAAACTTTGAGATTAAAATTAATTTATATCTTTCTTTCTACGAACTAATTCTTTTTTACTGTACCATGTCCTCATATGCAATCTTTCTTTTAAGCATTACTACCATTGAAGTGACTAATTCTATGAATCGGTGTTCATCTTGTTGTGCTAATGAAGTGTGCCAACTTGGACCGTTTCATAAATGTGCCTGTTCCTAGGTTGTATCTGATTGACTAACTGACTAAAGGAAAATTTTCTAAGTTCCACTTTATATTTATTTACTCACTCTTAACAAATACAAACGATTCTACTTTAACCACTAATTCCATAGATTGATTCGATTATCAGTTTTTTGTTTGATGAGAAGATAATTGTCCATACTAAATATCTGTTTCATATATTTACCACTTTTCTTCAGTCCCTATTGTCTTGATATCCTGTGTTTTTCTTTGCAGTGCATTGCCTCTTACAGGAACTGCCCTCCCCTTGTCTGCGCTCAGAGGTAGTATGCCGATTAACGGCATTCAACAAATTCCAGCATCGTAAGTCATAATTCATTGATACGTACAGTATGCATATATACCAATAAAAGACTGATCAATTGTAGTCCTAAACATCAATAGGAAGTTTCAAGTAAACCATACCGTCTGATCATTTGTTAGTAATTGTCACCAAAATTTTGTTATTTAAATAAAACTTATTTAAGTGATCATAGTTTGTGAAACTCTCCCGTCAAATAACAAGTTAGTTATGAACTTTAATTACAAGATTCATTTTGCATACAAACCTCTTCAATTACTAATAGAGAATTGGAGTCTGTATGAATCTAACACAAAACATATTAAATTTCAATATTTGAGATCATGAGTAAATTGAATTTAGACCACCGCAAAAAACCTGGGGACACTGGACGGCCATTTCGTCCTTTCGTTGGACTCCTCAGTGGCAGTACGCATCCACGAATTCGCCTCACGAGGTTAGAACCCAGGACCCTCACTTGCAGGTTTATTGTATTGCAAATACTAAAATTTAACCTATTGTAATGAACTGACCAGTTTAATAGAGATTAATCTCAGGCGGAAGAGTGTTGTAAGTCAGGAAGAAATAAACAGTTGTTTCGTCCTGATATAACACTCTTCCGTAACGGGCACCATCGACTCCAGTTGGAATCTTGACCAAAACATTCAATTCTTAATCTGTAACGAATGTAACCAATAAATTAAATAAATACATTGTAGCAGTCTACTCACTAGTGACACTTCAATATCCTTTTGAAGCTGTAAGAAGACATTGTGAGTTGTGAAGCTCAAACATGTCGGGAATTAAACAGTTGTTGGCAGTGGGGTTAGATGATCATCACCATATATCTCAAAATGATTAGAGACGAAATCGCACTTTTCGATGATGACACAGTAATTTCACTGGTTTAGAGTTCTAGAAGAAACGTGAAGATAATAGATCCAACTCATGGAATAATAGAAAGTACTCGACAACAATTGGTTTTATATATAATAAAATAGCTTTTTATTGCTCCTTTGTTTTCAATAGTAGCACAAAATTGATTAGTTTGTGACAAATGGTTGATAATACTTAGTGCGTATAATTTAGTGATTAGTTAAAAATCGTCAATTCAATAATCTCGACTTCTCAGTAGTTAAAATTCAAACGACTGGTCGAATTCCGCTTCTTCATCTAATATATACATATATCACGGTGAGATTGTGGGTGCGCACTGCTGAAGAGTTCCACAGTAGGACGAAACGGCCGTCCAGTGCTTCCAGGTTTTCCATGGTGATCTAGCTTCAATTGACTTATGAATTCAACTATTAGAATTACTATAAGATCCACAAAATCCCTTCTGATATTAATAAAAGAATTAATTATATTATCGTATTGTACAATTTATATTTTTTTAATAGGCTAATTCAACCAACAGGTTTACCAATGCCACTTACTCCAGTAGGAAGTAACATGACTGGTGGTCTTCAAAAAATAGTTGGAACGTAAGTTATATAACCTTTAGTTATTGGATTTTTCTCTACTATTGCCATCATATTTTCTTGTTACCAGCTTATTATGACATCTAGTCATTACAACCAATGTCAAAATAATAATAATACTCTGGAAAACGCTGATACGTTTATATATAATTGAATTCATGAGTCAATGGTAGCTAGACCACTATGAAAAACCTGTGAGCACTGAACGGCCCTTTCATCCCAGTGTGGGACTCCTCACCAGTGCGCATCCACGATCCCGCAGCGCGATATATATAACATGAAGAAGTGGAATTTGATCAGTCGTTAGAATTTTAACTACTGAGAAGTCGGGATTATTGTAATGTTTCCGTATATACAATTTGTAGGCGGATAATCAGACTCTTGGTTAACTATTTACAATTGATTGATCACTGAGTGGTGATCAATGTCATGTATATCAGGACCTTCTTAGTGCAGATCGGATTCTATCGACCGGGTTGCAAGGTGGCCATCAGTCTAGGTGACTCGACATTGCGTGCACCATTTTTTTAGCACATCTTAGTTAACTAGGAGCAGAATTCACCATTTTTCAATAAGATGATAATAATAATACTATCAAATGGGAAAAAAAGAATATAGATCATATTAGTCTATCATGATATTTATTTAAGAAATCCTTGTATTGATCGCATAAAACCACAATAGCTTTTGCATTTGATTGAAAGATAAATAAAGTATCGAACGGTAAGTCGAACATGGGTAAATAAAGAGCGATTCGTAAATATGATATGAGACTGATTATTTGGATTTCCGTTTGTAGGCCAGCTGGATTGGTAGGGTCAACACTGCCTCTCACCTCAATGAATAAGATGATGCCTAGTGATATGTCAAGACTGGCAACAGCAGTCCCTGCATCGTGAGTCATGCTCCCATTTTTGATGCCTTACACATGTAACACTCACATGGTTGTTTTCTAACACACTTTGGTTTTTTCTGAAAACCTCACGCTTTACTGAAGACGGATCGCAATGTATGGTTGTAATAATTAACATGATTACTGCTGTAAAAAGTAAGGTTGTCTAATGGAATCTAATGATGAATAATAGATGTTTGTAAGAGCTGAGTAATTTGGCGTTGAATCCGACTGTGCTGTTGGGTGGTTTCGAATATTGTGAGTCAGTGGCCAGTTATCTGTTCCACTGATTTGTAGATCAGCGTATGAATGAGTAATTGGTGACGACGATGGTGAGGGTGATGCTGTTGGTGTTAGTGGTTGTTTGTTTGTGTGTGTGTGTTTGGAAGTGAGGATCCGGATGAATGGAAACACGAATGCGTGTATGCATGTTGATTGACATCAGTTGACGAGTGGATTGGTTGAGGCTGATGAGGCTGTAAGTGACCTTGGAAACCGTGGTACCTGTGTTGTGATGTTATCGGATCCACAATTCATAATGGACTGGATCGATCGTTTGGCGAGACATTGAGCATGGCAGTATGGAGAGATGAAATGATCACATGTGAATACCTGAGAGCAGTATGAACACAAACGTATGCGTATTGGGTGTGTCACAGTTTTAACATAACGAATTACCGATTCGCAGTTTACATACATATTAACAATTGCACTGAGATTATATCTATGTCAATTCACCAAGTCAAGTTGGCGCCAACACACACATACATACATATATACATAAGCATGTACACTCACACATGCACGCACAGCAGATTCCATATGGTGACATTGTGTGACAGTAACTATTAACTCGGATTCATTCATTGCTGGAGTAATAAGATGCATGTTGTGTTTGTTGGTTTGGAATCAGTGTACTTATGTGAGACTGGTTATTTGGATTTCCGTTTTTAGGCCAGCTGTATTGGTAGGGTCAACACTGCCTCTCACCTCAATGAATAAGATGATGCCTAGTGATATGTCAAGATTGGCAACAGCAGTCCCTGCAGCGTAAGTGAGGTTCCTTATTTATTTTTGGATTTCTCTTTTTCACAGACGAATTTGCTATACATTACTTTCACGGATTGACATACTTTTATGTAATTGATCATTTAAGCAATGATGTTTATATTTTAATAATGAGAGTTTGATTGAGTATACTTGTAAGCCAACGCTCCATAGCAAATATACAATTAATGTCATACTAATATTTCTAGAACTCAGAGTTTGTGAATACTTTACAGTCTGAATAATATTTTCTTGACCACCGCTGAGAACTAGTTGCCTCTGGAAAGCGCTCGCTTTCTGGTATGTACCTCCTCTAAAATACGCATCCACAACAACAAATCAGGGTATACTGGGAACAAACATCTGTTACGTGTTTTCCATTTTCTAGCTAAGTTCAGTATGTGATTTAAACTATACGTATCCTTCAGTCTTAACCAACTATCTAATATCAATCATGTGCTCACTTGTCTCAAGATACAATTCCTAGAGCTCTAGTAATAATCTCTTATCAATGAAGTTCAACGATGTCGAGTATGGGACAGTTATCTAAGATAGTCGATGGAAAACGTTCACGTAATATCATGATTTGATTGGATTCCTACTCAGTGCTTTTGTAATTAAGCGCTGACGGACAGAACTCATGGTCCTGAATTTCAGCCTCGGGGACTTCGTGGATACGCAGTGTTTTGGAATCTTGTAAGAGCGAGTAATAACTGTAGGTTCTTTCTTAATGGTGATTTATAAACTATGCAAATCCAATTAGGCTGACTTACCGGATTATTAGGTATGTTCATATAAATCACGGAATACTAGACAAGTGTTGTGATGTAATTTGAGACTCTTCAATAAAGCATACCATAGATCCTATGTTTAAACGAGTATAGATTTTATGAGCATAATTGATGGTTGTTAAATGAGCATAACCCAACTGCGTCACAAGACAAGCCCTCACATGGGATCCTCAAGGCCAAAGGAAAAGAGGAAGACCAAAGAACACATTACGCCGGGAAATGGAGATAGACATGAGAAAAATGGACAAGAATTGGATGGAACTAGAAAAGAAGGCCCAGGACAGAGTGGGTTGGAGAATGCTGATCGGCGGTCTATGCTCCATTAGGAGTAACAGGCGTAAGTAATTAAGTAAATGAGCATAAAGAATCATCTCGCCGTTTACTTTTATAATACATCAAGAAGGTTTAGTTGATTGTTACATTCGTTCCCACAAACGAAAGTGACTATTGAATGTACACTGTTCAACTGCTTTAACACTTTAATAACATATTGATCCATAATGATAAATGTGTTATTACTGCAATTCAGAAGAAATTTAGATCATTGACAACTTTTTTGAGGGATCCATTTTCTGATCTCTCTAGAAAGAAATCAACTAACATTGAGCTTGATGGTAAACTATATTACTATTCCATAAACTTGTATAGAATAGGTATTATGCAAGACAAAATGACCATTTACCGTTTACCTTAACAGTAACTGTTTAAGATTGATTTCGTTGTGGTTAGTGCTGAGATTTTTTTATTGCTATTTGTTTGGATATAAATTAGACTGTTTAGACTAACGATAAATTCATGAATAATGATACGATATCTAGAGAAATCCAATCAACTATCGTTTTTCTTTTTAGTCCTCAAAGGGAATCGGTCAGTTGTTTCTTTACTCTTCTATTGATGCCTTTATTATCAATACTTACTTCAATTAATTGTTACTCTAGTTGTCAGAAAGGGCATCAACTTCATGACTTCTAAACGAACTCGGCTTTCACCAAGAGGTGTCATAACTCTTCTAAATGAAGACTTTCTAACTCTCAGGGCACAATTTAAATGGTTTGAATTATTTTTTCTGATTATTGTTCTACGGGATGGGGTCGCTAACCCCATGCCCAACCCTCCTCCTTTATCCGGGCTTGAGACCGGCAGTAGCCCCAGAAGGGTTATTCAATAAACCTAACCTTTCGCCCTATCTAATTTACTTCTAATCGTGGTATTCTCTTCTGTAAGACTTATTAGAATGTTAAAATGCTTCTTGACTAGTTATACATATATAAATCACTTTTGTACAGCTGGCAGCTATCAGTTAAGATGATCTTAAACCTACCTAGTTCTTAAATTAAAACAAAACACTTTTCGTGTATATGATAATTTGGATCAACTCCTAAACTTACATCTATTAGGTAATCAATGAAATCTACATATGTATTGGTTTTCTGTTTTGTATTTTTTTTTAAATATGTAATTCCTTTCATAACTAGAATTCAACTGTAGTGTGTGCTACTGATGTCGACAGATATAAGTAGTATGTAACGTCGACCGAAAATGAAATACCTGGTGACAGAAGGTTAAGAAGATCGAAGAAAAGAGAATAAGCACAGAGAATGATTGATGTGAAAATGAAGGAACACTCAATTCAGAGACGATTGATTGACATTTTGCAAATGAAGTATTCATTGTATGATTCTCAGATTGTACTAAGGAGATTCTGTAATTTTGTATTCAAATTACATTCAATTGTCCCCATTCGTATTCTTATTCACTAAATAACTTGTTACTTTAACTAGTAAATTTGAATATATTCCATTCAAATATGTGTATACATTAAGGTACTTAGTGTACTCTTAAGACAATTCAAACATCTTACTCTTATTTTTGAAATGGTTTCTAATGAACAATAGAAACTATTTAGCTGTTGATGAGAATGGAACGATTGTGAATATCATTCTATGTGGAATATTATTTACTTCTACACGAACTAGACGACTAAGATATTCTCCAAAGTTACAATGAAAGCTCAACAAATCAACTATTTAGCTCAAAGAATTCAACAATACAAAAACTATAAGTTATGTTATTTAATAATATATCAACATGCGTGTACAAAAAGATTATTATGTCAACATCTTCAAATACTCATTAGTAATTTAGTGGGATACTTACTTGCTCCTGTTACTCTTCATAGAGGAGCATAGGTCACTCACCAGCATTCTACATCCTACGCCGTCCTGGAAAATCTTTTCCAGTTCTTTCCACTTGTTATTCATCCTTTTCATATCTGCTTCCGATTCTCGATGCCGTGCATACTTCAGCCTTCCTATTTTTCGTTTCCCTTCAGGATTTCATATTAGCATTGTCTCGTGATGCAGTTTGATGATTTTCTCAATGTATATCTTATTCACTTCCAACGTATTTACCTAATTTCCTCTTCAGCTGGAAGTTGGTTTATTCCATTCTCACAGTAGGTGGTTGCTGATTCTATCTGACCAACAGACATCGAGTATATTATGTAGACAATTGCTTATATATACTTGTACCTTTTTGATGGTAATAGTTAGTAGAATTATCATTCAAAATTTTAAGATGAGAATATAATAACTTTTGTTATATGATTTCAGTCAAATGTTAACAACAAACATGCAAATTCCTAAATCTCCAGTTATAACCAACATGTTAACCAATGCATCAGGAAGTTTACTGCAGAATTCTATGATGTAAGTTATAATTTAATGGTCATCCTTGTATTTACATTCAAATAACATTGTTGGCTTTTCTGTTGAAATGTTCTTTCTACTCATTCTCAGCGTTATGTTACTTACTTACTTACTTACTTTACTTTACTTTACTTCCTTACGCCTGTTACTCACAATGGAGAATAGGCCACCAATCACCATTCAACAAATCACTCTATCCTCAGACTTCCTTTCCACTTCTATACAATTGTTGTTCATTATTCTCATGTCTGTCTCCATTTTTCGACTTAGTGTGTTCTTTGGTCTTCCTCTTCTCCTTTGGCTCTCAGGACTCCATATGAGGGCCTGCCCTGTGATGCAGTTCGGTGCTTTTCTCAATGTGTGTTTTATCCACCTCCAGCGCTTCTTCCTGATTTCTTCCTCCGCTGGGATCTGATCTGTTCTCTCCCATAGTAGGTTAGTGCTGATAGTGTCTGACCAACGGATCTGAAGTATTTTGCGTAGACGGGTGTTAATGTTGAAGCTTTCTTGTGGTCAATGAAGTTGATGTAGAGTCGTTAATTCCATTCAATTGATTGTTCCACAATGATCCGTAGTGTTGCCATTTGGTCTGTACACGATCGATCCTTACGGAATCCAGCCTGTTGGCCTCACAGTTGGGCGTCTACGGCGTCCTTCATTCTGTTTAACAATACGCTGTTGAAGACTTTTGTTGGCATTGAGAGAAGAGTGATGCCTCTGTAGTTATCACACTTGCTGAGATCGCCTTTCTTTAGTATCTTGATCAGGCGTCCTTCTTTCCAGTCTCTTGGTACATTTTTAAATAAATAAATAAAAATTTAATGGTAGAAAATAATTAAATTTACTTGGTATTGTTTACATGTATTTTCCCGTTGATGTTTGGGACTGATAAATCTCTTATTGGCATATCTGATTTGTTTAAACAAAGATGATCATTTACAATGGAAATGAATTGCTTTAATTTTTAGATCCTAATTGGATTATTACCAGAATGGGGTTTTGTTAATAATGTACTAATTTTTAGTGGTTAAATTGATGTGTTGAATAAACCTAAACCACCATGGAATACCTGGAAGCACTAGATGGCCATTTCGTCCTAGTATGGGACTATTCAATGATAGTGATCATCCACGATCCCGCTAGCGGGACTCGAACTCGGGACCTACATGAGGTATTTCTTGGAGTTCTAGTGAAAAGCTGTGATCAGTGGAGTTCAACCGTGTCTGTTGTTGAGGCCACTGAAGACAATGGTGGACGGTCGCGCAATATCCTGGATTGGTTAAACGTAGACATTAACAACGTTGGTTACCGGCTAGCTCAGTGGTTCAGAGGTTAAACATTCGCCCGAGGAACCAAAGTTCCTCTACCCAAAACCAGCGAGTGGGATCGTAGGTGCGGACTACTATTGAGAAGTCCCATACTAGGATGAAACGGCCATCCAGTGCTTCTAGACTCTACATGGTGGTCTAGCTTTAATCGACCCGTGAATTCAACTAATTGGATTAGTTGATTCGTTCCTGTCAATGAGAAAACTTTACACTACGAATAGATATTATAAGTCGTAAATCTAGTAATGATAGGAGTTATCTTAATCTCTTATATTCTAGTTAATTTCCAGCATAATGTATATAATAACTATAAAGCTTATAAATCTAAATATCAGATCATAAACTAATTTTCTTAAGCAAATATAAATAGTGGCTAGCAGTAGAATCCAGGACGTGCATTTCGTCCTATTTTGGGACTCGTCAGCTGAACCTATCTGCATATCAGAGTTGATAGTCACTCTGAGACTTGAACCCAGTATCATGACGTTATTCACTTAGTTACTAAGTTCTGATAAACCTTTATATATTACTATGATTATTAAACAAACCTTCCTTTTCTACGGTATTTTTCTTTATTTTAGTCCTTCAACAACAATTCCACAGAATAATCTATCAACCAATTCGAATATTTTCAATTTTGAAAATTTAGATAAAATTTGAAATGATGATAATGTAATAAGAATATTCATCTTATTGTTTAGTATTCAAAGTTCAATGACACTTTCTATTGACTCTTTAACAGTAAACATTAAACACAGATACGATGATAAGTTTATTTTTATATACATACATATACACATTATATATATATATATATTACATTTTATTAAAAGCATGAGTATAACTATCAGTGTGCTTGTGTGTGTGTGTGTGTGTGTGTGTGTGTGTGTGTGCGTGCATGATTACCCATTTATTGTTACACATTCATTTTATGTTATCTATGACGATAAAAACTAACAATAATAATAGTTGCTAATGCATCTTGTCATTTGAAAGTGATGATACCTTGAATAAGTTTTAAGTTTTATCTCACTTGAATGATAATTTCAGTGTAAAATATATCGAATATATATGTGCACCATACAAGTCAGTTGATTTGTATATGAGCTGTGATACTGTTCGAGGGCCCAAAAGCAGAAGCAGTTAGTCTACTTAGGGGGTCTAACCCGGAGTCTTCGACCTAAAGATCTAATCCATAAAGTAGTGGAGCAACCTCAGGAGATGAAGTCTCAATGTAACCAATGATCAACGATTGGTTCATACGTCATTTATACACTCAGGATACTGGAGCCCATATGTGCCATTGGTTTGGAATCAGGGTTTTCCAACTTCCTTAGGTGAACTGTCCGTGTCTACCAACCTGGTCAAAGCGCAGGACATTCGCTTTTTGTCCTCTAAATTTCGTAAACAACACCCTAACCGAACGAAATTAAAAAGGTATTCATATGATAAACAAGAATCTGGTACATTAATTTTGATTTATTGTAAGGCAAAGTTAGAATTGATTGAATTTATAAAATAAGTAGGTTTGCTAACTTACGTGATATTTCAGACAAGTGAAATGTTTATTGGTCTATCTATCTTTAGATATCGTCCAGAAATTGATTGTACTCAGCGGGAATACGAATCAAGTAATATTGAAGTATGTTATTGAGATTAAATGACACTCTTTGACATACATGATGATTTCTAAGAATGATAGAAATACGAAAAAAAGGACTTATTTGATGTTATGATTCATGGTGGATTCCCACAAAAGACGATGTTTCATAACCAAAGTTCATATAACAGCTAAAACTCTAGTCAGTAGAATATTTGGAGAGTGAGATGAGAAGATGAAGATGATCTGATTTTCAGTCATAAATTAAGTAAAAAGAAGTCAATATTGGTGAGACGTTTACATTTAATTAATCAGTTTAAATCGAACATTATTAGGATGAATAGAATTATAAGATGGATAACGATCTGTATTCCTCATCTACACGAATGTGACGCTAATTTGCCTTACACATATATCTATACTACATACCATTCCAGTGTCTACTCTACAGGACTTCAATACAATTCATATCAAGAACACATGATTTGCCGAACTAGAACATAAGTATATTTTAACACCAAAAACCAACAACAATCACAATAATAATAAGGGTAGGGAAATATCGAACTCATCTAATAAATATTAGACTATCTCTACTGGTCTGATTAAGCAAACAACCAATTGTTATCTAATGACAAATTGTTTCAAAGATTGTTTTTAATAGTTTCATCAGGTGAGACCAGTTGAGTCAATTGAAGCTAGACCACTATGGAAAACCTGGAACCACTGGACGGCCGTTTCATCCTAGTATGTGACTCTTCAGCAGTGCGCACCCATGATCTCGCCACGCACATATATACGTTGGTCAAAGTTGCCATACCACATTAGCACAACATGATGAACACTGGATTCATAAACAGAGTGTGTATACACCTACACCATTGTGATCGATTCTCAACCATGTCACCGACAGTCTCCAACCATTCGTCACCATAGTCACCTGGACCCCAACCAAGTAGTCTGCATCTACTAACATGAGTCAGACTAGAAGTTAGTGACTTCAACGACTGATGCTACGTTTTGGTTTGGCCGCCTCTAACTTTCTTACAACCATCCCCAATACTAGTCAGCATTGCGTGTTATGGTAATCAGTGTTCAGGCATACGTAATACGTGGCCCCACCATCTCAGTCGATGAAGACTCGCAACCTCATCAAGTGATTTACATCATTCCCTAATACCCTACGTCTAACCTCACTTTTACTTACCCGGTGATCCCAGCCAATCCGAGCATTGTTTCTAAGACATCTGTGGTCAAATACTAGTAGCTTACGAATATTTTTTTCTCCTAATGGACACGTTTCGCAGTCGTAAATTAAAACAGAACGGACTTCCGCGCAGTATACTCGTCCTTTTATTGATAGACGGATATCTCGCCTTCGCCATAGGTCACGTAAGTTGTCGAAAGCCAGACGAGCTTTTCGAATCCGTGCTGAGATTTCGTCAGACACTAACCCATTAGGGTTGATCACAGTTCCGAGATAAATGAAGTTGTCAACGCGTTCGACTACTTCACTCCGTATCCTTAGTTCAGGTGTTGACGCAGACCAGTCGTGAAGCAACAACTTGCATTTAGAGAGAGAGAGAAAGAGAGAAACGCATTCCAAACATTCTGGCATTATTGCATAGTGCTATCAAAAGATTCTGAATTTTATCAGCGTCTTCACCAAACAAGACTACATCATCTGCGTATTTTAATTCGATAAGTGAACCTCCTTTTTGGAGAACAATACCCGAAGATTCAGTCGGTGAGAGTGTTATTTGCATCATTAGGTCTGTGACGACGTGTAACAAAAATGGAGAAAGTGGACAACCTTGACGGACACCATATGAGGTTGTAAAAGCAGATGACAATTCTCCATAATCTCTGACCCGACTAGTAGTGTTCGAGTAAAAAGCCCTCACAAGTTTTATGTATTTCTGAGGTATACCTTTGAATGACAGACACTGCCACAGAATCTCGCGGTCAGCAGAGTGAAATGCAACTTTTAAGTCAAGAAAGACCACCATTGTCGACGCCGGTAAGCATTCATGTGTTCTAGAACCTGACGAATGGTAAACATGTGGTCGATGCAGTTACGACCAGGTTTGAAGCCAGCCTGATTTTCACGTGTTTGCAGTTCACGAGTCTTAGTTAGGCGTCCGATAATTATTGAGGCCAGTATTTTAGATGCTTTGTTAGTCAAACTAACCCCTCTACGGTTATCACAGGATGATTTTGACCCTTTCTTTTATATCGGACAAATTAGTGATTACGACCAATCAGATGAAATTACGTCTAACTCCCAGATTTTAGCTAAAATATTAGTTAACTTAATCGCTAAAACTAGACCACCATTCTCAAGGGCATCTGAACCAGCTGCTCATCCTCGTTTCAGATTAGCTATAGCTTTCTGTTATGACGTGAAAAATGCTGCGGATTAAGGGGTAGCGAATTATTGATCGGACCAAAGACGCGCAAACACGTAGAACGACCTAGGGTTCTAATTGGTCTCGCTTCCCTGTATAGCCCAGCCAATTGAGTCCAGAACGCAAGTCACAGCCTCGGATATATGAATCATTATATTTCAAACATACTTTGTTTATATACCAGTCAAGCAGACCACAACGCACCATAAAATAGAAAATAACATTGTACAATAATGGCCAGTAGGAAAATGACACGTTAAACAAATACTGACCAATAAGATGATACCATTTCATGTCCAAGGATAGCATTAGGCTTAACAGGATAATTTTTGGGATATTTTCATGAATATCCCAACACTTTCTGAACCTCAGCTAGCGTTGAGAGACCTACTTCAATGTCCCATTCACGCTCTCTAGGAATGGTAGGTAGTTGTTGAGTAACTGAAAGCCAGTTGAACTGCTCCTTGAAATACTCCACCCATCGTTCTAAATGTCTGGACTTGGAGTAGATAAGTGTCGTCTCTTTCCAAAATAGTCTCACACTTGACTTCTTAATTCGTTTCTTTTATCAGTTTGTAGAGCTGTCGTGTGCTACCTACAGCCGCCGCCTTTTCCATCTCTTTTGCTTTCGTTGCTCACCACTGCTCACGGTCGTTCCTTAGACTCTTGCTTAACCTAGATCTGATTTCTTTTCGCTCTTCATCGTGTTCAGAGCCTGATGGGATGAGTTTACGAGAACCCATCAGTGAAATAGACTTAGTAGAAATCCATTGATTTTTTTGTAACTCTTTGGTTTAAGTTACTAATAGATGTCAGTGCTGTTTCTACAACTGCTTGTATAGCTTTCCAAACAACGTCTGGGTCAGCCTCGTTTCCAGGAATACCTAAGTATGACCTCAGTTGTTCCTGAAACCTACTTTTGGTTTTCTCATTACTCAATTCAATTTTAATGGATCTTTTTGGTATGGCTTTTCTGCATCCAGTGAGGCGCAAGCAGATGTGTGCTCACATTAGAACATGGTCGGAGTCCAAGCGGGTATTCCAGAATGAGCGGCAATCTTCTATCGACTCTATCCAACGATGACTGATGACAATATGGTCTATTTGAGTCCATCGTTGGTTTGGTGTAGGGGGTCGCCATGTTAGACGATGTCTCTTCTTATGCTTAAAATTTTTGTTTGCTAAAAATAAGTGATTGTCTGAGCACAGTTGCAGCAGACGATCACCATTATCTGTTCGTTGTGCCGGAATACTAAAATATCCACCTAAATGCCTTTCTGTTTGGTTTAAACTACCTATCTGGGCATTAAAGTAACCCCCTATGAGTACTATGTCTGAACGTTTAGCTTTCTGAAGAAGTTCAGATAGCTTTCTGTAAAATTCATCTTTCACTTCATCTGAGCTGCAGTCGGTGGGAGCGTAGGCAGAAACGACAAAAAGGCAACGACATGTGTCCCTATCCTTCCACAATCTTACGGAGCCGTTTAGCCGAACAGTACATAAACGACTGTTAACGGGGATCCACTCTAATAGTGCTTGTTGCGTCTTCGTACTTAGTGCTATGCCTACACCTGCCAGTTCACGAGAACTAGCCATCGGGTCGTCAGATACACGGAGGGCTCTCCGTTTTGCCGAGGTGAGGTCAAGTGAATAACCACACTAGGATCCTGTATGCGTGTTTCGGAGACACAGCATACATCAATGGTACGAGATTCTAGGGCTCTAGCCAAGGAAGCCCACTGACCGATTTGACATAAGGTGCGTACGTTGAAGACCCCAATGTGTAGTTTGGAGCCAGGTTTCAGTAGACCTGGGACAGTGATTTGCGCACTAGAATCGTTGGCTATGGTGACACTTGAGAAGGAAGTAAAAAGATGAAGTTTACAGTTGAAAGTCGATGTAGGAGGAATAATAAGAACTAAAAAAGAGGTTTATTATGAATATAATGGTCTTGAGTGCTGTTGGAAGTATGAAGGCGGTTATCACTTCCCGGTTGCCCACACCGTGGAAGATTCCTTCCGAAGGCACCGGAAAAGGAAATTGGATTAAATGTGAACTTAAAGATCTGAGGTCGGTCACACGCGACCTTTCTATGAGTAATTCTTGTGTTTGCTTCGTACTTGTTGAGACCTTATCGATGAGGACGGATATCCGTGGGATAAGGCGTTTTTGCATTTTTTTGGGTCGACCTTTTCTAACCCCACCCCTCCTTGTGGGAAGGCAGCATCACTGTCATGTTGGTTGTCTGAAGGAAACACCTTACTGCTGTCACACCTCTGTACAGTCAGAATTACGACTTCGCCATTAGACCTTTGGTTTCCTGCTTTTAATCTTATCGTTCTCTGGCATGGTAGGACCCTGGAGAACGATTGTTCCAGCTAATATAGCTCGATTGGTTCGTCACAATAGGCAAGCCCGACCACCACATCAAGGTAGCAACAACGGTTACACAACTAAGAATCCATGTTCTAATTTAATTGATATGTCGATTAGAGACAAGAACTAGATGAACACCAATCTGTTTTACTTCGTAGCTGAGCTTTACAAATTAAATGCTTTTTTCAATAAAAAAAAGTACAAACGACAAAATATCACTCATTTGAACATTGAACTCATCAAAAAAAATAATGTTGAAAGAAAATTATAATTAGCAAAAACAAGAAAAGCATATGCTTAAATGCAGAGATAGAGAGAAGAACAAATAAATAAATTATTGCACAACAACGATGGCAACAATGACGACAACAACAACAGCAACATCAATAATAGTAATAAAAGAAAGACACAAAAAGATCCCTCATTGAAACTGTGCTCTTTTATCACAAATATTAAATTGTTTTATCAAATTGATTTATCAATGAAAATTGGTGTTTAAGTCAAATCAGTACTAATCTGATTAGTAATAGACAATGTGATAGGAAATAATCTATGCACAACAAATGAATATACTTTAGATAGTGTAAGTTCGTGAATCCTCAATGTTAAAATGTTTTATTTGAATGTATTGAGAAGATTTACTATCATATCATGATAGTAAATAGAATTAGAATGAACAGAAAAATATATTTGTATCAATTACATTGTTGTTACGAGAAATTATCCCATAAAGTACGTTAAACTACTCTTTAGTTTTTTAAGTAGTATAAAGCTGAGAGATAAAGAAAGTGTTTTGATCAAGATAAATTGAGAGCAATGATAATTTGAAATATTCCCATATTGTAAATTTAGAACAACATATATAAGCGAACAATATTGTTTTCGATTAGATCCTCATCAGGCTTTACTTCTAATATTCAGTAATGTATTTATATGTATATATGAAATTATTAAAACAATCAAGGTAGTTTATGATAACCGGTGCACTTGTTATCACACTATCAATTTATACTTTTCACTTATTATGTAATCTATTCCATTATTATCATAAACTACCTTGATTGGTTTAATAATTTCGTATTTGCATATAAATACATTACTGTATATTAGAAGTAAAGCCTGATGAAGATCTAATCGAAAACAATATTGTTCGCTTATATATGTTGTTCTGAACAATGATTATTTAGATAATTTAATGGGATAAATCGGTTAGTCTCCAAACAATAGCATGAGCACCTGAACCCATTTGACGTGAACGATTAACATGAATTCTCATGCTAGAAACTGTACAAATATAGAAAGTAAATAAGAAATGATGTTTGGTTAACAAGATAGATTGGTTAGAAACAAAACTATAAAACTATAAACTATCAGTCTGATCAGATGTAGTTATGAAATAAGTCATAGTTACACATTATCCTTTACTGAATCATGTTGAATGATACTTTATGACGTAAACAGAAATGTTTCTCGATAAGCCACTTGTATACCTACCTACCTAACTGCACAAGAACAAGAGAACATGTATATATTGATCAATCAAAGTAACGTGTTCTCTCCAAAGGATGGGCAACATGCAGAAGATAGTTTAAAATGTCTGTAGAGGTGTTACGTATAGTGTTTGGTGTGGTTATTTAGCAGCTTTACTTCTTATGATTTTGTCGAAGTCATCACCGTTGCATTTAAGTCTATGTAGTATCTTATTTAGTATATTCGTGACGTTCATACCATTTCCTTCAGTAAACCATTAAGGATAGTCATTATCCATGAAATCAACTGTAATATACAGAATTTGCTGTTCTATTTTGTTTCCCGTGAATATTTATGTGATTCGTCGAATGAGCAGTTTTTTTAATGCAGTAATAGTCTTTGTGTAGTATATACCACCCAAAACTCATAATAATTATGGTGATTCGAAGTCTTAATGAATTAGATTTATCTAAAGTGTCATTATATTTGGCGTGCGCCTAACTGTGTAATAGAAACCGACCGTTTCGTCCTGTCTGGGATTCATCAGTGAGATGTAATGAATTTCAGAGTTGATATTCATATTGCAATACATACCCAGTGCATTCCATTTCAAACACCCTCATACTCGTTAAGCACATAAGTGACTATCTGGACTTAATAGCTCTGTGGATAATGAGTTGGGACTTTGAAGCGAAGGGCGATGGTTTTGAATCGCAATGTGAACATTAAAGTTAGGGTACAGGTACATCCAACAGAAGAATTTCAAATAGTATAAGAGCTTGCGAAGGATGCGCATAGCTCAACAAAGATGGTTAACAACGAGTTTATTGTATCCCGAACCACTGGACATATTTTCGCTAATTTAGTAGACAAATGTTGCACAATAAAGTGTAATTTTGATGACAGACTTCATTTCAAGTAATGAATTTCACTGGGGTTTTTTTTGTTTCATCATACATATTGGCTTAAGATACACTAACTTATTCATAATAGGCAACTACGAATAAATTCAGACATGCTACATTCACTCACAATATGAACAAATTGGCAGAAAGTCCTGGATACAGAAAAGTACAGTTATTGAACATTGAAAATGATATAAAGAATTTTAAGCCAGCAAATTAAAAGTACATTAATACAACGTTACAAAATTGAAAAAAATAAACTTCATAAAAGAATTACTTTGATCAACTGGAAGATGAGTTTGTTGTTCATCTTTTTGTTCATATTGTTCTTGAAATTGTCTCAGATCAACATAATCATGTCCAACTGATACAATTAAATAACTCAAATCTTCATTGTTAATTGCTTTTTGACAAACTTGAAAATGATTTGAATATTGAAAACAAGAAAATATTTAAACAGTTAAGAAGATATTCTCTATTGTATAACCTAATCTTTCAATCAATAGGTTTTTAACCCCACTACATTGAATTGAGTAACCAACTAGAACTACTCAATATTACATATAAAAACAGTGAGGCTCATAGTTAGATAAATAAACTTACAACTAGTGAATTAATTGTATTGCAACGATTCAACATCTTGCTTTTTAACAAAAGTACATCTATCTAGGGACTGAACAAGAACAATAGTATCACAAAACATTACTAGGTTTCATAAACAATGAAATTTCAAGTTTCATTAGAGGTACGTAGATGGTTCTTACGCCCGGATTACTTACATCATAAAAGAGTACTTAATCTTTAAGTGACTGAGAAGGAAAGTGGGCTATGAATGTTCTAACATGAGAACGGCCAGTTACACACGTTCACTTTGTCACTTTGGATATATGCGTTTTATACTTCCAAGTTATTGCTGACAGATACGAGAATAAATAAGATGAAGTAAAGCGTGTTAAGTCAAGCCACAAGCTTTTCTAATTATCTCTATCCTTTATGAATACTTGTCTCAGAGAAACAAATTATTGTTGTTACAGTTCTGCACAACTGAGCGCTTAGATTCTACATTTACTGCTTTTAATCCTTTCCCCTTCTAACTGATCTACTTATCATGGAAGGACCTAAAAAAACGAGTGTCCCGGTCAATATAACTCGATTAAGTCATCAAGACAAGCTTTAATCCGACGTGAAACGCCTAGGCAGTAGTTATGATCAAATTTCAAAGGATCATTATTTTCATTAAATAGTGTAAGTACATACTTTGATGAATTAATAGTAAATTGCATACAGGACGTCGATAACCATGACAACTGATTGTTATTGAAGAAGTTTTGGACAATTCAACCTCATTTGATGAATGTTTATACTCTACATAATTATAAAATTATGAAAGAAAATTTATTAGTTTATCACTTAAATATCATATTCATGATGTTAATTATTAAAATGTGAAAAGAGTTAACCATAGTAACTGGCTATTCAAAATAACTGAATCATCAATATCCAAGAGACAAATTTCTAATTTTTTAAAGGTAAAACAATTAACTCGCACTAATTATATAATGGGCATGAATACAGATTGTGTGTTTGTTTTAATTTCACTAGTATTTTTAAATATGAAAAATAACTAATCAATAATAGAAATGTACTGATATGAACCCTTGTGATGAAATAAATGAAAAGTCAACTTCTACATGAAGTAATAAAATGAAGTTGTCAAGACTGATTAGTAAAGTTGCACAAGTATACAGTTGTTTATCTCAGATTTAGTACAATATCGTATTAAAAAAAGAAACTAGATTTCAATTCTTTGTAAAGTTACATATTAGTGTCGGTTACTATGTTAAGCCGAGATACCATATTCTAGCTTATGGATAGGTCAATTTATTCATTCTTCCTGAGCCACGCGCTTTGAATTTGTTAATTATTCACTTAACAACGTTGACTGTTTTTCTATGAGGGCATATGTTTGTACACTTCTTATTCTATTCATTACATGTCTGTAGCTTATTTTTATCTGGCTATAAATATAGTTTAACGACTTGATTAAATGGAGTTGGTTCACACGCCTTTCCTGTGCGTCATTTCGCTTCATTCCTTTGAATGTCTGTCCAGGCCAATAATTGTACAAAATATACGTATTCGAAATCCATTCTCGTCTTTGATTTATTTAATTCTGTTATTTACTATCGCGGTTTAAGTCGATGAAATATACGAGAAATTATGATCAATCATACAATCTATTTGGAATCAGATCCCGGGCCACTAAAGCATCACTGGAACCTATTCTAGCTTTAAAATGTAATGTCTGTCCAAGAATAAGCATTCGACAATAAATAATTGTCGAACAAAAATCGGATCAATACAAAATGTTGATATTCGTTCATTTATTCATATAAAGTTGAGAAATATTATAACATGCACCTTGATAGATTTCAAAAATGACAAACATAGAAAAGACATTTCCGAAATTCTGGTGAAAATCTGTGACTAATGGAGTTCAACCAAGTTGAGTGTGACAAAAATACTCGTTGAAGATAGTGAAAGTTAGTCGTGTAATGTTCCACCAATGTATCCCCTCATTTAGAGTTCTACAGGTTAAGTGTCAAAGCATAGGCATGGTGGCCTTGATTCAGTTCCCGATTGTTGGTCATAGATGTGTATCACTAAGACGCAACGGGTGTTTAGTTCTCCCAGCTTTCTAATGGCTCTATAACCTAGATAGGTTTGTAGTCATAATAAAATTTGAAATTTTATTTTGTTATAAAATCCTTATGACGTCAAACATACTACTATCAGTTCGCTAATGCAACTTAGTATATCGAGTGTACTAAAGTAAACAATTAAGTTGCAATATGACGAAGACTAGGAAAGTATGACCTTGGTCACTACACAACCAATTGTAAATATTCCAATCCTACAGAAGGCCAGAATAATTTAACGATACAGTCTCAGGTTGTGAAGCTAGTCAACTCATGTGTTATTCATAAAAACGGCACCAGTTCCTTTAAGGTAGTAGATAAACTTAGCTGATGGCAGCCACGAAAACCAAGTCCATATAGGGTTTCCTGCCAAACGCCATTAATCATTTAATAAACGACTAACTACTCATAGAACAGGCATGAATAGTTGTGTTTTTGCTCGCTTAATAATTTTAATAATTATTCAATTCTGTTAACATGATTCATCGATAGATAAAAAGTCAATAAATAATTACTGGAGTAATCCAAATGTAAACGAGCAATAAGACCAGAACGAGTAGCAAACCATATTTCATGATCACTAGTCAGTGGTATAATAAGTAGACGACATATAGTTAAATCAATCGGATCTGTAACATTTTCCATATCTATAAAGAATTAAGAAAAAAACGCATTATAAACAGATAATAGTGAGAATTATATTAACATATACATATAATTCAAACTTTTATTTGATTGAGATCATGAACCAATTGATGTTAGACCACCTTTTGGAAACCTGGAAGCACTAGACGGCCGTTTCGTCCTATTGTGGGACTCCTCAGCAGTGCGCACCTACGACCCCGCCCGCGGGATTCGAACTCAGGGCCTTCGGTCTCGCGCGCGAACGCTTAAAATACTGAACCGCTGAGCCGGCATCCAATGGTGATAGTGTCTAACATCAACCAATTTACGAAATTTCGCGTCCATCTTCCATTGTACTGAGGTAGATACCTGTCTCTACCGGACATGGATTAGCCCCACTGGGAAATATAATACTACTTATAAGTATCTAGTATTTCATAAAACAATTTGTCATGAACATCTCATTGGTTGATTCTTAAACTAACAACTGATTCATTTTCTTATTGATTGAGGCATAAACTTTATCACCGTTGTCTGTATTGAGTGTTGACTACTGTTGTCAGTTTGAATATGAGTTATTTTTTGACTTGAGTTAACTGTTATTTACTTTAGTAATAAGTTTACATTAACACAGAAAACAACTATCTAATTTTAACCGACCTAAAATGCAATCATTCACATAAATCTCAATAACAAGTGAATTACTTTACGCTCATCGATGATGTTAATCAATAAACTTTTCCAGCTTCCAATCATTAACGGTTGAAAGCTCTAATCCTGACCCATCTACAAACCAATCTATTCATTCATCTACAGTACTACCTACTTTTAAGTAAATAAAGTATGTTGCTCATGTTTAGCAACATAAATTTGTACTTTATTATTGAATTACAATATGACAATAAAAGAAACGTATGACCGAACCACTTGACCAAATGTTGCACATAATGAGAACGACTAAACCTTTAGAATATGGTATAAAATAACACAATGGAAACGGATGTATGAAAGAATACAGAAATTCAAGATTGAGAGGAAGAAAAAAAGTTAATCTATCTGCATCATTCTGAACGATTCTAAGCCACAGTATCCAGCATCACAAACAGTCAATGATTATGATTATCAGTTTGACCACAACCAGATATGTCTGCATCTACAAAACATGGCTTAAATCTACAATGCAATGATAATTAAACTATGCACAGAATAATAATTAATAATTTACCCCAAGCTTACCTAACATTGAAGACAATGAATTGGTTAAATCAATTTGACGTAGAATACACTTTTGTTTAGGACAACATCCTAATAGACGTGCCATTCCAACACTTACTCCACTATTTACAATATGTTGACACTTTTTCTGATTAACGATAACATCATCATCAATGTCTTTATTATTAATATTACTACGATTACTATCGGTTGTAGATGTTGAAATTTTCTCACATGATGCACAAATTGTAGGATTGCCAGATACAGCTAACCAAACAATGTCGGCCAATCCTGTTGTAGACGGTTTAATGCATATTGCATGTAGACATGGAGTTTCATTTGGTAATGCTAAACTGTACATGTTAAAAATATTTATGAAATGATAATAATAATAATACATATATTTCTGTAAATTAAGAGTAGAATAAGGAAAAATGTAAAATACCACCAATAAAAAGGAACTCTGGACTGCGTTACTCCGATATAAGGTGGGTATCTTTTCTCAATGCGATAAATTATACGAAGAGTAAGATGGAAAAGTATAATATAGTGAGTAAAAAGATTATTCACTGAGTCAGTCAGTCATTTAGCTATAACGTAGGACCAGACACATATGTACATCAGTCTAAGTTGCCACACCTCATTAGCACAACAACATGAACACCGGATTCATAGAAGTAGTCACTTCAATGGTAGTAATATTTAAAAGAAAAATTCTGTATAAGGAAGAAAGAATTAGTTCGTAGAAAGAAAGATATGAAGCGATTTTAATCTCTTGGTTTAAAGGAAGACTGAGTGTATATACACCTACACCATTGTGATCGATTCTCAACCATGTCACCACACTCTCCAACCATTCGTTACCATAGTCACCTGGACTCCAAACAAGTAGTCTGCATCTATCAACATGAGTCAGACTAGAAGTTAGTGACTTCAAGCGCTGATGACACGTTTTGGTTTGGCCACCCCTAACTTTCTTACAACCATCCCCTACACTAGTCAGCATTCCGCGTCGTGGTAATCGGTGTTCAGGCATACGCAACACTTGGCCTAACCATCTCAGTCGGTGAAGATTCACAACCTCATCAACTGATTTACCATCATTCCCTAATACCCTACGTCCAACCTTACTATTACTTACCCGGTGATCCCAGCAGATGCGAGAAATACTTTTAAGGCATCTGTGGTCAAATATGAGTAGCTTACTGTCGATATGCGTCTATCATGTAGTAATCTCTCCATATATATGTAGAATCGTCTGACAGAATTTTTTCATTAAAATAAGATTAAAATGTAAAAATGAGAATTTGCACATGCAATGAAATCAGTTTATGCTACAAAGATGAACAAATTATTACAGGCAACAAAATGTTTATTCATTATCATATGAGCACAAACTTTCAAAAGCAGGTTAACTAACCACTTATTTGAAATCATGAGTCGATTGAAGCAAGACCACTATAGAAACCTGGGAGTACTGGACGGCCGTCTCATCCTAGTATGGGACTCCTCAACAGTGTGCATCCACGATCCCGCCCCCCGCGAGTTTAGGGCCCAGGACCCATCAGTCTCGCGCACGAGCTCTCAAACATTAGACCACTGAGGCGGCATCCAACGGTGTCAATGTCTGACTTCAACCAATCCACAAAACCCTTTCTGATAATAATCACCTATTTCTCAATTTTTTAACCATGCCGAAAAAGTTTTTATCAATAAGGACGTCAGGAAACCCAATAACCGTGCAATGATGGCCACACTATAATTACTTACAGTAAAAGTAGAAACTAAAATATGATTTGGAAAGCAGGAGGTAAACCAATACAGATCTACACTGATAGTAAACTTGAAGAATTATTTCATTTAGCGTACATCACAAATAAAAAGAATACGGAAAGGCAAAACTATAATGTATAGACGAACCAGTCGTATTTAAAATTGAACTTTGGAGTTTTGGTGTGAAATTCATTCATCCATATGACTAAATTACACTTGAGCAATATAGCAAATATCAATTCGAGATGTAAAGCTCTAATTCTTAACCGCAAATCAATTCCTTACACTAATTTGTAATCTCAATAAGTGATTAAATTTTCTCGAAACCACTACTTAAGTATTGCTCAAACGTCATCCATAAATTATAGTCTCGCAGGGAGAGACGATATAAAAAAAAACAAATAAACATACATAACTAACCTTGTTATAAAATCACCAGATTGGACGTCTAAACAATAACAATGACCACCACCAGCTGTACCAAGCCAAATATAGTCATTTATTGAAGAAATATTATTCTCAATCACAGTAGAACAAGGATTAGAAGAAGACGACGTGGAGGATGAAAACGAAGAAGCCATAATTAACGGACCAGTTGATAAAGATTCATACGGTAAATTAATGAGTTTATGTTTTGTTTGTATTTTGTTGGATGTAGAAGTAATCATTGAAGATGATGTATTTACGGTATGATTATGTTGATTTTGCATAAATGTTAATGGCCATTGAAAGCAAACAATATGAGTTGTACCAAATGAATTGAATAGACCAATACACACATAATTATCACGTGAACTATAGAAGAATGATATGAATGTACAGAGTGAATAAACGTGGATGAGTAAGAAATAAGTAGGTGGGATAAAGAAGAAAGATGAATACAAAACAATTCGATCGACGATGATAAGAATAACAGTAAACAACAATCGATCAGAAGTGAAGAAATACAAATATCATAGCATAATGGATGAACCCTTATATACAAACCTGACTTATAATAAAAATATGCTAACATTCATGACCGGATTAAATATCCGAATTATACAGAAAAAAGCCTTCGTTAGGATTAGACAATTGATTCATCTGAAAATATTTATTTATTTATTTTAACACAAACAGTGGCACAATGGAGCACCAAAATATATATGAGCCGCACAACATCCATGAGGTTGTGAAGTGACAGAGAAGGTGAAGTGCGTAATATAAAAAAAAACAACAACGAACAGAAATTAGTGTACGAGAGTGAAATAAAAATAATGGGAAGAAAACAGTTCAGTTAACAAAATTATAATCAGAAAGAATCCTGTCAGTTAAAAAAAGTTACTGATTGAGATTATGAATCGATAAATTTTAGACCACCATTGAAAACCTAGAAGCAATGGACGGACGTTTCGTCCTAGTATGGGACTTCTGAGCAGTGCGCATCCACGATCATGCAAGTGGGATTCGAACCCAGGGCCTTCAGTATCGCGCTGGCACTGTGGTCTCGAGGTAAGTGTCCCTGAGGTGATGGGAGTTTTACAACTCATATTCTGAATAAATAAACTTTAGAGGAGATCTTGAACAAATTGTATCAACATGGACATTTACTCTATGTATATGCATCGGTTAAAGAATAGATACAAACCTTTAACTTTCGTTTATCTTCATGGCATCAAGAAATTGGATCGAGAGTTTTTTAAAGTTTATTTATGTTACTTATTTAAACACAGAAAAACTGGTACAAAAGGGCACCAAATATAAATTCGCCACACTTTATCATTCGATTTTTCTGAAGACTAGGATAGTGTCCGGACGCACAAACAGAAGCAGGTTGTTTTCTTAGGGTGCCACACTCCGAGAATTTGACCTAAAGGTCTAATCAACAAAATAGTGGAACAACGTAAGGAGAAATAGTCTCATCGAAGCCGATAACCACCAATAGGTTCATACGTCATCTGTTCCCTCACAATCCTCGAGCCAATGTGCACAATTCATTTGGAATCAGAGTTTTCCCACTCTTCCAGATGGCTACTCCATACTCAACAACACGGTTAAAGCGCCGGACACTCGCTTCTCGTCCTCTCAATTTCATAAACAACACCCTCGCCACGAGAAGGCAGTGAGTAAGATTCTTTGGCAGTGGCTATGTACGCGTGACCGTGAGAAAGCATTTGGAGAGGGTGAGAGAGAGAGAGGCCTCTTCTCACTCTCGGCCATACCAGGGCATTTGAGCGTTTAGTTTAAGTTCGTTTAATCAGTAATGTACGTTGAGTACACACATGTCGAAGTTTATTGTTGCCTTGGTATTTCGATTTATACACATAGAACGCGTCATCAGAAGGCCAGATTCGTTAGATTTCGCTATTTTCTAAAATAAGTAACAATAATCATCAGTAGATTTCGATAAAACGTAGATAATCACAGGTACCCATTGGACATCACTTCATCGATTTCAAAGAAGTTTAAAACAAACCCAATTGTTGTGTGAATCACCTACATTAATTTTGATTCAACTGTAGATCAACTGATTTCATGACAAACTTTTCTTTCGACCGAGTGAGGTTACCTTATCGTTATTACTAGTTTAGATTATAATACTAGAAAATATCCCATTCAATATGCTATATGATTCATTTACGTTGATTCTTACTAGTTTTAGTCAAACGGTTGTATTTCTTAATATCACTGATCAGTGTTGAACGAACATATAAATGTATGAAGGAATAAAATTGTGACGTATTTTGTTAGTTAAATGAAGTTATGTTGGGTTTATTTTGTATTAAATTATTTCTGTAACAAATGACCTATGGAAGTAAAAACATAGATAGGTTGAGGGCTTTTTGATCATACATAACTTTGACGCATGGCTCGTTTTTCGTGGAACAACTGAGTGAGTAATATTGAGGTCAAGCATAATGTACTAGGCAAAAGTGGAAAGTCGGTTGATGAAGTTTTATACTTTCATCAACTTCGGCGGATAGGATATGGTGTTATGTTTTCCAGAACGCAATATTCGTTGAAGAGTGAAGTTGACTGAAGTAGAAGGAGGTTGGAAGAATTTGTAGAGTAGCCGACACTAAACGTAGTTTCAGTCTATAAAGTCAATGAATGTTGATGCGAACTATTCCGATAGATGCAGAATACCTGGTTAGGATCAGTGCGATAACCGCGATTAGTAATTGGAGACTTTAGGCGAAAATGCACAAAATTGTTCACAATGGAGTAGATGTATTCACCATTTATCTGGCTTCTGATCTAAAATTTCAATATGCTTTCATAGATTCTTATTCACTGTCTTTTAAAAACATACTCCCGATATCTAGTCTCTTTTATTACCATTGCAACTTTGATCTCTTTTATTCCTTATCTTGTTATTTTCATCTCATCATTCTAATTTAATATTGGCAATTCGAACCAACGTCCATTGATAACAGGCATTACGCTGAAGAAGACTGTAATCATAATTTAACACTCTTAATCGTAACATTAATTGTTAATTGAAAACAAAACAAGCAACTCATCATCAAATTAACATAACTTACATCATCCCATTAGCCACTAAACCTTGACTATTTGTTTTAAATCGATATATTAATTGTGGTAAGCCAACAACATTGAAATGACTTGAAACAATTTGCTCACTATAATTACTATTATTATCGTCATTATTTCCGGCCACATCAGACGAACTGGTTGACTTCATGCTATAACATAATCTATAAACTAGAAATCGTCCATCATTTGATGCTACAATTACGCAACCATCTGAGAAAAAACAAGTTTTTAAAAATGTAGAAATTGATAGAAGGAACTTGTTCAATGAAAGAGAAGAATTACAGAAACATAAAAAAGCAACGTCAAACTAACAAAGATTAAATGTGACTGAAATTGTTTTTGTGTACATTGTTTTAGTTTAAAGATTGTATTCATCAAAGCAAAATTTCAATTGGGGTCGTCCCATTAAAGTACAGAAGGCACCAGACAACTGTTTCATCTTAGTATGAAGACTCTCTACCTTAGTAGCATGCACACACGACCCTGCTAAATATCAAAAGTAAGATTCATCAATCTTATTCATTATTATTCTAATTGTTACTTGCCATCAAATCCTACACTCATTTAAACTGACTGTTTATTTACCCACTACAGGTAAAAATCAAAATCTAATCTTTCATACTGTAATTGTGCCTTTAACTATCATTACAGAGATTTGTGGAGATTATTGAATATTATTAATAATATGAACTAACCTAAGTTACCATTCATTGATACCCTGAAAGAACTGTGCAGCTGTTTCATCCTAGTAAGAGAATACTTGACAGTGCGTACACATGACCCCATCATGGGAGGTCGAACCGAGGATCTTCGGTCTCGTGCACGAACGCTCAACCTCCAGATCACTGAGTCAGAATTCAATAATGTACATGTCCAACGTCTATCAATTCACGATATTAAGCGACCATCTCCCATTGTCTACACTCTTTAATTTTTCCATGTTCCAATTAGTCTACTTTCTTCTCTTCACTACTAAAAACTACACATTCCAAGGAATTCAGTTCATTATAAACAAACAAACAATAGAATGCATCTATACTGTTAATCATTTATTTGATTGATTGTAAAGTGATTGAAAAAATGTAGCCATTGTCACAGGTGAAACATTTTCATCCTAGAAATATTCATTCTGTTTTTCTTTTCAAAGTCTAAATTTATCGACACTTTTTTTCTTTTGCCAATAATTCTCAGTTCTGATGAATGATTAAGTCAATCAAAACACCAACATTATAGTTACCACGTTGACCTTTGAAATTATTCTCGGATTGGTCACTTTCCCTTTGAATATATTATCTTCTTATATGCTTATAAAGTCATCATTGTATAGGCAGTATTGTTTTCTCAAAGTGTTGACTGCTTTAATTGAAACAATAAAATCTCCTTTTTTCAGTAACTGACTTTCCTATCACTCTTACTGAAATGTCGAGGAAATTATCACTGAACCAAGGTTACTATGTAGTTGTAGTTGTTAGTGGACGTGAAAAATAAGAGCTAAATTTCATCCTCATCATGAATTATCCTACAAGTATGGATAATTGAATTTATAAATAGGGATAATTAATTGGTATCAAAAGGGGTTTTGCGGAGATTGTAGTTGTAGCTAGATCACCATGGAAAGCCTGGAAGCACTGGACGGCTGTTTCGTCCTACTGTGAAACCTCTCAGTAGTGCGCATCCACGACCCCGTCTCACGGGATTCGGACACAGGACCTATCAGTCTGGTAAAAATTTTTAAAAAAACTACACAACTACTGACTAGTTAAAAATAAATTATTAGCCGAAATTAATCAAGAAAGAATATTGACATACCATTATTCTTATTACAAATTGTCTCATTCATATTACTACTACTATTATTATCATAAGATTCATCGATATCCCATGTAAATTCAGTGTATTCATGATTTGAGGTTAATTCAATTGAGGATGGTGCAGTTGATGCAGCTGTAAAAAAATTTTATTTTCATGAATAAATAAATAAAATTATGAATAGGAATTGCTTAGAACAGAAGTTAAATGATAAAATCTTGAGAACAAGAGAATAGTAGTTGAATAGCCAGTTTATAACAATGTTGAAGTTGATCGGTACGGTCTAGTCAACTATAAACTTCAAGATAACCATCAAGGGACCTTGAGCAATCACAAGTGAATCACTTATTCAAAACATAAAGATGTATCAATCGATAGTTAACAACGGTTGACACAATTGGTCCCAATTTTGAAACCTGTTCCATTTATTTCAGAATGCGTCGCTGGGTAGTAGAAGGCAAACGTGTCAACTCCGCTTCTCACCACCTCTCAATGTCAGCACCCATTAGTGGATGCATAAAATATACTTCTCCGAAACAGTATTAGTATTCCGACTTTTGATATATCACTCTAAAAATAAATAAAATATACATGAGCTCCACGTAGTTCACGTGTATCATACAGGTCTTTGATACCAATAAATGAATATATCAAGAATTAAGGATTGTTCCTTTTATCACCATGGTAGGTTCATTGTTTATGGGTTAACGCCGTCGAGGATTAACTGATAAATCGAAGTTTCGCAAGAAATCGATACTGACTATAGGTACTGGTACGTCTACCAGAACAAATTCCCAGAGAAATAAAGTTCAACATCAGTTCGCGATCTCCATGCGTCTTTACATCGAACGCACTTGCTATTTGTAGCACTGCAAAGGAAGTCACAAGGATAGTCAAGGTGTGTTAGAAATGCTAAAATCTCTCTCGGGACGATACCTGCACGCACAATTTCTAACTATTCGATTTTCTGCATGACCCTTGCCTTTTGATTGGTTGTAATTGCTGCATGCTTGATGGTCATACTCTGCTACGATAGTAACAACTTTCGTACCAATTCCGGCTGTGTTATTTGTCCTATTACAAATATCAAGTTATCTGCGGTTCCGTCTTCTTCCTGTGTTAGCCGTTGAGGTTTGATATGTTGTGTAAGTGGCTGCTGTCCATTGTGAAAATAAAAGGTCGCGTCAAGGTAGTTCAATCGTTTTTGTTCCCAAATCCGTAACATCGTAGGTGTATTAAACCATAATAACAAAACACAAGTGCCAAAAGTATATCAGTGTCTCGTCTCTCTTCACCTAGGGGTGGCAGAATACTTATTCCCGCTCTGGCGTTTATTAGAAACCTAATAAATAATAAAACCTAACGAACTCGCCTCACAAGTGTCTAGCCTTCAGACTGTTAAGTAAGTATTTTATGTGCCCATTTCAAAAGAGTTCACCACTAAGACAAAACGGTAATCCGATTCCTCTTGGCATTCAATGTTTTTTAGTTAAAATCAGTCTGTGATGTAACGATGAATCTAATAAATTAAAATAATAGTAGTAAGAATAATAATAACAACACAAAATACCTTCATTGTATTTTACATAAACAGCTGCTGTCGGCAAGAAACCATTATCTAAATCAAAACTATTAATAGGTTGAGTGAATTTTGTTGGTTCAAATATGTGCACTTGTCCAAGATAACCACGATTTACTGATAATGAAGAATCATCGGAATTTAGATAATCTCCTGAACCACCACGACCAATCAGCCATATATGATACTATATATATATATTTCAAAAAGGGAAGAAAAGAACTACCACACTAACGACAATATGAAATTGTCAAGAATGAATTTGTGGAATAGAAAAAGTTAAAAATAATTTTGAAACCGGAAATTCATGGGTAGATAAACAGTGAATGCATCTGCACCCCGAGCCTTTGACCTAAAGGTCTAGTCAACAAAATAGTGGAACAACGTAAGGAGAAATAGTCTCATCGAAGCCGATAACCACCAATAGGTTCATACGTCATCTGTTCCCTCACAATCCTCGAGCCAATGTGCACAATTCATTTGGAATCAGAATTTTCCAACTCTTCCAGATGGCTACTCCATACTCAACAACACGGTTAAAGCGCCGGACACTCGCTTCTCGTCCTCTCAATTTCATAAACAACACCCTCGCCACGAGAAGGCAGTGAGTAAGATTTCCTTGGCAGTGGCTATGTACGCGTAACTGTGTGAAAGCATTTCGAGAGAGAGGGCGTTCTCTTTTTACTCTCGGCCATGCCAGGGCATTTGAGGGTAATAGATTTGATCTGTTGAGAAGAGATTATATACAATGACTGTCGGGAAGTCTCTATACCAGGATAGAACAGCTATATAATTAACAACACAATGCCGAATAGTATGAATATGATACGATAGTAAGATTGAGAACATTTTGTTGAAGTCAAACGCATAAGTGTTGGTTTTTGAAATAACCATAATGTAAACAGATGAGAACACCTGACAATCGAAATTTCTAGAACTTTGATAGATACTGTAGTAATTACAACATCGTTGAACATATTAGACAAAAGATTAATTAAACTTGATAAATAATCCATAGTCAAATGATGTTCTCACTATCATTCCACATATTTAGATCGTTAACATTAATGATCATGCGATTTCCACTAGCATAAGAATGATTGTAAACAAACGAAAATGATATGCTGTATACAGAATGAGAACTAATAAAATCCGAGTTGGTATCTGTCCTAGTTATATTAAAAAGAATTTAAGGTGACTAGATTGATCAGATGATAATTTACAGATTAAAAAACAACCACGATCAATAAGAGAATAAAAGATGGATCTTTTATACAAGAGATCAATCAAACAGAGGAAAACATTAATGTCTATATGTGTATCAGCCTTAAGTTATATAGGAACATCATTTTATCTCGTGTACTTGTGTAATGTTTTGCAGCCATTCATTCTTACGCCTTTATAAACAATGAATTATTGCATGGTCGTTCATATTGGCCGTAAGATGGTCTGTAGTTAGCGTTGTAATTTTCATTCATTATCTATGATCTTGAAGTCGTTATCACAAATCTAGTTGATTTGTTGCTACAGTATTGTTTTTTCTATACATTACTATTTTGTGTCACCTGTGTTCTGAGTGGCTAATAACAAAGAGCCAACTTCCACAATATTATTCATGGGATCTCTAGGTAGTTCAAGGTTTGTAGATAATCAATTACAAAATTCCCTAATTAAAATTTCACTTCATCTAATCAATGAATAGTAGGCATGTTGTCTTAGTTATACTCTATCAGTTTGAAATCTCCTTCTTGTGAACACTGTATTAATCTCTATAATAGCTTCATCAAGTTTAGTGATAGAATCTCAGTCAGTAACAACGTCGAACTTCGTACCTACGTACGTACATAAGTTCAAGTTGGCATACTACATTAGCACAGGGACGCAGTTGTCGATTCAAATCCCATAGTGGTAGAGGTAGTAAGAGTATAAGCAGTAATCGGAAACACTAGGGTTTGAAGATGTTATTCAAGAAGTATAATCCAGTGAAATAAATTTGGATAGCGAAAAAAAGCACAAGAAAGATCTATTGAAATGAAGGTGTGGCATTCACTCAATGCATATTACAAATTATAACAATATTATTGAAATTAGTGTTTTGTAGTTAACTCTCATAAACAGAAATCGACACCTGTACTTCAAGGCGAGTAGTAGTAGTAGTAGTACTTGTGATACGTTAGTAGTAAGTAGTGGGTAAGGTAATAACTTACTTTAGGTTTGGAATTACAATCCAAGGATGCGGTTGGAACAGTGAGTGCTGTACATATCTGTGTAAATAATAATTTAGAAAAAACATTCAAAAAACGGTGTTAGGAATATTCAATGTTCAATGTAAAATTGTATTCGCCACTGAAAAAGTAAACAAACGAGTAGTTGCCTGTACAAGATTTATGCTGTTTTTTTTTTCGTGATAACCATAAAAGAAGTTAGTTTGACTTGTAGATAGAGTGTTTAAGATTTCGAATTCAATAAACATTTGATACCATCTAACTGGAGCTCGTGAAACAAAAAAAAACAGCGAGGGATGAGAGAGGATTGAAAACGAGCACACATCCACTAGTCATCTTGCATTGCCTTGTTGTTTAATGTAAGCAGAAAACTGTTTTGATTAGCTCAGTCGATGATAAACAACATCGAATCTGGTACACATATATGAACCGGTTCAAGTAACCGTACCATGTAAACATAGTAAAATGAAATTATCCAAACATATGATCAAGTTGTAGATGTAGCGACAGTATCAGTGATACTCATGGAAAAGATGAGTATAGTGAATCATGATCTACATATTCAGATACCCAGGAAGTGGAAATAAATAGTTTGTAATTTAATTATAATCACTTCTACTCTCTCTTAAATATCAGACACTAAGCACAGTTTCATACATTATTGGTTTTTTTGAATTTATTGCTTCATTTCTCTAAAAGTGTTTTTCATATCAACCAATACTGGTATTTCCTAATGATGGTTAATTGATTATTTCCATTTTTCCAAAATAATGATGTGAAATGTTGTAACTTGGGTATATTCATTTAAATTTTTGCCATGTCTAATGTTGTTTACAATATATGTTTAGGGACAGTGACTACAATATAATATACACATATCAAAAGACAAACAGAAATAACTAATCCCCGATAATATACACTTTTCTATGTTGCTATCATGTTAACACATTTGAAATGCCATCATTCAGTTGTTATTCAAAAACAAAAGTCCGTGACACAATGGCTGTTAAACAATTGAACTTACCTCTAAGTTTTTTTTATGCAAACCACCAATTGTTCTACATTGAATGGGGACTGGTACATTAGAATGTGCATTATCATCAACAAAATCATTGTTACTTTGAATAACACCACCATTATTATTGTTATTATTATTACAACTGAATTTACGGTCCGATTGTTTTCCAGTTGCCCACCCATAAATTGGGGAATTAGCACATGTTGTTGACAATGTAATCCATGATAGGGAATTATCTGTGCTGTGTTTTTATTACATCATTTCAAGAAATCGAAGAGAAACAAACATATAAGTACTTGGTAATTAACTGTTTAAAAATTATAAAACAATAGTATTTATGCTATGTTATCTAAGTAAACTACACAATTTTCCGAAAGTGTATTTTATTGATTAAATTAAAAATATATAGTCTATATTCGTCACAGATTGGTTTCAGTTGTGGTATCATGAAAAACTGGGGAGCATTGGACAACTGTTTTGTTTACGTATGAGTCTCGTCAGACGTGCACACAAACACAAGGCGTTAACTGATGAATCCAAGACCCCGTTGACATAGTAAATAAGATTTAGTTTGCGAATATCTTTTTGCTAACCATCGTTTTTTAGTGATTCCCACCTAATATTCATAGATATTATTATTAACTATAAAGTGTTGTTTAAGTCATTATTTTTACATCCTTGATCTGTCCACCCACTAATATGCAGAGGATAACTTGTCTTAATCTAGATTAAAACCCTGACGCGATAAAGCTGATTTATTTAACCTTGAGGCTAGTATGCGTGGTTTCGAATTGCGACTAACTGCTTGGGGTAGAGAGAAGAAAACTATTCTATCACCTGATTGACTGACAAGCGTACAAGAAAGGGAAGGCGATTTAACTGGAACAGTACTCGATTTATTCCCAATTCCGATTCACAATCCGATATATATCCATTCCCTTGATGTCTGCTTCCAAATATCAAAATCAAATAGGTTTCAACCTGTAACTTCACAAACCTCACAGATTAAATTAAACACATAACAAAATGAAATTACCCATGAATTGACAACCCATTTCCAACAATGTGAATTAATTCATTTGAATTTTCAGAACGTTGACCAGACGTAAATGATGAGAAGCTTTTTAAAAAAAAAGTAGTGCGAAAATGTATACTAGTTACACACCATAAACAAAACATCGCCTTCAAACTTTTAATGAAAGTATTACACTACTCAAAAAAATATAAGTAGCAAGAAAGAGGTGCCTAAAAATATAAAATATATATTCAAATAGATGTTAGGTTTTTAAAAATAAAAGTTTATTTCAGCATAAATACTTATAAATCTTTATTCATTTACTCTTTTTTTAACTGTATAGCCACATGAAATTTTGAAAGTGAAATAATATCAACAGTTATTTGTGAGCAAATTGACTGCCAGTTGTGTACACGCTTACACACACACACATAACTAGTGATAACATTCAACTGATTAAAATTCTATTTAAGTACTCACCATTAGTAAGTTAATTGAATTGTAAAATACAAAGTATACGATTCCACAGCTAATCCATAAAGAATATAATCATAAAACTATGAATTATTACAGACTCAAACTTCAAAACAAGAAATTTTAACAAATTGTCATGTAAAGAGTTCCTAGTTGTTTCATTACGTTATTAGATCGAATACAACTGAGGTTAACTTTTAACAAGATTTGTCTGATAAAAACATCCGCCAGGTATTAATATTATAGATGTGTTAGTGTAAAATTATTGAGTATCAAACACAAAAAGCACAAATACAAAATCTCTTGAGACTACAATAGTGCAAAATGGTTTATTGACTACCGACCCCATCATAGGTTCACCTTAAGAAAAATCTGTTTGTATTACTTGAGATTATCCCCATTCTAAAATAAAACTTATTGTTATTCCTTCCGTAAGTTATGTTGTATTAACACGTAAATCGAAAATATTAACCAAAGGAATCAAGTGAATGCGTCTTCGTAAAGCTAGTGTATGCAAATCAATAAAAAATTGGGATTTCAACGCTTATTGACATAGATAGTTATTTTTTTTATACCAAGAAATGCCCGATAATTTTTTCTAATTATCGTGTGCAACATGAAAATAGCAGAAAATCATCCATTATACCAACAAATCTTGTGAGAAAAATTTGTACAAACCAATTACTAAATATTTACCCAAGAAAAACCAAGATATAGATACAAAAAACAAGTTCGAAATATGGTTCGCCATGAAAAGATGATATACAGTTTAATGTTTACCTATTCCAATCCATAACACTGTCTGCTTTTACACATTTATCTAACAATGTCGTAGAAACATTTTTAACTTGTCAATTATCAAATTCCTGTAGATTACCAATAATGACAACAAGAAGCGATAACAGTTTTTCCAGCCAGATAGGCAGGTAACGCCTTTTCTGGGAAGCTTGTGTATTCACTTCTAGAATAGATTCCGTATTTTTACGGCTCACGAGTCCACCATGTGGATGTGATTTTGTGGGGAACCTCGTCCCCACAGGCCATCGCGTGTATCTCGGTGTCGTAAGGAGAGAAAGTACAGGATTTCTGAAGTGTTTATTTACCCTCGATAGGTATAGTCTACATGCACACTAGTTAACACACGGACTTTCATCCCAATATTCCTTGGTATATATACAGGTATACCTACCCTGTGAGAAAATATACGTTACATGCACACCGATAACACACAGGTTTTATCCTATGCATCCCATAGCACAGATATAAGTATATTCACCCACCTAGGGGGTAGATGTTCACCACTTCCTTAGAAACATATTTGCTACACCAGACGATCTCTTACACATTACGTGCATATAATTAGGCCCATGGCTACCGCCTCAGTAATTCCGGACACACATATAAGCATAACCATTCTCTCAACAGAGGTTGCTGATTGCCTTTCCCTAGTACTTTTTAACCGTATTTTTTTATTGTCTTCGATCTAATAGATCGAGTCGCTAATTTTATTAGACATAAGGAAGACACTGCCTTCGTACGACGCACACACGTACATACATGAAGTAAACATGCCCGAACACTTCTGCAATCCTTATACATAAGTAAACACATCAGATGACCAGGTGAGATTAAGCGAACCTCGAGTCAATTCGAGTTGATCAAGGATACAACAAAGTGGGTGATCAGTTTGAAAACCGTCGTCCGCCCAAGTTCGCTAGCAAGGTTATTCCTACTATCCAGCAGTGCTGCGAGGAGGCCGTAGGTCGAATTTCGTTGAAACAAGTTTCTATACAACTGAGCTGTATTTTCAAAAACAAATTATTTCAACAATACACTGAAATTTACTCTATTATGAGGAGATATATATAGAAAAATCGATTGAGAAGACAGCATCACACAAATCGTAGGTTCAAACATCCTGATTCCTATCTAATCAATCAATGTCGAAAAAGATATTATTATTACTAATATGCATGCAAGTTGATAACATAATCCTTTGTATTTATCACAATTATGTTAAATATCATAACATAATAAACGATCAACTTTTTGATACACTTTAGTAAAAATTTCAGGATAAAAATTAATATCACTGGTCAAAATTACAGAAATGATAACAACAATTTATCTTGCTAAAAGGAGAAAATATGAAATTCATTGTCGATTAAGACAAGAAAACAATTACGTAGATGCCAACCACGACAACGAAGAGTGAACGCTAACAAAACAAGGAGAAAAGTTGTCACTATCAGTAAGTATTAGCAAGAGCGATCTGAAAATACACCTATCGTAAAAAAAGCAACACCATTGTGGTTCGGTCAGTAGAACCAAAAGAAAAGATAATACAAAACGAAAGTAGTACATATATCAATAACAGTCTGAACACCTTGAAAATGGAACAGATCCATCACGTTTGTTTCGATCCTGTAGAAAAAAATCAGAAAACTACGTAGTCTGATAAAAAAGCATTTTCCAAAGTGGCCAAGCCCTTTTTCTATTAAAATAATAATGGCAAAAACTCTTGAAGCATCAATACACAACAAAAATGGCATTTAAAAAATAAATACACTTGGTTCAACAGTGTATATATTCAATGTGTAATGTGAGCACTGACTTAACCGCGTAACAAAAATGCACCTGTTAATTACATAAAAACGAAAAAACTCTCGAAAACAATTCATGTACCGAATTTACACTACTCACTCAATGATTAAGTAGTATAAAAATAAAACTATCAGTAACGAAGACAGTTTAGATTTAAGGATGCTCAAGAATAACATAATGCTTTAAAAACGAAAGTATAATTCGAAAGAGGTAATTCCCAATTAATTAGATTAATTATATTAATAATAATGATACCCTTACTTTATTATTTATGGTTAGATGAATAAGTTAGTTAGCAAAATCTCAGTCAATTATGTGCATGTATGAGGATATTTTTTTAGTGCAAAGATTATGGTAAAGATCAAACTAAAAATACGAAGTCAAAAACGAAAGAAAAAAAACAAGACAGTATTACAAAAATAAACGAACATAATAGTAATAATAAACCAGTTAAATACAAGTACAGAAGATTAAAAAAATTATGATCTCAAAAAGTCAATCAATCAATAAATGCGATGTTACAGATCCCAAATAGGTGTTGTCTTCAATTGAAGACGTTTTTCTTGAAGTCTTTTGTAACTAAATAAAAATGGAATTTAAAAATATTAGAGAGAAAATGAAAGATGTAACAAATAGAAATAGAGAGAATGGCAAAATTATTGTGTTTTTTTCTTCAAGACAGAAAAAAAGGAACAAGAACACTTATATCAGAAAGGGTTTTGTGGACATTATAGTAATTTCAGTGTTTCCAGGTTTTCCATAGTGGTCTAGCTTCAACTGACACATGATCTCAACCAATGAAATTAATAAAATATCCACAAAACCGCTTCTGATATTAATCAAAATATGCTCACTAGTGACTGTCTCCAAGAGTAATTTACTGGAGTTCTAGTGATAAGCAGTGACTAAGGGAGTACAATTGTGTCTGTTGTGAGATGATAACTCACTGATGACAATAGTGAATGTGTCGCCCAATTTCGCGGATTAGTTGAAGTTAGACATTAACACCGTTGGATGCCGCCTCAGTAGTCTAGTGGTTAAGTGCTCGCGTTCGAGATTGATAGGTCCTGGGTTCGAATCCCGTGGAGGGTGCGATCGTGGGTGCGCACTGCTGAGAAGTCCCGTAATGGGACGAAACGGCCGTCCAGGACTTCAAGGTTTCCCATAGTGGTCTAGCTTCAACTGACTCATGATTTCAACCACTTTAAAAAAACATTTAAATCAAGAAACTTATATTCATTCTCTTCTTTGTATATGAAAAACTACTGTGCTTTTGAAGTGTTTAAAGTTTGGGTCAAGTGAAAACATACTACGTCAGTTTTATTGTAAAATGACCATGATGTTATCTATGTACTATTTATAAAAATATTTATGTCCAACTCAGTCGTCAGCTATTCTGGTTAGAGTCTTTTTTAGAAAGGTTATTTTCTACGAAATGGGGGTTTGCTGACTTCATGCCCAACGTACCCCTTTTTTACCCGGGCCTGGGACCGGCATTAGCCTAACGACAGCAACAGGTGGAAAAGAGTAAAACTAAAGAACACACTACAATGAGAAGTGAAAGCATACATCAAAAGAATGAATAAAAACTGGAAAGAATTGTCCAGAACAGAGTTCGATGGAGAATGTTGGTGGGCAGCCTATGTTACTCTAGGAAGGATAACAGGCGTAATAACTAAGAGTCTTCAGTTAAACTTTAAACATATAACATTAACATAATGTTGGAAATTCGGTTGGCCACATTGCAACATGATCGATAGCATTCGATCTGCACTAATAAGGACTAGACAAGCATGACATTGATCACCACACAGTGATCAATCAATTGTGATTACATCTCAGTCCTACAGGAGGTTAGTCACGGCTCGGATAGCTCAGTGGTAACGTCTCTGACTGTGAAGCTGGGTGACACGAGATCGAATCCGCCAGGGAGCACCAGTTCCCTCAAGATTACAGGTACACCTTGCTGACGAGTGCCAAGTAGCACGAAACCCGGGTCCAGGGTTTCCTGTTGACTACTTCCAACCACCATCTGAATATCTATTGACTTTTCAACAACACATCCTCAAATAATTAAGAGTGAAACACGTTTATCTGAAGGGTTTTACAGGGTTCTTGTAATACAGCTGATCTCACTTCGTGAGCAAAATACTAACCCTAACTCCTCACCTTATTCACTAACACTAATTCCGAAACATATCTTGAATTGGAGAGATAATTTGGATTTAGCAAGATTATTAGACAACTGCCTAATGCCGTTCCTATACTTTAGTTTTACTTCAACTTCCTTAAAATTTGTCTAAATACAGTTATTTTTACAAGTTATCAAGAATTTATAACTTCAAAGAATGGATAATCGATGAAATCTCCATCAGAGAATAAACAAAATATACTTCAAAACTACTTAGAATATATCAGAGAATGGAACGTAGAAAGTTGTAAAATACTTGGATTTGACACTTAACACAGCATTAGTTAAAATGGATACCCAAAGTAAAATTCATCAAACTTAAAGATAATAATAATAATGCGAATCCCACAAGCCAATTTCCTAACTAGTTATTTAATTTATACTCAATTCATATCTTTACATTCTACCTTTTTGAAATATATTCTCAATGTTTAGTGTTTCTTATTATTACCGAAACTATAATTATTTCAGCTCTTTTTCTATTGATCTTGTCAATTTTATCTCATCGTTTTAGTGTCAGTAATGACAACCTGACCCAACGTTTATTTATGCCATGCGGTGTCGATTACCACGAACTGATAGAATGCTGGACGAATTCCTTTAAAACATATATTTACATATATCAAATAACTGACAGGAATACAATTCAATCATTCCTTTTCACCCCTCTTGATAGTATAACATCAATTATAGATAGTGGCTAGCAGTGGAATCCAGGATGCGCGTTTCGTCCTGTTTGGGACTCGTCAGTTGGATGTACCTGCTTATAATGCTTGTAAATTAAGGCAATATCGAAGCATACGCACAGTATGAACATATGCCAATAAGAGACTGATCAATTTCAGTCCTAAAACATCAATGGGAAGATTCAAGTAAAACAATACCAAGTGAATATAACATCAATTGTTTTCTAACTATTCGAAAAAAAGGAAGAATTACGATGGGCATCACAATAACAATTGAGATCGACATTCAATTAATGCAAAAGAAAAAAAACAAAAATAGAAATTGTGATGTTGTGGAAATTGTTGAGTCTTAATTGAGATCATGAACCAGTCAGTGTTAGACCACCATTGGAAACCTGGAAGCACTGAACGGTCATTTCGTTCCAGTATGGAAGTCCTCAGCTGTGTGCAACCACGATCCCATGTGCGGGACTCGAGCCCAGAACCTTTGGTCTCGCGCATGAACGCTTAGTCTCCATATCACTGAGCTGGCATCCAAGGGTGTTACTGTCTAACTTCAATCAATCCACCATATTGTGCGACCATCTTTCATTGTCTTCAGTAACTGTCTCACACCCGACACGGATAAACTCCACTGGTCACGGCTTCTCACTAGAACTCTAAGAATTACCTCTAGAAGCTAGTCACTAGTGAGCACATGATAATTATCAGTATAAGGTTTTCAATAGTGGTTTAACATTGATCGGTTCATGATCTCAATTAAAAATAGAAAAACTGTTTCTAGACCGTTGATTATTCACATTCATTTGATAAATGAAGATAAATTTGTTGAAGAACAAGAATATCAATCAAACAAATATCTGTAAAGTTCAATGCTTTCTATAATTTTGTCCAAGATTAAACACTACATCGGTAGGAGGTTATAAATTCAAAATAACAATATCATTTAAATAGAATATTTTGGTAACTGATTTATGAAAGTTGAAATACAAAGGAAATTTATCATTTTTTAAATTAAGAACTTACAACTTTTGTAGACTTTGTAATGGACCACTAACTGGACTATTTGAATCAAATTTATATTGTTGTATTGGCGGTGTTTTAGTCATGAATAGTTCACGATGTCCTTTTTGACTGACACGTAAAGTTTCTGTAAAACGTACAGCATCTTGTAATTCTAATAAACGTTCTTTATAATGATTACGTTCAGCTAGAATACGTGCCATTTCGGATCGTGTGAAACGTTTAACTTGAGCGGAATTAGTTGATTCCTATAATAAATTATAACCAAAAAGTTAGTTTTATTTTTCTATTCGATTACAGAAAGTAAAACAATTCACACGAACAATAAATCTGTGTTCTTCCCAGTTTTTTCTTAAACTCATCTCGATTAATGTTGTCATGTTCAAGGGATTAAGATATCACCTAGGACCAGTGAACGGAACGGAAGTCAGCAACGCAACAACACAACAAGCTAAGCTATTGCTCTGAGCCTCAGCTCTGCTAACTAGAGGGAGAAGACCAGATTTAGACGGGAATATATATATATATATATATATATATATATATATATATATATATATATATATATATATATATATATATATATATATATATATATTCCACAAGCAACCCGGAAGAGCAAATGAACAAGCACAGAACTCATGCGTATATATACAACACAAAAACGTCAAAAAATAGCACACTAAAAAAGAAAACGAACCAATGACATTTAAGGTCTTTCCAGGTGATAAAAATGGGAACTTTTGGAGCAGAAATGTGAGATACGAATAAATATAATTAACCTACAAAAATGAGTCTACCAAGTGCTTTCTAGGGACATAGCATCCCCAAGCAAATGTACCTACACTTGGTATTGCAAATCAAATACACATTGTTTTACCAATAATATAAGGAGGAATTCAATTTCTTTTAAGCAAACAAATACATCTTGACAGGTAAATCTTTCTCATTTAACTGTTCTCTAGTCCAAGCCTATTCCTAAAAATGAACATTATACATTGTAAATCTATTGTAACGATATTATATGAATAATTCCAAATGAGTTGACAACTGTTTAAAGGTAATTTTATGATGAACATGAAATCAGGTCAAAAATTAGATTTATTAGCCCAAAAAGTTAAATGGTTTTCGACGCAGTAAAAGAACAGAAGAATGATCCTGGTGATTATTTTTGACAAGGGTGAAAACAGCGAAATAAAAAAAATATTCATTTATTTGATGATTAGAAAGGATTTAAATTATTCTATTTTTGATAATCTTGACTAAATTTTGATCCATATTTCATAGCACATATACATTATGAGGTGATTGTCTCGATATAACCAATTAGACACAAATTTTACACTAAATAGATTAATTTATGGCTAGCAGTGACATCTGTGAAACGCGTTTCATTCTATTCAGGACTCCATATAAGGATGTACCTGTATCCTAGTGTTGATCTGCATAATGGGACACAGACATATCTCACTGAAGAGTATCAAATAGAGAGAAATGTGCGTCTACCAATTACACTGGTAGCCACAAATCTATCTGTTCCATAAAAACAATGATTAGCAGGAAAAAAAGCTCAACATCAGTATTTTATTTTTAATCCTCTTAACTTGTGGTAGGTAGATAGAACTTTAAAACTAACGTCCGAATTACATATATGAGATACTAACAACCAGCTATTCGAACTGCAGTCGATGAAATACAGGATTCAAACATCCACTTCCCTAATCCAATAGAGTGATTAAAAGTAGTATGAAATACGCTTACTTTGCTTGATCTTTAATGTAGTGGCATTCACCTTTCAGCCACTAAATCCTAATTTAAAACCTTACCTCAACTACTTTGGTTTAGGCGACCAGATATTAAGTATCACTAGCTTTCATTCAGGCCCCCAAATGCACTCATACGGCCGAAGGTGGGGAGAGTCCGCTCTTCATCTCTAAATGCTCTCATATGGTCACACGTATACAGCCACTGCTAGGGAACTCCTACTCACTGCCTTCTTGTGGCGAGGGTGTTGTTTGCAAAATTGAGAGGATGAAAAGCGAATGTCCAGCGCTTTAATCAGGCCGGGAGACACGGAGAGTCCATCTAGGGAAATTGGAAAACCCTTATTCCAAAGCACTGGTGCAAATGGGCTCCAGGATCCTAAAGGAACAAATAATATATGAACCAATCGTTGGTCACCGGATACCATGGGATCGCAGCTCTACTGCCTTGTGGATCAGATATTTAAGTCTAAGGCTCCGGGTGTGACTCCCTAAGAAAACCATCTGCTTCGGTTTAGGCACCCGAACAGTATCATAGCCCACACACAAATCAAGTGACTTGTATTCAGTGCTCCTTTGTAATAATATTTATGTGTCCAAATAAATAAATAATAAATAAGCTTTCATAGGTGAGACTATAATTTATGGACGAATCAATCAGGTATAAACCAAACAGGTCTCGGATTCATTCATCCATTTAGCTAAATAGAGTCTTGGCATTATAGCTGATATCAGTTCATGATGAAAACCCTAAATCTAATTCTAAATCTTAACTATCAACTGTAAATCATCATTCAAATTCCTCACACTAATTTATAACCCTCATTTGATCTTAGTTATTAGATGGACACTCTCAAGTTCAATCTAACATCATTCAAAGGTTGTCCATAAATTATAGTAGCTCACGATAAATTATCCTAATCCAGAAGTTAAAATAAAGTAATATGAGCTTAACATTATCAACCGATATTACATACTAAATAAAATAAATGAACTTACTACATTTGTTTTATCTTGATATAATGATAATTTTTCAGTTAATTGACTTAATTCTGAACGTGCATCATTTAATAATTGATCAGTATTAGTTAATTCACTTTGTAAACGAATACGTGATTCAGTTAACATATCTACTGATTCACGTAATGATATATTCTCACTAATAATAATAATTCAATATTGAATAAATAATTATTACTATAGTGATTAATTCATTATTATTATTATTATTATTATTATTATTATTATTATTATTATTATTATTATTATTATTATTATTATTGTAAATCAATATTGAACGATAAAATACAGAAATAATTGAATTAATCAAATAATTATTATAAAATAGAATTTAATTATATAGATTTCATTATCACAAATATTAATTGATATTAATTTTGAGAATAGAGAATAAGTGATGTGAAGAATTGATATCAGTATAGGATTGTGGAGATTATTACGTTCTTTTTTATTGAGATCAAGAACCGATTGATGTTAGGTCACCATTGAAAACCTTGAAGCACTGAACGGCCGTTTCGTCCTATTGTGGGACTCCGCAACAGTGCCCATCCACGATCCTGCTCGAAGGATTCGAACCCAGGACCTTCAGTCTCGCGCGCGAACGTTTAACCTTTAGACCGCTGAGCCGGCATCCAATGGTGTTAATGTCTAACCTAGTGATGTAGGGATTAATAATTAACTATGTATTGTTTTGAAAAGCATTGATAGTGTTTAATGGAAAAGTTAAACAAATAATCCTGAAGTTAAGCGTAAGGTAGTTTTATGTTAGATGATGAGTCTAGTGAATATTTACTAACTACTGAATTGAGTGTATTAAGTGTATACCCAACCACTGCCTACATCGATACACAGCGGGATCATTGATATAGGAGTAGGTTGAAAGAGATGTACGAACTCCCAAAGTAGGAATCGATATCAGCCCATGAAAACATTGACTTTTAAACAATTCAGATTGGTTTTAATCAGTTAACTACTGAAAATCAAGTCATTGATTTGATGAATGAGATCATTAAAGCGTCTGGTATTTTCCTGAGGGGACAAATGATGTATGAACCTATTGTTAGTCATCGGGTACCATGGGACTGCATCTCCTAACGTCGCTTCACTGCCTTGTGCATTAAACCTTTAGTCAAAGGCTCAGAGAATATCTCCCTAAGAAAACCACTTGCTTCGGTTTGGGCGCCCGGGGCAGTATTCCAACCCTCGCACAAATCGAATGATGAAGTCAGGCGCGTTTATATTTGGTGCCTCCTCGTACTAATGTTTGTGTTTAAATAAATAAATACAGTAAGTTCGTGATTTACTTGACGAAACAGAACAATCTCAGAAAACGCGTTACACTACTAATCCACTGCAAGTCATTCATTCTTAAAATAATGTGCATCATTGTGATGGCTTGAGACAATCAGACATATCACATCGAGAACGAATGATAAGTGAAATATGTTGACGGTTGCACACTCAACTGGTCAACGTTCAATTTAGTTTTCCAAGGAAGATAAATATACGATATTGTTTGATAAGCTCGTTTAAATTTACCGAGAACGCATGGTCATATTAAGTAATGAGATTATGCGCATATTTCGATTTGGTTAGCCAATACAGCTTCATGTTCCCCTTTCGTTTTCCTATTCAATTAGTTGATTGAGCTACAGTATAGGAAGTGTGTATAACAGTAATATAAATGGGACAACCGCCAAACACAATTTTCTGACAATAGGTCAACTCAACACATTTTTATGTTGAGTAGTGTGAGCGTAGAATAAACAGAATTCATTTAGTTTGAACAGACTAAAGAGGCGAGTATATAAATAGATATTATTAGAGCACCTTTTACATATAAAAAGAAGTTAGCATCGGTCATCGATTCCAAATGTCATTGTAGTTGTAAGCTAATAAAGTTTCATACAGTAGAGAAAAGAATATGTCCAGTTACTCAGTTAACAAAATCCAACATCAGTAATAACAAAGATAGTAGAATAATAGTCACAAATACCTTGTAGATTAAAAATAAGACCGAAAAATCTGTTAAACTTACGATGTTAAATGGTCAATTCTGGCTAGTAGGTCGTCTTTCACAACATTGAGAGCATTTCTTTACACACACACACACACACACACACACAAACGCAAGCATCATAGAATGTTTAATATGATGAAAACAAAAGAAGAAATGACAAAGAATATGAAATGTTATCTCTGAAAAAGTTATTTACAAGTTTATAATTCTCATTGTAGTTAATTAATAATCTTGAGGACATGATCTCTATTTCAAAGTAAGTTAGAAAAGACTACAAAATTAATCGATCAATAGATTCGTCCACATGTGATGGATTTGTGTACTCTCATACAAACCAAATTTAGTGTAAGTTGGAGTGCACTGGTCATCGAACCAATAATTTAACTTTCAGTCAATGATTACAAAACACTTAAGGATGTTTAAAATTTAAAAGATAGATTCCCGAAACGTATTTGTCATTATAACTGATTTGGACATATTCAGCATAGCGTTAACCAGAGACCTGGTACTTGATTATATGATTCATATTTTCCACGGAATGACCTGATGTTCCAGTCTAACCAACATAAGACTTTTCAATTCCCATTTTTATTTAGACTATATAAGTTTATGTCAATGTAACGAACCATCTAGCTATCATAGGTGATAGAACCTTGTAAATTTACTATATAATTTGTCAATTTACCTGGTACTTTAAATTTTAAATATGTACTCTTTAAGAGATGGTTTCACTACAGTCAATAATTCTAACAATACGCCATGTGGATAATTATTGTGTTCTTACCAGTGGCTAACTTCGAGGTGTAATTCTTGAAGCTCTAGTCAGCAGCATTCATCAATTTAAGTTCAACCATGTCAGACGTGAGATAAATATAAATAATGACAATTGATGATAGATTGCATAATGTTAGAAACGAAATTTAAGTATATCAACCCTGTGGTCCAAAGATTGAGCGGTCATATCGAGCACTGAAAACCTTGGGTTTGATCCCAGTAGGAAGATTCATGAATGTACACAACTGATGAGTCAAACGCTATCTAGTGCCTCCCGTGTTTATATGATAGTCAAAATTAAATCAGTTGGTGATATAAAATTATAAACAGTACAATTGTTGAACAAATACTAATCACAAGTACTAAAAATTAGAGTGTACAATTGTCATGACAATTATCAGAAATAATATTTCATTCATTAATGCGACAAAAATAACTTAAATAATAGTGTAATGTATGCTACTTATGTTTGTCGACATAAGTAGTAGGTAAAACCAGTGGAAACCCTGGCAGCAGAAGGCTAAAAAGATAGAACTGAAGAGAACAGAAAGGAATTGTGAATAAGAAGAATCATACAGAATGTGAAGGGCAAATGATGGAAATTTGTAAATAAAGTATTCAGTGTATGATCCTTATATTTTACCAAGGTACCCTGTAATCTTGTACTAAATACATTGGTTGTCCTAACTTGTATTCTCGTTTACTGATATAATGGGTGATCGTCGTATTTTGGGGATCAATAAATCTTCACTTATACCAGTCTTTGTGTTTATACTTTCGCGTCGTGGGAATCGCAGTGGTCCGTCGTTCCGAACATAGGTGATAAGAGTTTCCGACATAACAATCAGCGACGAGCAGATATAACAAATAGCATTCAATTGACAAGTTATAACATTTACAACAATAATAAACGAATTCACTTACTTCATTTCAACAAGTTCCATATTCTCTTTGATCAATACATCAATCTCTTTACGCATACCAGCTAAATGAATGAACAAGAAGGCGTAAAATTGAAAACATTTCATTTCAACATGCAAAAATCAAATATTAAATTAAAACTATTTCTATGATTGATTATTAATTGAATGGATCAACAATAAAAACAAATCAACTATATCATAAATTAAAAACTAATGACTATTTAGCGGTGAATAAAAATTTCTTTTCAAGAATATCATCTTTCTTGTAGTTGCACAAATGTATTTAACATTCATGGTAATAGTAGGTCGTATCTATCGTAGATTGATTTTAGTTAATGTGTCATTTTAAAAAAAGGTAGCACCGGACAACTATCTCATCTTAATATGGAACATTTTGACGTTGGACACCAATGACTTCATCAGGAAGCAAACACAGAACTTTCACGTCTCATATAGAGCATTTCAACATTTAGACTTACTAAGTTGGTATTTTATGACTTACATTTCAAACTCCAATCAATTTATGAGTAAATAAGGGAATGGATCATAAATAGCATGGAAATACTGTATATTGAATGATGATTATGTAACGATTTTAAAAGATAGTGAAAAAATTAAAAAGATGGAAATAATTTTGTAGATGAGAGAGAAAGAGAGGGATAATAGTTCACATTGGATGAATATGCAGAGAGTGAAGATGGAAAGAACAATTAAATGTCACGATAACAATAGTTAAGAAGAAAAAAATTAATAGAAAAGAATAATAAAAACAGTTGACTATTATTAATATTATTATTATCAACAATGAAAGACAAAGGAAAAACAAAAAAGACATACGATATGAACTAAGAAGAGAAAACAAGAGGGTTAAGGCAACTATTCATTAATTCAATATGTACATAAAATTAAACTACGATCATGATAACCCATGAAATACATAATTCACTACTACTATGATGTGTACTACTAATGTCGACAGATATAGGTAGTATGCATCATCAATCGAAAGTGAAGGTTAAGATAATTGAAAAGACGAGAAAGAGAACATAGAGTGATTGGTGTGGAAACGAAGAAACAGTCAATTCTGAGAAAATGGATTCCATCAGAGCTGAGAAGGACCTGACGTAAAGGACATTCAGTTAATATCCAATGATCAATCAATTGTAAAGCCAATTTATGTATTAACTATTTATTTTGATAACGTGATGCGTGATAAACTTTGTCGCAATAAACATTCATACCAACATCTACACTAATGATAGTGATGATAATTTTTAATAATCTGAAAGAATTATGTAATATAGATTACACACTGATCTGTCAAATCTTCAAGATAAATACACTTTAATGAATTACTGAACACGATTAATTATCCCAACTGGTCTTATATAATATATTTCAAGATTTTATTGATAGTTGACACCAATAAAATAGATGAATTAGACAAGTATAATATATGCAAATGTAAATGTCAAACACATTTCGGCTATTGTTAAAAAAAAGGACAAAAAGAAGTGTTGTAGTGCATATTTATTTGTATGTGTGTGTATGTGGGGGGAGGGGGTTTGTTTGGATATTCAATAAGTACATAGAAAGTGTAACATAATAAGTACACAAACAGTGAACTAGATCACACATGTACATCGTGTAACTATTTTTTCTCTTGTCCGTAAGACAGCATGTGAATGAAGTATTTCACACATTGATACACATTTAAACACTAAACTAAGATAAAAGAAGAGAAGTGCTAAACACTTTTTTTGTGCAGAAAGTGAATGAATGTGAAACAATGAAAAAAACAGATAGAATACAACCATTATCCATTTACTAGAATTAATTTTACAACAGTAGAAATATCACCTACCAAATTCAATGATTTCAAATTCTGGATTAATTGTATTAGGATAATTGTCTAAATATGAAGTCATTAATTTAACAAGGGGACGAATGAGTTAGATGTGTACAAAAGAAAATGAAAACATATATATATATATGAAAGGTAATTAACTTTATACAATGTGTATGTGCAAGAGAAGGGTTATTCAATATCTACTCATCATCTCTTTTTTCTTTTCCCAAATTTATTTCACTGGATTATACTCTTTAAATAACATCTCCAAACACTAATCTTTCTGATTACTGCTTATACTCTTACTACCTCTACCACTACGGTATTTGAATCGACAACTGCATCTCTGTGCTAATGTGGTATGGCAACTCGAACTGATGTACGTACGTACGAAGTTCTACGTTGTTACTGACTGACTGACTGACTGACAATAGAAATCAATTAAGAATAGTTTACAATGTATATTGACATGATTTGAAAGTAGTATGGGCAATCGAAAAAAATAGTGGAATATTTTCTTTCTATTTATATTCTAAGATATTAACAAGTACAATGGTTCATCAGTATTATATTATTCATAGTTCTTAGGGTCTTTAGATTATATATTACTGACACAGTTTATCGCAAGTTCAAACAATACAGTTTCATAAGTACTGTTTTTCATCTTAAACATTATGAATGTGATGTCAGATGAAAATTCATTACTCACCAAAGTAGATAGAATGAAATTCGAACATAAGACACAGCAACTAACCACTAAATCTCTGAGGAACCGATCTCTCTATTGTTACATTCATTCTATCTTACTATCAACCATTACAACAGTTCCTAAAACTGGTACAGTTTAATTAGTCTCGCATTTGCAAAATATCAACAAATGAAACGGGCGTCCTGGATTCCACTGCTAGCTATATTTCATCTATTCTACATTAACATTTTTTACCGGTTATCTTTCACACCCATGTAATAGAACAGTAAAACATTACCTTATCATATATTCATTCATCCATTCATTAAAGAGACAAGATATTTTGAAAACAATATTCCTTAGTGTAAGTCAATTAAATCTACAAACTGTAAAATCTCTCTTATGACGAAAACAAAACGATACTACGATCCGTTTATTGAATACAACTAATAGATTGACAGGTTAATCAATAAAAGATATCACAATGTTATATGATGTATACACTTTCAATTCTCAAATAACATCAACAAAATACCGAAAAAAGTTAAACAACATCTTCAAATAAACAAGAAATAATCAATTAAATAGACATAGAAGAACACTAACAATAACGTACTTAAACGACATTTTAATAACTAGAAATTGATATTCATTAACAATAGAATGTTAGCGACTTGTATTTAGCCTAACTTTTTGATGACATTATTTGTATATCTGATTACAGAATATCTATTTCGAGTGGATTGTCAATTACCATTCTTTAGTAAATAGTTAAACTGTGTCCAATTTAATTATATTGAAGATTTAATAGTGTTCTGGAATCTGAAGAATTGCTTAATCAAAACCAACTGTTAGAGTTTAACTGACAATGTTTTACATAGTTTACATCACAGACTGAGTTAAGTTAGATAAACACTGAAAGTCAAGAAGCAATGGATAGAGGTTTTGTTCTAGTATGAGACTTCTCGGCAGAGTGAATGCATGACCATAAAGGTTAATTGAACCGAATACTTCTGAGTATAGCGAGTACTTAACAACCTTATTGATAAGTTGGTATTCAACAGTTCACATCAACAGTTTCAATCAATTCGGAATAACGTCCAACCAACTTCTAATGCCAATGATTAGGTACCTCATACGCGAAATAGTTGGACTCCACCGGTCACAGTTACTCACCAGAACTTAAACAATAGCCTCTTGAAATTATTCACTGGTGAGTATATGATTATTATCAGCGTAACACAAATGACATACACTCATTGGCTACTCCTAAGAGATGATACATAATACATAGTGTAGATATAATACAACTATTTGATTGTAATTTTATTCAACACTACATTACTCATTATATATATATATATATATATATATATATATATATATATATATATATATATATATATATATATATATATATATATATAAAATACAAAAAACAATGTATAATTATAAAGGCGTGGCAGCTAATATAATTTGGATTAAACTTGTGATTGTCACATCACAAGCTGAATACATATTGATATAAGTAAGAATGAGAAAAAGTAACATGACGAAAGCTTAAGGACGAAAAAGGAAAGTACACAAACATGTAGTGAAATAAATGCGTGTTGTTACTGTTACGCCTTTCACTTGATTACGGTAAATACGATATACAACGCGTTGAACCCCACAGTCGCAAATCAAAAGACGGGAAAAACAGGGGAAGCAATCACTAGGTAAGAATCAAAAATGTACAGAAAAAGGATATTTATAGTTTTTAGTATAGGTTATAACGTGATTATCATACAGCTCATCCGTGATTAGGAAGTTATGCAACTGTCCAACCACTGAATGCCACGTTGATATTCTAGAAGGTTCTACCGTGCTCCGATGGAATGGAAACTCTTTGGCTCCCATAGAGCCTCCACAGGCTCCGTCGTGCTTTATTGGAAACCGTTTCCAAGAGATATTAAGTTATCCATTGTATAGTAGAGTAGTATTAGAAAGTGCAATTTAAACATAACGTATCGACTAGTAGTGTATTTTGGTTGAAAATGAGCAACAAAAAATAAGGTTTATGAAGAGTGAAGAGTCCCTACTCAAGTACTATGGGTTAATTCATATCTTATAGAGAATTGTCATCAGAATAGTAAACTTCAAGTGTTATTCGTTATGGTTACTCCCTAACTCACTTTCTATTTAGTTGCGTCGCAGATGTTCTTCTAGACATCACACTTCATCTAACTCTTCAAAGACTGACTTCTCACTAAGAGATTAGTCAAACAAATTGGAATGGGTAGATAATATGATCTAATTTGATGATGATAAAGGGGTCCAGGGTTTCCTAAGCATTTAGGACGCATTCCCCTACCTATAAATGCAAATTTTCTCTGTAGGTCTAATCTGAATAATCTTCTAGACTGGTCGCAGTGAATGGAGTAATTGAATGACTTGACTAATGGTAGAATGTACTAGGCAATTGTTCGGTTTGCATTACTCTACGACTGTGAAGGATGGTTTATTTAACCGGCTTACGACAGTATGAGTCTTCGAAACAATGTTCGAGTATCGCAAAACGACCAAGTTAGTTATATTAATGCCCATACATAGAGTACTAAGAAAAGATAGCAAATCAATTGATGCGGTAATAAATATTCCACAAATGAAGTGGTTGACAAATGTGTTGGAGTATTACCAGCTACAGTCTACCTAGACGTGCAGTCTTTGTCGGTGTAAGAGTAAGAATTCTAATGATGGTCAAATCAAAATTTGAAACCAGGCTGTGAACTCATTGACAGCGAATCTGAACCATCACAGTTAAAGCGAAATAAACAAGTATGCATTAGTGAAGTCTCGTTAAATATTTTTCAACCGAAAATTGCATGGAGGAAGTACAATCTATTCCTTAAAAAATATCATATTGAGCTTCTGCATAATAAATATATATGCTTAATTTGCATAATGATTAACACGTAAATAAAACGAATTCTTTAGTCTTTATACAAATACATATGAAATTAAAGTATTTTTTATGATCAGAATGAAATGTGATCAATTGTTAGTAGAATGAAATTCATTGATTTTACAATTATTATACACACATTGCATAATTATTCCAAATAAAAAATACCAAAGTTACGTGTAACATACAATTGAAAACTTGGATCTCACTCGCGGAATCGTGTATGCGCACTGCTGAGGAGTCCCATAATAGGACGAAACAACCGTCCGGTGCTTCCAGGTTTTTAATGGTGGTCTAACATCAATCGTTTCAAGATCCCAATCAATAACTTAATAATCTCCACAACCCTATACTGACATTTTCCAAGTGTTGAAAGCTATTTATAGAAGTGCAATATTGCCCAACATGTTTCTGAGATAGAACAAGTACTTCAGTGACAACCGGTAAAGATTGAAAGGGTTATACAAAATCATAATGACTGCAGACCTCGCGTTTTAATGAAAACATCGAAAGTGTACAGTATATTTTCTATTATAATCACCGATCCACTATTTGAATGGTTTATAAATTTAGAAAACATCCGTGGACAACATTAAAGCAATGCAATTTATATTTATATTTATATAGTCTCTTATTCACAGTGAAATGTCAACGTATTGTATTTTTAACCGAGATCATATTAATAGCTTTATATAGCTGTTATATCCTAGCGAATGATGGGTAACTTCTGAGGACTATTTATGAACTAATATTATATATATATTCCTATTGTATAACTATTCAGTATATTCACATTCCTCTTATTATAAGCTTTATTTTGACTAGTATCAGAAGGGGTTTTGTTGAGGTTGTAGTAATTTCAATAGTTCAGATCATGAGTCAATTGAAGCTAGACCACCATGGAAAACCTCGAAGCACTGGACGGCCGTTTCGCCCCATTGTGGGACTCCTCAGCAGTGTGCACCCACGACACCGGATTCGAACCCAGGACCTATCAGTCTCATGCGCGAGCGCTTAACCACTAAACCTATAGATTATTGATACGGTTTACCATTTTAAGTTATGCCCAGTTTATTAATTACAGTGTCCCACAATCACAACCACTTTTTGGCTTGAAGTTTTACAAATGTTGTTTCCTATTTTATAGCATAATGTAGTCTCTTTGGCTTGTATATAAACCAGGTATGTTTGAAATAAATTATTCGTATAGTGGGTGGTGGTGTTGGCGTTCTGTTCTCAACTAGCAGAGCTACGAGGAAAATAACCAATAAGGACGCTAAGCTGTTCATACCGGTCGATAAGTCATTAGTTTGGCACAATGCTAACATTGTATAAGTCGTATTCCGATTGGCGAATAAGTCACATGATGATTAGCCGGGCTAAAAGATATAACAGTAGAAAACTGTCAAAGAATTTGTAAGACGAATTAACTAAGAATTGCAAATGATAAATAATGCAAACAGTGAATCGGTTATACGATATATAGATGATATGTATTATTCTTACCAGGTAGATCATCGTCGACATTTAGACCACCACCTTCCGACTCCAGAGTATTTGGGAGTTCATCAAACTCAAATCCACCGCTAAAAGGAGTAAGAAAACTATTTAACTTATAGATTTAATCCAATTAGATAGAAAGTTACACTAACCTAAGCCTTTTGTAAAAATAAAAGAACCTATTTGAAGAAAATGATCAAAAATAATTAATCTAATTAGATTCTCCCCCTAAAAATGCAAAATGTTGATTCAGGATTTGATTGCATCGACACCCGAACCAATGATAGGGAGTGAAGTAGTTGAGCGTGTCGACCGTTTCACTTATCTGGGAAGTCTCATCAGCCCTTGTGGTCTGGTGTGTGACGAAATCTCAGCACGGATACAGAGCGCCCGATTAGCTTTTCCCAACTTGCGTCATTTATGGCGTATGTGAGATATCTGTCTACCAACTAAAGGACGGGTCTACTGCGCAGCAGTCCGTTTCGTCCCACTTTATGGCAGTGAAACATGGCCGGTAAGAGTAGAGGATATCCATAGGTTACTAGTATTTGATCATAGGTGTCTTCGAAACATTGCTCGTATATCCTTTGTCCACCGGATAAGTGACGCAGTTGTTAGGAAACGGGTACTAGGTAAGGATAACAAATCAATTGATGAAGTAGTGAAATTTCACCAGTTGAGATGGCTGAGACACGTGTTACGTGTGCCCAACCACTGACTGCTCCGACGTGCGATGTTGTATGGTGTAGGAGTAGGTTGGAAAGCTAGGGAAGGCCAGACCAAAACATGGCACAAATCCATTAAGTCATTGACAAGTGGACTGAGCTACGTTGGTAGGTGTAGACTACCTGGTTGGGGACAGCGAGATGATAGCAACCGATGGTTAGAGACCCTGAATGACAGGGTTCAAAATCGTTTGCAATGGCGCAGGTGCATCCACACTTTGTGTTCTCCCAAATTCTACTCTCCTGAATTCTTCATGTCTCTTTCTTTTTCCTCTTTCCAAATTTGCTTCACTGGATTATACTTCTTGAATAAAATCTTCAAATCCTAATGTTTCCGATTACTGTTTATACTCTTACTACCTCTACCACTATGGGATTTGAATCGACAACTGCGTCTCTGTGCTAATGTAGTATGGCAACTTGAACTGATGTACGTACGTAGGTACGAAGTTCGACGTTGTTACTGACTGACTGACTGACTGACTGAGATTCTATCACTAAACTTGATGAAGCTATTATAGAGATTAATACAATGTTCATAAGAAGGAGTATAACTAAGACAACATGCCTACTATTCATTGATTAGGTGAAGTGAAATTTTAGTTAGAGAATTTTGTAATTGATTATCTACAAACCTTGAACTACCTCGAAAAGCAACAACATACAGCTGTGAACAACAGATTGTGATGTTAGACTGTAAATAGATTCTAGGTGCTTCGGCATTTAAGTGGCGATCAAGAGATGAAATTGAACTAAAGCAATAATTTTTAGAGATCCCATGAATAATATTGTGGAAGTTGGCTCCTTGTTATTAGCCACTCAGAACACAGGTGACACAAAATAGTAATGTATAGAAAAAACAATACTGTAGCAACAAATCAACTAGATTTGTGATAACGACTTCAAGATCATAGATAATGAATGAAAATTACAACGCTAACTACAGACCATCTTACGGCCAATATAAGCGACCATGCAATAATTCATTGTTTATAAAGGCGTAAGAATGAATGGCTGCAAAACACTACACAAGTACACGAGATAAAATGATGTTCCTATGTAACTTAAGGCTTCATAAAACAATAAAGGGCAGATTCCTTCTTCAGTGATTCGACGCTTAAACTTAAACCGATAGTGCAATTAGTACTTCAATGGACTACAGATACAGATATAATTACGGCTGCAGCTGTAACTGAGGTTTCTAGCAAGAGAAGCACATAGAATAACTAAGTAATTTCTTTAATCTAATTGGTTGTTTCTTGGTGCCCGCTATACAAGTCTACAGAAAAAGACAGTTTCAATGCTTTCCCAATATACTATCTTCCATACTGATCCCTTCGATTCAGCAAATATGATCGGCAGTCAGAAGAACAAATTTTTATACCGAATTTACTTTGATTTTAAAAGGTAAGAACCTATCAGTAAATTTGACAAGTTTAGTAATCATGCTCTATTTGCATCAAGTGACAAGAAGTTGAATAATTCATCGGTTCAGATGACTTAAAACAGAATCACATAAATTTGTATTATTATCAATTCGGCACTGACACATCACTATTTGACTTGTACGTTGTATTATTCTATGTTATACAAGCGTAATTCCAATTTTATTTTAGTATATGCATTTATCAAAGAACTATACAACTTTATTTCATTCTCAATGTGTACATGAATACTATAATGTAGTCACGACTTCCAAATAGAATTAAACACCAATCTTGAATTCTACAAACAGCTGATATTCATATTGGTTGTCAATGAAGGGATTAAGCTGTTTACAACATTGACAATACTCAATACGTTTGTCGTATCCAAAATTACACTATAATATAGAACACTCATTCATTAAATGGACGTAAAAATAACTAAAAGTGCTGGGTACATAATATTCTGATTAAATGTCATCATCAATTCCAAATATTCTCAAAATTTAATTTAGCTTACTGGAAAGATAATAAATAACTTATTTTATGTGTACTTTAACAACTGATAATATTACATACAATTTAGTTATTATTATTATTATTATTATTATTATTATTATTATTATTATTATTATTATTATTATTATTATTATTATTATTAATGGCTTTATTCAACACTATAATTTTGGTACAATATAGAATTCTCAGCACAAAGTATTTCAACAAGTTTCCTTTTCTTATTTCATGATCGATCATGACGATAAATATTGATTGATCGCCAGCTAGATGTTCAGTCAGTCAGATACAACGTAGAACCAGGCACATATATGCCATCAGTCTAAATTGCCATACCTTATTAGCACAACAAGATGAACACCAAATGCATAGAAGTAGTTATTTCAATGGTAGTAATATATAAGAGAAAGATTGTGCATAAGGATATAATACAGGAAGAAAGAATTAGTTCGTAAAAAGAAGAGTATGAAGCAACTTTAATCTCATGGGCTAAAGGAAAACAAAGAGTGTATACACGAACAGCATTGTGATTGATTCTGAGCCATGTTACACAGAGTCTTCAACTGTTAGTTACAATAGTTGCGCGGACCCAACAAAGTAGTCTACATCTACCGAAATGGCTCAGACTAGAATTTATTGACTTGAAGGATTGATACCATGTTTTGGTTTGGCCGCCCCTAACTTTATTAGATGTTAGCAGTTGAGAAATCCATATTTGAATAATGTTCATTCTTCTCAAGGCTCATAACCAGCCGCCACGATGCCTCTGATTGTACTTTTTTGTACCTTAGACGTATACGAGCCTGAATATGTTATGATACTAATAGATATAACAGTATGTTAAAACAAACAAAATCAGACTTGTTGAAATATCTAAATAGATGACAGGAACGGGTAGCCCAGATATTCAAGCAGGCCACCAAGATGTTTGAGGTCAACTATCGTTTTTTCAATGATCAATAAAAGTAAAATGTCTAGCATTATCTGCCACTTTTCCGTTTGTTTAGCTTGTGAGTGTAGCATATAGGGCTATAATTCTCAATGAGTATTTCATTTCTGTCATCTATAGCTATTTATGTATATCTTTTTAGTAACATATCACAGTAGAATATCTCAAATATCTAGATGAAACAAACAAATTAAATGAAAGTTAGAGTTTGAAATGAAATTCTTAATGAAAAAGTATACTTTCATATTCACCAAATGAACGGAAAAATGTCCGACAATACGCAATACATTTTGTATATTGATCAATGAAAAACGAATAAATTACAAATTCACAAACGTATATCCTGTCACTTCTCTATGAATGCTTTAAAACTAACTTATAAACCAAACAAAGAAGAAAGACAAACAATCTGTTTTGGTATGAAAATTGAAAATTTAGTTTACAAGAGAGAAACAAATGAGAAATAATGACAACTATAATAAAAGAGATGATGTGAACATTATCATACAGAACAAATTCTAACCTGTAAGAATTATGCTTAAAATCATTTCAAAAGTTGAAATACAACTCTATTTCTCAAGAATTACTTCGACAAATTTAATTTACCGACAAATGTGTACTATATATATATACACCAAGATTTTAACCAGCCATCAAAAATAATTAACACGATCAAGTTCAATAAGTAAACATGATTGAACAAGTGTGTTTTGTATGGATTTGCTTGTTCAAACCTTGTTTTATGTCTTTTATTTTATTGAAATTACTCGAAAATATCAATCGCTAAGATTATTTTATATAGATAACTTTTACATCTCTGGAATAACCTACCACAATCTCTCCGTACGATAAAATCACTCCCATTATTTATTCGCCGCATCGATGCATACTGCTCCTCTGAAAATGCATTGAATGGTCTAGCACCTGGAAGTGTATCTCATTCCACAAGTAGTATTATAGGAACTTTGAATATTTAGCCATTTTTATTCGTGCATTCCCTAAGTAAAACCACCTACTTGCTGTCACTTTATGTTAACACTGTCCCTAGCAAGTTTAACTAATTTGAATAACATCAACAGTATATCACTGTGTAACATGACACATGCATTTAGGTAGACCTGATTCATATATTTTAGTAAATACTGCTTTGTTGTTCCGTGCTCTCTGTTTTCGTTTTAATCTCTCTAGTTGTAGATAATTATCATTAATTCGATCTGGCACACGAAATGATCTTAATTACACCGTTCATAATTCAACGGGCTGGCCATTTAAGAAATATTAAAAATTCCCGGCTGATGAATTGGATCGCTGTAAAACATGTACTGCCTAAACAACTACTGAACTAGTATACTTAAAACTTTCTTCTATCACATGTTTGTTCTGTACATCTAATGTTACTATTTATATCAAATTGATCATGCCTGTGAACTGGCGTGAATTCTGTAATTATTATTTTCAGAATATAAATTATCATTATTATCTGTCTGTTACTGATTACCAGATAATTTGAATTTTACAACATTTGTGGAAAAAACTCTTAAAAATATTAAAATTTATACGAGCAGACGAATAGACAGAGAGAAAATAACCAGAAATACATCATTCCTTGAGATGTTAGATGCTTGGAAGAAATCCTGTTTGAAGTAGGTTCCGTGTTGGTTGGCATTTGTCGTGGCAAGGTATATCTCCAATATCGGAGAAACGGATGCTTCTCTTAGACTTTTAATCCGAGTCACTTAGCTTCAAAGTTTGAGAAGTTATCAATGAGCTATTCAGGCAGTAACTGTAGTAGGAGTGAAATATTCACAACTAAATAACGACCGAGTAGTGACCACTGTCATGCTTATCCACTGCCTTAGCACTGATCGAATCTTGTCGATTAAATAGCCACTCGATAAGTAGTACTGCTTTAGAATGTGAAGTTGGGTGATGCAGGTTAGAAATCCATCCATTTCCTCGAAATCGCAGGCCCGCCATGCTGGCTAGCGCCAACTAGCAGAAAACCAAAGTCAACCTAGGTCTCCTATTCACTACCTCTGAACAACAAACACTTTAAAATAGTGAATGCGATGTTGGGTCACTTAAACTGGTTAACGGACACATAGAAATTTGGTCGATCGAATCCGATCAACACCTCAAGGACTAGATAGGCATGATAATGCTTACTCCTCAGTCCTTAATCAAAAATATACACATCATCCGCATAATTTTATCATTAATCACTCGATTTTATGTATTTTTTAATACATAACTGATTTACACTTACCCAGTAGTATCATAGCCAACACCAAGTGAATTCGAATGAACTGCTGAAATATTAATGTACAATAATTAAAGCTTATGTATATACATTGAAATAATGAAAATTAACCATCACGTTGAAATAACAGTGATATTTGATATTAACATTGTTTTTAGCATGCCCTATCCCAAGAATATGTTGCACAATTGAGGTCTTCGTTTGCTAAACAAAAGGTGGGTATATCATGTGTTGTAGTCTGATATGTTTTAATTTATGACTGTGAAATTAAGAGAAACTTCCACAGACTATAGTTATTTCATTATACAGACCCACATTCGATGGAATCCCTAAGTTAGTAACGCTGAGGTTACACGTAGTGTCAGGTAAAAAGACAAATCGATTGACGATGCTGTTGGGGCGTTCAAAAAGTGTATTACGCACGTCCAGCCAGCCCCTACTCTGACCTTTGGGTACTAAATTTGCATTTAATAGTTTGTAGTTTTAACTTCAATTATATGACAAAAGATTAAAAGGAATCGATTCAGTAATAAAAACTTGCATATAGATAGTTTTTGAAACTAAAGTTGCTTAGATGATTTATAAGAAAAAATCAACACTGTTTGAAGTGAAAAGTGATAAATTCGAATCTCAAAGTGAACATCGACTCATTAGGATGCAGGTAAATTCAGCTGACAATCTACCAATAGATCGAAACTCGTGGCCTGTATTTTACTGCTACTAACAATTTATCTATTCTATAAAAGTGATATACATATGAAATCAAACAATCTATCTCTTAGCTAGATGATCTAAAAAGTTTCAATTATCACAAATTACGACAATATTAATTTTAACCTCCTAACAAATATCCCAATAAATCCAAAAAAGCAAAGAACAAATATAGTTGAATAACAAGGACAGAATATAGTCCCCTAGATATCAATATAAACGTTAAATGGGTGATAAAGAGTGAAAAACAGAATAATCAAAATAAGAAAGGATATGGTCTATGTTATAATAAGATAAAACACCACTTACTAGATGATCCATCTATTGTTGAGCCTTGATCATGATTAGTTGATCCAGTTAAATTATACTTGGATGAATTCATTGATAATTTACGTGGTGAATTTCTCTGAATAGAATTATTCAATGTATTTCTTGATTGTTCTTGACTATTGTTATTATGATTAATAAATTTGATTTGTTCAGTTAATTCAACATTAGAACGTATTAATTCATTTAGATGTTCATGTAAACGATTCTCTTCTTTTTTCCATTCTTGTTCTTTCACCTCTAAACGTGAAACTGAAATTGAACCAATTTACAACAAAAATGTATCACCAGTAAAAGATTGTTTTAATGAACAAAAGAGAGCAGAGCAAAGAAGATAACAATAGATAAAAAAGGAGAAGGCGATAAATCACAAATATAATGTCGTATTATACGCTATCCGATTCTGATACTGATACACATACTTCTTATCGGCGAAAACTCGAACTAGCTACTAAGTGAGAAGTCTGAGAGTGAAAGGAAAGCATTCTATTGGGTAATCAAATCGACAAATAACTGTAAACTCATTTATATATAATGTTCCTCAAAAATCTAAACTACACTTTCTTTTTACCTATAATGTGTCGAATTCCTTAGAAAAGGAAGCCAAATCTTGCTCAATCGCGTGCGCTTATTATCTTCATGACGTCTGACTGGTCCATTGTATCATATACAATGAGTTAGAAACTGTAATACAAGTGAGTGAGCAGATAAACACCAGCGAAGTAGATAGAATAAAATATGAACAATCAACTTGAATGATTGCAAATCGAATGTTTCAACTTATTATATCACAGATTCACAAGATACTATATTCACAATGAAACCTGTAATATTTGTTTATTTTCTGCCATAAATAATGAACCCATCAACAATATGTTCATACTCCACTGATTCCCTCAGGATCGTGAAGTGCATGTGGAATCATGGTCTTCCAACTCCGCTAAGTGGATCCTTAGTACCCACCATCACAGTTTTAGCTTCTCATCCTCTCAATTACATCAATAACACCACCGCCGTCAGAAGTCAGTGAGTAGGACTTCCTTTGCAGCGAGTACATACACGTGGCCACATAGGCACTATATGTATATAAATTACATTCATTTGTAGCTATCATATTTCCTTTAACAATATACTTGAGGTGATAGGTAATAGTTATTACACGATTTCAAATAGTTTAACGGTCAAAAAACAAATCAAATGACTTCAACCATATATTTATAATACTAAATGTAAACAATGTGAGTTAACGTGGTCACAAGATGTAAGCTTGACAAAGAAAGACACTTTTCTATTTATTCAGACAATTATTGAATACCTAAAATCACATGTACACACTGGAACTGACATACAGTACGTAATGATATATTATCAAGTGTTATTTTTGTTGCTTATTTTTCAATAGTAAATTTAAATTAATCTAAACTGATAATCAAGGATAAGTTTATGTACTTGGAGATTTGAAACAGATATTTATACTTAAGAAGCCAATGGAGTAGTGTATAATAAATAGTTAAAGCGCTCAAGTACGGGTTCGAATTCCGTTCCATTCACTTTGATTCCCAGGATATTGGTAATATCACTAACCTTCCATAAAACCACTATGGTTCAAAGCTGTGGACGTAAATATTTACTTCTTAAATGTTTTAATAACATCAACTGGTTACCTAAATTGAAGTAAACAGTTGAGATAAGATTCCATGTGTAGTTGAACAAATATTACCTTTAAACAGTAAAGGATGTATATCAATCCAATTAGTATGTACAGTCAAGTTTATAAATAATACTTTAGGTAAAATACACAAATCAATCGATGAGAACGTAAACTTAGTGGGATATGGTAGTACATGTATGTTCAACAGTAAAAAAGTACTTAGTGCCCTACAAGATTCCGACTCCCACAAACTAGATCAATTTCCAGTTGTATCAGGTGACAGACAACAATCTAACTACTCAATCATATTCTACCCTGAAGACGTGAATAATGCACACATCAAGCGTAGATTTATTTAAACGATATTAAGTAATCTACAATAAAGACTGTCAAATTATTCCTTGTTTGTGATGAGATAACTCACTGAAGAATGAGAAGATTGAATCACTTTGTTAGTTATATCCATAACTAACCAATCAAATCGTTGCTTAGGCCCGCACCACGTCAATCTGGTCTGATGTATCTGCAGACTATCCCTAATACATGTAACCTGTCAATTGAAGGACATTATTATCCTGTTATATTATTGTGACTCAATTTTTATTCGTTTCGATAAGACAAGCAATACTGGTCGAAACGGATAAAGTTGTCCTTGTTCTGATTATAACTTTGACATAGACTCTGGGGTCGCCAGGATCGCGTTTACAGTCCTATTAGAATATCTATAGAACAAATTAAATCCTACTTCACAGATTTGATAGAACTGTTGATTTAATGCAACTCATTCACTAAGCAGTGCACGTTTTTGGGATTGTTTTTCAGATACTATTCGTGTGTGTGAAGGTCAGTGATGCTATTCAATTATCCAGACCAGAAATAAACGGGACGAGATTCAAACCTGTAATCTACTGGTTGAGAACGGAATGTATTAATTATTTTATTTTATTTTATTTGAACACATAAATATTGGTACAAGAGAGCGCCAATATATATGCGCCACACAAAACAATGGGAATTCGAAGAGAAGTAGAAAGAGAAAAAAAACTAAGGAACGCAAAAGAAAAAGAGAACAATGACGAAGAGATTGGAGTAAGGTAGTGTGGTAGTAACGACGGAACGAAAAGGTACAATCAGAAGAAATCTTTCAGTTAAGGAAGACACAACCACTTTTTATGAAGAAAGTAAAAGAAGGTTACAGCAGGATCGCCACTGGCTTCTATTCTGAGCCATATCTGATAACGTCTCTAGCCACTGTGTAGCACCATCTCGGACCCCAACCAGGGAGTCGTGAAGGACCAACACAAGCCAGTCCTTTGCAGCTTTCTCTCATGCCACGACACCATGTCATGCACTGACCACCTCTCCGCTTCTTCCAACCAGCCCCAGAGTCGGCAAATAATGCACGACGTGGAATTCTCTGGGACGACATTCGGAGAACATGTCCAAGCCACCGAAGTCGGTGTTTCAAGATGGTGACACCAATTGCATTATCATCTCTGTGCCCGAACACACTGCCGAACCTCTGCATTACTGACATGGTGTTGCCACTGAATGTCAGCAATCCTTCGGATACAACGATAATCAAACACAGAGTCGTCTAACATTCGCAATTCGGAGGCCAGATCTCACAACCATAGAGCAAAACTGCTCTCACCGACGCGTTGTAGATCCGAACTTTTACAGCCAGACTAACATCACGAAGGCGCCAAAGATGGTCCAGATTGGCATAAGCCGCTCTGGCTTTCACTATTCGTGCATTGATCTCATCACTCACACCCCCACCAGCACTTATGCAGCTACCCAGATACACGAACTTCTCAACTACGTCTATCTGCTCACCATCCAGAGTGAGTACAGGATTAGAATCCTGCCAGTCTTGTAGAAGCACTTTGCACTTCGAAGGTGCAAAGCACATACCGAACCTACGGACACTGATTGTCAATTGATTAAGTGCGGATTGCATGCCTTGGGCATTATCACACAGTAAGACAATATCATCCGCATACTCAAGGTCGAGAAGTCTTTCTCCAGGCAACAGATTCACACCACCATTACTTACATTCATCAGAGCTGTTTCCAGAATGTCATCGATGGCAAAGTTGAAAATTAATGGTGAGATTGAGTAACCCTGCCTAACCCCACTGCTCGAATGGAACAATGGAGAGAGGTGGTTGTATGCCCTCATTCTGCATGAGGTGTTTGTATATAGGGCTTTTAGGATGTTAATAAACTTCTCAGACACACCCTTCTTCAATAGACAATCCCAGAGAACAGTCCTATCCAACGAATCGAAGGCAGCCCTAATGTCAAGAAACACTACGATTGTTGGCCTTTGAAAAGTATGGTGGTGTTCTAACATTTGGCGGAGGGTGAAGATATGATCAATACATCCTCGACCAGAACGAAACCCAGCCTGCTCCTCGCGAGTCAATCTTTCTCGGGTTTTGAACAACCTACGAAGTATGACGGAAGCCAATAGCTTGGACGCAATCGGAAGTAGACTTATCCCCCGATAGTTGTTACAGGAACGACGTGAACCCTTTTTAAAGATAGGGACAACTATCAACTCATTCCATGACGTTGGTACACTCTCTAGTTCCCAAACCTTTGTAAACAACGTCGTCAATTCCTTAGTCAAAAAGTCACCACCATCTTTAAAAAGAGCCGGAGGTAAGTCATCTGGGCCAGGTGATTTGTAACGCTTCAAGAGTTGGAGTTCCTTGCGGACTTTCTCCTCATTTGGTGGATCAGTCGTCACCGGCCATGGAGGGCAGGACAGTTTGACTGATGTTGCCCGAGCAGCAGGCCAGTTGAACTGCCCTTCGAAAAATTCTGCCCATCGTCCAAGACGTCGATGGATGTTAGTGATTGGCATCCCATCATCCTCGCAGATTGTTTCACTCACACCAGACTTCTTGCTGCCAGTGGCTCGGATGAGCTGGAAGAGCTTCCGGTAGTTACCAGATGCAGCTGCTGCTTCCAGCTCATTAGCACGCATCGACCACCAGGCTTCTCGGTCCTTACGCAAGCTTTGCCCAATTTCCTTACGTAACATCCTTCGTTTGTGGTCAAACTCACGGTCACCTGGAGTAGACCGACGGGCTTCAATGAGTTGTAAGGAACCAGAAGAAACCCAGTGCTTAAAAGCGGGACGTTTCGCAACCCACAACTGACTGTTCCCGCCATTTTCATGGCGTCACGCAATTGCAACCAATGCTCATCTATACTTTTCGGTGGAGTGGTAGCTAGCCTAGAGGCTAGCTCGGTTCGATACTTACTTGCAACAGAAGTTGCAACCAGCTTGCTAACATCAATCCGTTGATGGCGTTCACTTCGTTGTCCACTGAAAAGTAAGGCAAGATTGGCGCAGACCAAGGCATGGTCAGAGTCCAGATAGGTACTCCAAAAGGAGCGGCAGTCTTGTACACAACCACGCCAGCGGTAGCTGATCGCGATGTGATCAATCTGAGTCCAGGCTTGAGATGCAGAGGGAGGACGCCAGGTGGCACATCGGCGATGACTGGGCCGAAAGTTAGTGCTAGCCAGAAACAGGTTGTGGTCTGTGCAAAGTTGCAGTAGACGGTCCCCGTTATCTGACCTGCGACCAACGAGTCCCCATCGGCCACCTAAACGACTCTCTTCTGTGCCTAGACGCCCGACCTGAGCATTCAAGTCTCCGGCTAGTACTACAATATCTGTCGAACGCACTTTCTGGAGAAGAACTGATAACTGGTGGTAAAACTCATCCTTGATTGCATCCGGGCTGCAATCTGTCGGGGCATAGGCGGAGATGACGAAAAGACATCGTTTCTCACGCCGATTTCTTCTCACTTTGATGGAACTTTCTAATCTAACAGCACATAACCGACTGTTAATGGGGATCCAATCGACTAGTGCTGCCTCAGCTCTAGCGCTTAGTGCGACACCAACGCCAGCAAGACCAGACGAAGATGCCACAGGGTCCCCGGATAAGCGCACGTAAAACAAACTTTTCGAAGCGACAGATGGAGATCGAATTTGTAGTACTTCGCCAGAGTCTTGAATACGGGTCTCGGATAGACAACACACGTCGATATTAAGACTTTCCAAAGACATAGCCAGCCCTATCTGTTGTCCGACCTGCATAAATGTGCGAACGTTGAAGGCAGCCAGTTTGAATGGTGCACGTGGTTTCAGAAAAACTGCTTCAGTCCTCGTATTCGGTGGTAACATACAATTTTCAACCGGACAGTGACTCGAGAACGTTTAGATACAGTCGGATTTCCACCAAAGACGAGCCGCTGTATAGGTATAAAAGAGAGTGAATAATGTGGAAAATAATAATAATAATGATAATAATAACAATAATGGCAATAATAGTAGTAATAATAATATTAGTATTAATAATGACAATAATTGTAATGATAATAATCTGAATCAATTGTTTGTTTTTCAAAGCGAGAAAGGTAATTTCCATAGGCATAAAGAGTTCATCAATTTGTGTGTGGGTTGTGTTACTGCCCGGGTGCCCAAACCGAAGCAGGAATGTATTAATTACAAAGCTATCACTATGCATTATTGATTCCAGAATCTCAAATTGTATGTTCTTTGATATTGTAGAAAGAATCTATAAACACACGATGCTGAACCTCTCAATTACTAACATGGTGTTGCTGCAAGATGTCAGAAATCCTTCGGATACAACGATAATCAAACACAGAGTCGTCTAACATTCACAATTCGGAGGCCAGATCTCACAACCATAGAGCAAAACTGCTCTCACCGACGCGTTGTAGATCCGAACTTTTACAGCCAGACTAACATCACGAAGGCGCCAAAGATGGCCCAGATTGGCATAAGCCGCTCTGGCTTTCACTATTCGTGCATTGATCTCATCACTCACACCCCCACCAGCACTCATGCAGCTACCCAGATACACGAACTTCTCGACTACTTCTATCTGCTCACCATCCAGAGTGAGTACAGGATTTGAATCCTGCCAGTCTTGTAGAAGTACTTTGCACTTCGAAGGTGCAAAGCACATACCGAACCTACGGACACTGATTGTCAATTGATTAAGTGCGGATTGCATGCCTTGGGCATTATCACACAGTAAGACAATATCGTCCGCATACTCAAGGTCGAGAAGTCTTTCTCCAGGCAACAGATTCACACCACCATTACTTACATTCATCAGAGCTGTTTCCAGAATGTCATCGATGGCAAAGTTGAAGAGGAATGGTGAGATTGGGCAACCCTGCCTAACCCCACTGCTCGAATGGAACAATGGAGAGAGGTGGTTGTATGCCCTCACTCTGCCTGAGTGAGGTGTTTGTATATAGGGCTTTTAGGATGTTAATAAACTTCTCAGGCACACCCTTCAGTAGACAATCCCAGAGAATAGTCCTGTCCAACGAATCGAAGGCAGCCCTGATGCCAAGAAACACTACGATTGTTGGCCTTTGAAAAGTATGGTGGTGTTCTAACATTTGGCGGAGGGTGAAGATATGATCAGTACATCCTCAACCAGAACGAAACCCAGCCTGCTCCTCGCGAGTCAATCTTTCTCGGGTTTTGAACAATCTACCAAGTATGATGGAAGCCAGTAGTTTGGACGCGATCAGAATCAGACTTACCCTCCAGTAGTTGTCGTAGAAACGGCGCGAAGATAGGGACAACTGTCGGCTCGTTCCACGGTGTTGGAATACTCTCGAATTCACGGACCTTTGTAAACAACTCAGTCAGTTCCTTAACCAGAAAGTCACCATCGTCTTTACGAAGGGTCAGAGTTCTTTGTAGACTGCTGCTTCATCAGGTGGACCAGTCCTCACCGAACATGGATGGTAGGATAGTCTGATCGATGTTGTCAGGGTAGCAGACTAGTAGAACGGCTCCTCGAAAAACTCTGCTCATCGTCCAACACGTCAGTGGATGTTATCGTTTAGCATCCCGTCAGCTCCATGGATTGTTTCACTCACAACAGACTTCTTTATGCCAGTGACTTGGGTGAGTTGAAAGAGACTCTGGTAATTACCGAAGGCAGCTGTTGTTTCTATCTCACTAGCACGGTCCGACCACCAGGCTTCTCGGTCCCTACACAAGCTTTGCACAATTTCATTACGTAAACATCTTTGTTAATGGTCAACCTCACAGTCAACTGGAGTATACCGATGGTCTTTAATCAGTTGTAAGCAGCCTGAAGAAATCCAGTGCTTATGAGTGAGACGTTTCGCGAAGCGGCAAGCGACTTTACTCGCCATTTTCATGGCGTCATGTAATTGCGACAAATGCCCATCTACATTTTTCGGTGGACTGATAGCTAGCCTTGAACCTAGCTCGGTTTGACAATTAGTTGCAACATAAACTGCAACCAATTTTCTGACATCGATCCGTTTAGGATGACGAATTTGTTGTCCACTGAAACGTAATATCAGCGCAAACAAGGACATGACCACAATCCCGATAGGTACTACAAAGGGAGAGGCGGTTTTGTACACAACCACGTCAATGATAGCTGACCGCGAGGTGATCAACCTGGGCCCAGATTCAAGATGCTGAGGAAGAACGCCAGGTAGCACATTCGCGATGACTGTGCCGAAAGTTAGTGCTAGCCAGAAACATGTTGTGGTCTGCGCACAGTTGCAGTAGACGGTCACCGTTACTTGACCTTCGACCACCAACAAGTACCCATCCGCCACCCAAATGACTCTCTTTTGTGCTTAGACGCCCGATCTGAGCATTCAAGTCTCCGGCTAGTACTACAACATCTTTCCGACACACTTTCTGTAGAAGAACTGTTAACTAGTGGTGAAACATTCTTGATCGCACACTATAAATGTGAGGACTAGTTGTCCAAGCCGAATCAGCTAGACTAAGGGGTTCGAATCCAAAAATTAGTGGCTAAACGTCAAAAGAATCAACAAGTAAGATCCTAAAGTAAACCTGAATGTAATATTATAGTTTAAGATTACAGGTAAGAAAATAAAGGTAACGCGATTTGACTCAATGCACTAATTCACCCCTTTTATTGATGGTACCACGTCCACGTAATTATTATTTAGGTACTAGTCAGCTTAGTTTATACAGTTAGATATTTAGTTAACAACCTTAACTGCAAAGTATAACTACTTGATCATAATTAAATGGTACCCGTTTGCATCAGTCAGTAACAATACCACGACATAAAATGTCACCGAAAAGGTCGAACATATCTAGACAGATTTTATTGCTTAAATATAACTTCAATGTGATTATTTATGATTATTAAAAAGATGTATATAGAATGTGAAAGAATATAGGTATAGGAAATAAATGAAAAAAACAAACCTTGATCTTTAGCCAACTGAAGTCTCAATTCCGTTTGCCGACAAGATGTGGACAATGATTCATTTTTTGCCTCATTCACCTTTCTCTCTTCATCAAAAGCATCCTCTGCATTTAGTAAACGCTAAAGTTTTAAATTTGCATCAAAAGTAAGTTTAATGAGTTTAAAATTGAGCAGAACCAAGTGGAAATTTTATCACAAAAATATGATATTTGAAATATGATACACTCTTTTAAGCCCCTACGAACGGTAATCATGCTACAGCTTACACGTAGTTCAGAGGTAAAAATAATGATGTATGATGTGACAGAATACGGTCAACCTTCCAACACCAGCTTTGTGATCATTGAATAGCACAGAAATCATTTACTAACAAACCGTATACACTATATCAGTATACAATGCCCCCCAAATGCCCTCGTACGGCCGAGGGTCGAAATTCGCTCCCCTTCTCGAAATGTTCTCACATGGTCACACGTATACAGCCACTGCCAGCGAAGTCCTTCTCGCAGCGGGAGTGTTGTTTATGAAATTGAGAGGACGGAAAGTGAATGTCCAGCACGGAAACTGGGTTGGTGGGCACGGCGGATCCACCTAGAGGAGTCGGAAAACCACAATTTCAAACCAATGGTGTACATGGGCTCCAGGATCCTGAGGGAACAAATGGTGTATGGACCTACTGTTGGTCACCGGCTACCATGAGACTGCATCTCCTGACGTTACTCCACTGCCTTATGGATCAGACATTTAGGTCTAAGGCTCCGGGTGTGACTCCCTAAGAAAACCATCTGCTTCAGTTTGAACACCCAAGCAGAATCACAGACCACACACAAATTAATTGACTTGTGTAGCACATATGTATTCGGTGCTCCTTTGTACTAATATTTATATGTTCAATAAATAAATACAATAATTTATAATATGAATGCACGTATATATATATATAATTGTAGAATGATTTTTCCAGTTTCTTTCGTGCACAGTGGGGACACGCGAACACAAGAAGATGGACGACAATGTCGAACTTTAGCATGGAACTACGGATGACAAAGAACCCAGTTTTGAACCTGTGTTGAGTAGGGTGAATGTGTAACAGGCTACGTATATCCGAGATGCTGGCTGAGAAGTTTACACAAACCAAAAGCTGTAACATTATGCCGTAAAAGACCAAATAGATAACCTTTTCTGGTAGTAATATTTATTATCTGACTTAGTAATTATTAAAGTTCGAAACATCAATTGGTCAAATTTTTCTCATCAAAATTCACTCACCATTTCGGACTGTTTTCGAGCAGCCTTTTCAGCAGTAAGTTGGTCATAAATATGCTCATTTTCTTCACGTAATTGTCTGACTTCAGCGTGGTATGCAGATTGATCTTTATATAGGTCATCCAAATTTTCTAGTAGACTAATTATTAATGGCATTAAACGTTCAACAACGGGTAATCCATAAGCCTCAATCATAGTTTCAAACTCTTTGTATATACCAGAAGCTATACACTGAACTCGTTCCGACATAACCACTGAAACATGTGAGCTACGATCTAATTCGTTGAAATTTGAGGATAAATAAACATCGTCAATATCATTAAAAGGAGGCTTCAAGTTGAGTAATTTCTTTTCTAACTCAGTACCACCATTCGCAATATTTTCATGAACTATTGCACTTTCAGGAGAATGAGACATTCTAACTGGAAATATTCAAAAACAGTAATAATAAAGACTCGGCAAAATGGTGATCTTCCAATTTAATATTGTAATGAGAAGAAAATTTGAAGTACAATTGCAAATGGCAAGAAAAAGATAAACCGTAATAATAAGAGCAGGTAGTTACCAACAGTGATTCGGCGCTGAGCACATTAACCTGAATTGGATAGAACAGATTACACAAAAGACAACGGAACTAGCACGAATATATATTGGTTTAAACTCCCACACTTCACAGTGGGTATAGTAATGGAGTGAAAATAATACTCACGTTTGTCGTAAACTAAACACGGAAAAGATAAAACAAGAAACTCGTGTTAACATTACGCACTGCTGTGTCATTTAACACTGCATGTCCTTAATTTGTAGTCATCGTTCTAAATAAACAACCAGAATATATAGTAAACTGTAGTTATCTTCCCTTTACTTATGTTGACTATACATGAAAATAAGTATATGTGAACGATCAACGACTGTCTGGCGATATGGTAACAGTCAGTTTTACTCCACCCTAAGAGTTACTATATTATTGAAACTACTTTGCCATAAGTTATTACATATAATGAAATTCAACGGCTATTTGGTCATTAATAGCTAATCTGCAAATAAAAATTGTAGCTTTCACTTTGTAGATAAAACTGTGTGTATTTAAGAAGCAAATCAAATTCACTTGTGCTTTTCAGGATATATACGTATATATACACGAATATATTCGTGTATTATGAAAGGATATACCCTTGCATAGTTAAAGGTGTACGCCATCAGTGTCAACCTAATAGACTATAAACTAAACCAAAGAATTCACTTATAGCTGCAGCTTTCCAAGTTGAGTTAGAAAACAATAACGCCAAGTTTACCTTGGAACGACTAACACTGTACCGATGTATTATTGGCGTTTGTTTGAAAGCAGGAGAGATTTAAAAACAACATGCAGACCAGGGCCAGTGAATATCGGAGGTAAAACATGACGTGCCAGCAACAACGTATATATTTCAAAAATCGGATAACGCGGTTATGTTACAAAAAAAGAAAGCTTGTTTACAAAAGTTTCATAAATTATTTGCAAGTCCAGTTTACCCAGGCCTTGTTTTTCTTGCAGCACATATGTAAATATTTACCCTTTGTTGCCCTGTAATAAAAAAACAAAATCACATAAATAACATTGCACAATGATTTCGAATATTTCCACACAACCTCTCTCTCCGTGAGGCACTGTCCTCAGTGTCTGACTATGGACATGGACATGCTATGTCTTCTTTTGATGGTACTTCGTAATAACTGGTGGCAGATGAGAAGAAACAATGAGGGTTTACAAACTGGGTACCTGAATGCACCATCCTTCGGTCTGGTTCCAAGTGGTTATAGTGTACTGTTATAACGTAGTCTTTAGGCCGATGACGGCTGTGTAAGATAAAGGTGGTGGGAGGTCGAATAAGCACAATTTTGTAAGGCCCTTCCCAAGGATGGTGGAAGTTGCTACGTGCTCTTGGTGGAGACAGGGAGGTGAGGCCAAACAAGATCGCTAGTCTTTACACCAGCCCGTCAATTCCTCGGTCGCATAAGTCCTCCTGGTTTTGACCAGGCACTACGCGTCGACCAGGCAGCTACGAAGATTATGAATGTATGATACGTGTTCTTGAGCCTCATATAGTAACGAGGGCATTTGTATCCCTACAGGCAGATGCAATTCGTGTGCAAAAGTAGAGTGACGATTGAAAACCCTGTAGACCCAAGGAATGGTGTGCGATAAGCTAAGAAGCATTGTAGTATCGCATTATCCCAACATCCAGTCGACTCACTGATGAACGATTGTAGAAGGGCCTTAATGGTCCTGTTTGTCCTTTCCAACAGGCCACTACCCTCTAATAGGTACGCAGTAGCATGTGCTTTTCAGATTTACAATATTTGTGATACTTGAAAGACGAGATGACTTCTAGAGTGCACGGAAAAGCAATCAACTTTCAAACTTCACCGCGCTTTCTTCTCCACGACCTTGAGCGTCCCAGATGATAGCATTCATTTCAAGAGTCGGTTGCTAGCATGGTTCTCAGATATTTGTATATTTACGTAGCCCGTTTATATCTGAAAAACACCAAAGTCGTTGTTAGCATCATAAACTATGTTCTTTTTCATTTTTAGCGTTTTTTACTGCTGTGTAACACTTTTGAAAAACCGGTCGAACAATTTTGTTGGAGAGTCTATTATAACCGTGTATTTAAATAACATAGCTGAAAATAATCGCAAACTAATCTATAGACTGATAATCTGTGTGATAAATAGTTCTTTTTATTACTAAATAGAAGATGACTGACAGTCAGTGAGTCTAGATATGTTGTCGTCTCCCATTAGTATTACCAGTACCTTCTCCGAAATAATCACTTTTTGTCTTGTTTCCGCTAACGTAGTCCCATTTGTCGTGGTTCACGTTTGATAAATACATCAGTTGACTTGGCCGAAGCTTTTAGGTATATCAAGATGATCAGTCGGCTCATGAGTTAGAGGAAATTTCAAAAGGCGTTGGATAAATTCCGGCACACAGGAGAAACATATTTGTACGTGCTGCAAACTTCATACACTCACTATATACATATAGGAAGAAGCTTGTAAGTGATATTGGATTCAAGTATACATGGGTTGTACGTCCAGCCAGGAAAGTAAACCACAAGATTTTGGGACAAACAATAAACCGTGAGGACTACAAATCGAAAGTGACATTTCAGATCAAGTTTCTGAATGAACAGTCAGTATTCCGCGTGGTTCCACTACAGAATGAGTGTGTGATGTAGTCACGTAGGGTGATGTGTAATCATCCTTGTGAAAGTTCGTGGACGATTTGTGATCCATGAAGTAGACGACTGGCTTCAGAGGATAAGGAAAGTTGGAGGATAATACTGGTCCAGTCGTCACTCTTAGGTCGAGCGACCGGACGAGTTAGAAAAAAGACTGGCTATAAAGTCTTCATTACTGATTTGATCACATTGAATGCGCAAATATTTGCATGTAAGCATGTGTTCTCATTCTTTTAAGCTGTGAAGTAAAGGTACATGACGTCAACCCTCCTTCGGAGATCTAGGATGGTTTTCCACCTGTCTGACTCAGTCACAAGGTTGATCATATAACAGTAATCCTTCTTCAAACTGTGCTGTGGGAGTGAAGAGAAGTTAACGGATAGTATATAACGGCGTAGTCCACCTTATGTCAGAGACCACATAATTTTTGAGGGTACCGGAAGAAGTGCTACCGGCTGGTAGCCTGAAGCTTCGCTACGTCTGGCCCCTTTGAAAATTATTGGAATGTGAGCCTAATTCCAAATATCTGGTAATGTGACTCGGCTTAGAGAACGTGAGAACATCATGCCAAACGGTTTGCAAAGATTGAAGTCGCTTACCTCGACGGAATGAACTATATCGGAGCCAGGAAAAAATGCACTTGCATAGGTGCTACGGTTTCTGCTGCAAGTGAAGCCCTCGTCGACATAATTTGCATGTGACGGTTGAAATGATTGAAGTTTGACGGTGTCAACATCGTTGTTGGTTGGACCATTAGGACTTATAAATCGGAAAACTCTGGATTTAGCTCATCGTAGACCGGCTGCATGACGGATTAAGCTTTCGGAATATCTATCGACTAGATTTTTTTTATATTGAAAACCATCTGACGTAATAGCCCTGTTGCAATGACTCCTTGCTTGTTTGAACTGCCTATATGTGCTGTTGTCACTAGTTTGATTATGTCCCGTCCAGTATGGCCCTGTGACCCCAAGGATTCGAAGAGTGTGGTTCTCACTGACTCTCTGCCGCCTGTTATTTTTGGTGACCGTTTGCGGGACAGACTGTGTGGTAAGATATAAGATCGTGCGCAGTAGGAAATTCCAATGAGCATTCACATCAACTGGCGGTTAGGCTTTCCAGTTCGCCTGCTGTAGACTGACCTGCAAAGGTGACACTTTCAAATATTTGAAATCACAGTGCTTGTAAGACACTGTAATCGCTCATACACAGGGGGACTATAGTATTCTAATTGTCGTATGAATTAGGAATTCCAGGATTAACGCAATTGAATTAAGAAGACACAGGCACAAACGAATGTACTGTATTTAGAATTCGAAACCAAGCATTCAACCAGTACAAAGGTATCATTAGTCCATTCAAACACCACATCCGCCACAGCTTAAATAGAAGTATAAGTGTTTGTAATCGGTTATACGTCTTCTTGTTAAGTTCATCCTGAGTCTGTCCGACATTGTATAAGATAAAAACTTTGTAGTATCTAGAAAGTGCTCATTAGTATTGGAATTAACAAATGAAATCGGAACAGACTCACCTGAACTGTATACAACCAACATGTCGGTTTTGTAATGAAATCATTAATATCTAGAATCCGAACCATAGATTTTCCAACACTATCCTCCCCCACAAAATAATGTTGGATCTTTATATCCCCAGGTTATGAATAATGTGGCTTCATTTAAAACATATTTCTCACATTGTTTAGAGTAAACATTAGAACTGTTTTTGTGATAAGGGTAAACAGCAGTTGATATGAAATCATCCGAAATGTAATCAAACTCGAGGTCACCTAGTACTCGCATTGAGCAGGTTTTTCACAAGGATCGAATGCATTATGAGGAGAGGTAATATATGATATGACATCAGGATTTGATTCTTCTGAAATATTCTCATGAAATTCATTAGGACTGTCATTGCAGAGCGTAGGATCATTAAAAAAACCAGCATCTATCCAAACCACATCAGGTTTCCGATCATGATTAGGTTCATTTAACATATTTTCCTCGGAATTCCAAGTAATTTCATTAGAAATATGTGGATCATTAGGAAAAGTTATACCTCGTACAATAGCATGAGAATCCTGATAAATCGGTTGATTAGGAACTGTTGTCTCACAAGAATTCTGGATTTCATCTAACTCTGAACTGTCATATGACTCTGCACTGTTTCTTGAAATCGTTGATAAAGATAAATAATCATTAGAAACATCCGAATTATTTAAATTTAAATTACAAGATTTAGTACAGATTGAAGCATAATGGACAGTAGCATTGCATACTGACTGAATGTGTCCTACCTTACCACATTTAAAACATTCAGCATTACGAAATACACATGGATTGCGAGCGTGAAACTTTCCACATGATAAACATTTACCAAACTTCATCTCACCTTTGTGATTTGCTTTGTAATTCGTCGTTGAAACACCTTTCATATTTACACGAGAATAGGAGTCACTGTTAAATGAACGCAAATTTGACTGACCCTGAGATTGT